TCATCTCATACTGTCTAATGCAGTGGTTCTCAACCTGTGGGTCCCCAGGTGTTTTGGCCTACAACTCCCAGAAATCCCAGCCAGTTTACCAGCTGTTAGGATTTCTGGGAGTTGAGGGGCAAAACATCTGGGGACGCACAGATTGAGAACCACTTCCCTAGGGGATTCCGGGGTGCCAGGCCCATAGCCTAGCAAACCTTTTGTATCATTATCCCAATACCCACATGTATATGGGATATAGTAAGCGTGGTGATCAGATCATGATATGAATAAACATAACAGTTTAAATAATGTACCAGTAAGGCCTTCTCACGGACCACCCTGAGAATTTCGGGGGGGGGGGGAGCTGAAGCCCCTCAAGGCCCCCTCCCCTGGCCACATGTCTGTGGGGTGCCTTTTCAAAAGGGACACACTAGTGGGTCTCAACACCTCCTCCACCACCACCCCCAACAGGTTCACATTAGAGTTTTATATGTTGGAAAGAACTTGAAGGTAAGCTGGAACAAATCTTGAGAATAGCATTACGATTCCACTTCATCTGCTGTGGCTGCATCCTTTGGGATCTTGGAATTTGCAGTTAGGGATGGGGCATTAAGAGGTATCATCCAAAGGACTCTAGTACTGCATTGGTCTACGAATCTCACAATCTCTTAGGATGCAGCCATGACGTTTAAAGTGAAATCATAGAACTACAATTGTGTGGTTTGATGTTCTATCTGTATACTAACATCTAGAAATCAGTTGAAACTGAAATCACTTGACCTTGGTAGAAACATACATTGGTTGAATATTTACTCTAAAATAAACTGTTCCTGGGATTTTCCACTAGGAGTTTTTATTTCAACTATTTAGTCGGAGGTAAACCCCATTGTATTCACTAGGATACAAGCATTGCAAGTTGAATAGCACTGGTTGACTCTATATTGATTTGCATTCGTATTTGTTGTGTATGTGGGTGATAATCAAGAAATCCAAAGAACAGCTTCCTGCTTCTTGTTGTGTGTGTGTCTCTCTCTGAGTGTTGAGCAATTACCAACAAAGACTTTAAAGGAAATCCGGTTCATTAAGAAAGTTGCCCTTGTTTTCTTAGACATGATTATAGACGGTCCTTTCAACTATACAGGTAATTGTCTCACATTTGATGTATCCTATTTGTGCTTTGACAGCCCAAGAGATGTTGGGTTATATACAGAGTCACTATTGACTACTCCAGCTGCCATGGTTGTTTTCCTATTGTCTCCTTCCAACTCTCGGTAACTGTCGGATTTCTTGTACTTAACTTTTAGTAGAAAAAACTACTTAAAGTTAATGTATATACTGTTCTAGAGCAGCCAGCAGTTTCTGTATACCTTCTCTAACCCTCTTACTAAGGCTTTTTGTATGTTGTGTAGTGTGAATTAGTCAGAGATGTGGCAATCTCTGGATGTGAAGCCATTGTTGTTACGAAACAGGAAGGGATAGCAAGATACTGTTCTGATCTTGGGCTCCCAGCCAAAGCTACAGTATGTCACTTCTGTCATCTGGCCTGCAGACAATGGAAGAAAGAACAACTGTAGGCCACAAATGGGAGTTCAGCTCTGGGACAAAAGCCAGTGCCAGGCACATTTTTGGATGGTCGACAAAGAGCTGCCTGAGCATATTGGCTTGTAGGCAAACAGAGTAACCCAGTATTCTGTATTATACTTTATATTTTAAAAATTGGAATATTTACATATTTATAATGAGATCTTTGAAGTGGGACCCCAAATCTGAGTTCAAAATTAATTAATATTCCATCTTAACTTTGTTCCTGTGCATTATTATGGGCAGGATGTGTGGGTGGGATTTCCCTGCTGTCACCCTACCTGACTGCAGGCAAATGTATTATTTGAAAAGTTCTCAGGAAGCATGAAAATTGAGCTTAGACGAAGGGTGTGGGTGAAGGTCTGTTGGTGAAATTGGCTTTGAAATATAATAGTGTATCTATTCAAAACCAACACTGGCAAGCAGAGCTGGTGCTCCTTAGAACAGGGATGGAGAGATTTTTGTTTGTGGCAGATGTTTAATAGTAACAATAATTGTACCAACAACAGCTTCAGCTCTAAGGCTTATTACCCCACCTTTCTGAAAAAAATTATAAAAGATGGCTTACATAAAGAATACGTTGTAAATGAAAGGACACCACCATCTAAAACAAGAGCAGAATAAAAGGTTGTGGTCGTAAAATAGCTGATTTAAATGAAATTGTTTTTACTGTCCATCTGGAAAAAGGTGGTGAAAGGAATCAAATGACATTCCAGATTGGGAGAACCAGGCCCTCTTCTTAAATCAGTGCCTGCCACACCTTGGACAGGCTTATACTAGGAGATAAGGTGTTTTTGATCAATTGAAGCTTCCAGTTCTCTTTGAAAGCATCAGTGACTGAGGTATTTATTTATTTATCATGTCAGGGGCAACCAGACCATTGTATTACATTTCTAAGAGAACAAAACAAACAAGCAGATAAAAAACCACAAATTTTGCAGACTTGGTAGTTGATTAAATGTCCTTTGACTAGTATCTGGCCACTTGGAGTGCCTCTGGTGTTGCCGCAAGAAAGTCCTTCATTGTGCATGTAGCAGGGCTCAGGTTGCATTGCAGCAGGTGGTCTGTGATTTGCTCTTCTCCACACTCACATGTTGTGGATTCCACTTTGTAGCCCCATTTCTTAAGATTGGCTCTGCATCTCGTGGTGCCAGAGCACAGTCTGTTCAGCGCCTTCCAAGTCGCCCAGTCTTCTGTGTGCCCAGGAGGGAGTTTCTCATCTGGTATCACCCACGGATTGAGGTTCTGGGTTTGAGCCTGCCACTTAGGGACTCTCGCTTGATGAGGTGTTCCAGTGAGTGTCTCTGTAGATCTAAGAAAACTATTTCTTGATTTAAGTTGTTGACGTGCTGGCTGATGCCCTAACAAGGGATGAGCTGGGGATGTCACTGCCTTGGTCCTTTCACTATTTGCTGCTACTTCCCGGCGGATGTCAGGTGGTGCAATACCAGCTAAGCAGTGTAATTTCTCCAGTGGTGTAGGGCGCAGACACCCCGTGATAATGCGGCATGTCTCATTAAGAGCCACATCCACTGTTTTAGTGTGGTGAGATGTGTTCCACACTGGGTATGCGTACTCAGCAGCAGAGTAGCATAGCGCAAGGGCAGATGTCTTCACTGTGTCTGGTTGTGATCCTCAGGTTGTGCCAGTCAGCTTTTGTATGATATTGTTTCTAGCACCCACTTTTTGCTTGATATTCAGGCAGTGCTTCTTGTAGGTCAGAGCACGGTCCAGAGTGACTCCCAGGTATTTGGGTGTGCTGAAATGCTCCAGTGGGATTCCTTCCCAGGTAATCCTCAGAGCTCGGGATGCTTGTCTGTTCTTAAGGTGAAAGGCACATGTATGTGTTTTAGATGGATTAGGGATTAGTTGGTTTTCCCTAGTGACTTAGGTAAGGACTACGTTGTCCTAACACCATATAACTGGCACACAAGATAAAGTGGGCAATAAGCCCTCTTGGCCACTGATGTTACATGAGGGGTGGGAGCAATATTGCGATATGAGGGCATGTAAACAACGTCGTCTGTGCGCATTCAGAAGACCTACAAGCCACTCTAAACACCTTTGCAGAAGCATATTAAAAGCTCGGCCTGTCATTTAACATTGAGAAAACCAAAGTCTCTGCTGCTCTTAGGAATTTGAAGCCTCACTGGAAGGAATGCATAATTTGAACAAGTCGGCAAATATAAAGGGAATATGATCTAACAAATGGTTTTGAAATTCTGGAGTGGGGATTTCTTGTTCTGGGAAGCTTCTCTTCCCAGGCTAGTCTTGAAATGGGAAGATGTTTTCAACCTGGTTCCTTTCATCACTTCTCCTTGTGTGCCTCCTGGACTTTTTTCTGAGTCACGAACCTGATGCTGATGGCCTTCATTCAAAGGAATTCACTGACTGCTTTCTCAGTCTGTCTTGAGGCACCTGTGTCTTCTCCTCCTCGGGGCCACTCCATCCCTGTGTTTTGAGTAGCTGAACCACAGGAGTTTTGCTGGCTGGCATTCTTGGTTCCTTCCAGTGTTATCCCAGGAGCATCTGCAACCATCTACCTTGCAAGATTAATTTGCTCTCCTCTTTCGAGTTGTGTTTTGGTAATGCACTAGCTCTCTTTCATAGAGAAGGATAAACACTTTGTAAAACTACCATTCCCATTATTCCATAGCCTTTAGGCATAGGCAGTTAAAAGTGTATCAAACTGCATTAATGCTACAGTGTAGATGCACTTGTAGTCAGCTGGTTTGATGACAGTAAATTCTGAATGGTTTTCCACAAAGGAGCTCCCCTGCCCAGTATTAACACCTTTTTCTAAGATACCAAATTACACAGGAGCCTTGAGTCCAACCTTGTCTTTTAAACAATGGAAGCTATAAAACAAGAGATCATCCAATCAAAGAATTAGAATGATTTTTAGAATGATATTGTATTGTTCTAAAGTACAAAAAACACTTTAGAACAATACAGTAATTAAAATGAAGAACAATTTTAACAAATATAAACTTCTTAGTATCTCAATGGGAAGTGTGGGCCTGCTTTTTGCTGATGAGATAGGATTGTTGTTGTTGTTGTGTGCTTTCAAGTCATTTCAGACTTAGGTTGATCCTGAGCGAGGGCCGGGTAAACAACCTTGGAGGACCCCTGTTCTAGAGGCATTCCCTCCTGATGTTTCGCCTGCATCTATGGCAAGCATCCTCAGAAGTAGTGAGGTCCTCACTACCCCTGAGGATGCTTGCCATAGATGCAGGCAAAACGTCAGGGGATAATGCCTCTAGAACATGGCCACATAGCACGAAAAATCCTACAACAACCCAGTGATTCTGGCCATGAAAGCCTTCGACAATACATTAAATACAGTACTGTTTGAAAAATAATGTGACTTTTCTTTTAAACAGACAGTTAAACGTCTGGAAGACCTGACACTGTGTGAATTTCTCTCTTGTCTGCAGGATTTTTGATGGACTGGGCCTGGAAGCAAAGTTGATAGCCACGATGGGGCAGAGTGAATCAGAGCCACAGGAGGAGCCAGAGGTATTTCCTTCTTCTTCTTGCTTCATGGGCAACCACAAGTGGTTACAACTCTCCTGCTTGACATCCAGATTGCCGGCTACCTTCCCTTTCTTGGCATAAGCTTGCTCAAGAGGAGGTCCTGCCCATGCACGTGCCTTGCTATGTTCCTCTCAGTCCTGTTTGGGCCTTGCTCTGCTGTCCAGTCATCTCCTTGTCATGCGCTATGTAAAGACCTTGCTTCCATTGCTTAACATTAATTTTTAAACGAATTGCTCTCTTTTAAGGCCCTGGGAATCAATATGGCCCTTTCGCCGAAAGTATTGTGAATGCACTGAATGAAAACTTAGAAATGGCTGCTTGCAGTGTGATCTAATGATTGACATTGTTTGGTCTTCTAGACCATCTAGAACAAGACCATCTAGAACACCATTCTGGAGATGTGTTGGACTACACTTCCTGGCACCCCGCACAGGGTTGGCCAGACTAACTGAAGATACTGAAAGTAATTAACACAATTGATGCCCACCCACTCCTATATAGGGGGTTTATGATACACTGCTGTACCACAAACCCCTGTAATCTGTGAGTGATCTGGGGTTTAACAGCCTTCCAGATGTTGTTGGATTTGCAGCTAAACAGCACCTGGAGTGCACAGGTTTCTGATTCCAGTCATTACTTTTCTTCCTTCCTTCTGCATTTTTTGTTTCTGAGTGTCCCTAGCTCCTGCCCCTCAGTGCCTGCTGCTTTTTCTCCCCTTGCAGGATGCAACCCTGACAGCTGTGCTTTCCAACATCAAGCTCTTTGTGGAGGATCAGCTTCAGACCAGCATGGTGAGGGGGGTGCATGATGAGTACCTCTCAATTGGATAGGCTTGGGGTCCAAGCTGTGAAAATGGAGCATACCATACTGGGGCAATGTGTCTATTTCCAATTCCCCACCTTGTTCAAAACTTCAGAAATAGATTTAGGCTAGAATTGGCACAATTCCCAATACAAGTCACATTCTGATCTAGGCAGAGTTGCCATTGCTCCTGCTGACCAGACATATGTTGTTGTGGTCATTTTCTTTATTATATTTCTGTACTACTTTTCTGTGCAAATGTATGCAAAGCAGCTGGCAATGAATCTAACTATAGCCGAATTCTGTGATTGGATACTTTGTCAAACTTATTTCCAATCCATTGTCAATATTGTCATTGTCATTGTCTGCCTAATTACCCGGAGGCCTGGTCCCACATCCACGTTTTTAACTTCTTTCTAAAGGTGAGGAGGGATGAAGGTGACCTAATTTGCCCGGGGAGTGAATACCATATTGATTGGAGGGTTATTGGTTTTGTATTTTAATAGTAACTTTCAAAAATTCTGTATAGTGGGATGGAGCTGTTCCGTGTATTCCCTCAGATGAATGGCAATGATATACTTTTCATTGTCACATTAACTTGGTTCTAACTTTCCCACAGGTTTTGGGCGTTGTAATAGGAGTTGGGCTTTCTGTGCTCCTTGTTGCTGCTTTAATCCTAGTGTTGATCCGGCGGTTTCGCCTTCAGAGTAAGTGACCCTTTGGTGTTGGGAAGTAGATCTCAGAAGGACATTTTTTTGTCCATAGCAGATTTTTTCCAAGCCTGCTGGTTTCCTCATCTTGTGACTTCTGTCGCTTCTTCCCTTCAGAGGTTCAGGCTCAAGAGCAGCCCAAATATCGATTTCGCAAGCGAGACAAAGTGCTGTTCTATGGGCGGAAGATCATGCGCAAGGTAATGGGAAGGGAAGGGCACAAAGGGTAGATACTGGGGCTGGGGTGTTAGGCCTTCTTTTCAGATGAATTGCTTGATCAAAGAGCCATTCTGTTAATGCAGAGTCTTGGTGGGCAAATTCTTTGCATCCTGTGGCTAAACAGGGTTTCTTGGAGCTTGGGCTGGACTTCAGGGAAGTGTTTTGGACAGTGTTTGCTGAGGATTTGCATCTAGCTAATATTAAACTTCTCTCTCTCTCTGTCACACACACACAGGTATTTGTTATTGGAACTGAGCTAATTAGAGCATACAAATAACACTATATAACACGATTTTTGTTCCTAGGTTATAAGTGTCATTGCCTAATCAGTTCTATCATAAAAACATAGAAAAGGTTAATTAAATTGGAAAACACTATTTTTTGCAGAACATCCTGCAGCACATTTTGTTATAGTTTTTCAATGAATATCTCATCCAGTCTCAACCAATTTAACATTGTTTGTGGCGGCCACAAAAATAAAATTTCTGGAGTATAAAAACCTTTCAAAGTAAGTACCACACAATTAAATAGGAAACAACACTTTAAACCAGATTTTTTTTTTCAAATTTTGTTGCAAAGTGTAATATATTAGTATTTAGCACCAGGATTGTGGCGCAGCTGGCTGAGTGTCAGCTGCATTAAGATCACTCTAACCAATAGGTCATGAGTTAGAAGCCAGCCCGGGTTGGAGTGGGTTTCCAACCAATTGTGTAGCCTGTTGTCGACCTTTGCAACCCGAAAGACAGTTGCATCTGTCAAGTAGGAAAATTATGTACCACCTTAAAGTGTGGGGAGGCTAAATTAACTGATTTATGAGGCCATAAAGAAGACTCCAGCAAAGCATTCCAGCAGGGAAGCATGCGCGGAATGCGGAAGTGCTTCATCAGCGTCGCAGATGGACGATGAAAGCGACAGCTCCCCTGGCGGCCAGAAAAAGTTAAATAGCCTCTGTGTATGTCTATATATGTTTGTATGTCAAAAATTGGCATTGAATGTTTGCCATATATGTGTACACTGTAATCCGCCCTGAGTCCCCTGCGAGATGAGAAGGGCGGAATATAAAAGCTGTAAATAAATAAATAAATAAATATAGTTTTTCAATGAATATCTCATCCAGTCTCAACCAATTTAACATTGTTTGTGGCAGCCACAAAAATGAAATTTCTGGAGTATAAAAACCTTCAAAGTAAGTACCACACAATTAAATAGGAAACAACACTTTTAAATCAGATTTTTTTTTTCAAATTTTGTTACAAAGTGTAATATATCAGTATTTAATTTGCTAGTCTATTCATTAATTTTTGACAGAAGTATAAAAATCATTTTAATTTTTCTTTGTGTTACATTTTTGTGTTAACTGCAAACCAAACATTTCCAAAGAGAGAAACCCTTTTTTTGTTTCCTTAAAGAGCCTTGCTTCTGGGAGATGAGTATGATCATGAATGTACATTACAAAATATGTGTGGAAAGTGTCACGGTGATTTAGATATACTTCCTTGGCTTTCTGCTAACCGCATCTACTTTCCTGACAGGTTTCTCAATCCACATCCTCCCTTGTTGACACCACTATCTCTGCTTCACGGCCACGCATGAAGAAGAAGCTCAAAATGCTAAACATTGCTAAGAAGTGAGGAGATAAGTTGCTACAGTGGGGTGGAGGTGGGAATGGTCATTGTTAAGGAATAAGGGCATCTTTGGACAAAGCTCTGGGACTATTAAAGAGCCTGTGCAGGACCCACAACAATGGATTCATGTTCTGTAAAGGGCACTAAAGCCCCCTGCCAGATATGGAGCCGATAAGCTCTTAGGTCATTCCTGCAAGGAGCAGGCAAACTCATCCGGACATATGCTGGAATTTGCAGTTCAAGGGGGACATTTAGGATCATCAACCAAAAAGCTTTTGTGCCCCACAAAACCACAAGCCCCAGGATTCCACAGGATATTAAGCTGGAATTGCAGGAAACATAGTTCTGTACAGTAGACCCACTTATTACATGATCTCATTGAACACATTTTCATTTCTATCCAAAGAGCTTGAATGCCATAGAATCACTCTGGAGAACTTAGAAAGTGCCGACAGAAATCTTATCTCTAACCCTCCAGAGGGATTTTGTTATCTTCCTCCAACTGAAAGTTAAACTGGAAGTTTTGCTGGAAATTGAATCACATTGAAAACCTATAGAAAACAGTTCTCCAGGCTTTTTCTAGTTCTTCTAAACTGGTGTTTCTCAACCTGGGGGTCAGGACCCCTGGAGGGGTCGGGAGCGGGTGTCAGAGGGGTCACCAAAGACAGTCGGAAAGCACAGTATTTTCTGTTGGTCATGGGGATTCTGTGTGGGAAGTTTGGCTCAATTCTCTCGTTGGTGGGGTTCAGAATGCTCTTTGATTGTAGGTGAACTATAAATCCCAGCAACTACAACTCCCAAATAGAATCATAGAATCAGAGAGTTGGAAGAGACCTCATGGGCCATCCAGTCCAACCCCCTGCCAAGAAGCAGGAAAATTGCATTCAAAGCACCTCCGACAGATGGCCATCCAGCTTCCAAAGAAAACACATCCACCACATTCTGGGGCAGAGAGTTCCACTGCTGAACGTCTCTAACAGTCAGGAAGTTCTTCCTAATGTTCAAGTGGAATCTCCTTTCTTGTAGTTTGACAAGGTCTATTTCCCCTTACTCCACCAGTTTTCACATTTGAGTATTCATGTCAAGTTTAGTTCAGATCCATCATTGTATGAGTCCACTCTGGATGTAGGTAAACTACAACTCCAAAACTCAAGATCAATGTCCACCAAACACTTCCAGGATTTTCTGTTGGTCATATAATCCAGTTCAAAGCAGAAAATCTGGAATCAGTTCCTGGGATATAGGGCAGTGTAGATCCAGCAATATTCTCATAGATATGGGAGAACTGCCTTTTGCTGACTCAGTGGTGTGGGAATTTCCCTTTCCTTGCAATGAGAGCCTTAACTGTGGGATCTCAGTCCTTTTATTCTATGTGCAGGATCCTGCGCATCAAGAAAGAGCTGCCAACCCTTCAACTGAAGGAGCCACCCCCCTCTGTCCTGGAAGCGGATCTCACAGAGTTTGACGTAGCCAACTCCCACCTCCCTTCTGAGGTGCTCTACATGTTGAAGAACGTTCGGTAAGCATTTGCCATGGGGTCATGTGATCTCAGTTTAGGCACTGAATTAACATGGAGGGAAGCTGCAGGAAATGTTTTGGCAGTAGCTGGCACTGTATTATAGAACTAGCCGTCCCCTGCCACATGTTGCTGTGACCCAGTTTGGTGATCTGGAGAATGAAGTAATTAGAAAGTGTTGGTTTCTAATATATGTGATTTCTTTATGCTTGTGGGTAAACAGTATTTTTTGCTCTTTCTTTGTCAGTGTTGATGTCGAGATTTTCTGATTTGCCTACTCTGGAACACGCAACATATCATTGTCCTTCTTTAGGGGTCCCTTGCAAATCATGTCTCAATACTATAAAATCCTGGGTACCAGTTTTCTTTGTAGAGAAAGCTAAAGACCTTGTAAAACCACAACTCCCATAATTCCATATCATTAATCCACAGCAGTTAAAGTGGTGTCAAACTGCAGTAATTGTGCAATGTTGATGCACCCTTAGAGAAGTATAAATTTTACTTAAGATACAACCTCTTGAGTGCCTGACTTATCCATCACGACTTGAATGTTCTCTTTCATACATAGGCTCTCATGGTATTTACAAAGGCTTTAAGTCAACTGAGAGAAACCCAGACAGCCTCTCTGTTCCTGATTGACTTGACTCCTTTAATGCCCTGGAATAATGAAAACAAGTAAAGCATGTCTTATGACAAGGCTTTTATGTAGGAGCAAAGAGTGCTGCCTTACATGGAATCAGACCATTGGTCTGTGTAGCTCAGTGTTGCCTACAGATTGTCATACTCACATTCTCCCAAAACTTTAGATTAGAGTCTTTCCCAAGCCTGCCTGGAAATGCTGTAGAATCAGGGGCTGTGTCATAGAGCTGTGTGGCTCTAGCTGAGTTTTTATTTTCCAAAGAAAATAAAATCTTTCACATTTTGTGAAAGATTTAATAACTGAACATACTCAGACTTGGTTGTTGTAAGTTTTTCCAGGCTATATGGCCATGTTCTAGAGGCATGTTCTCCTGACTTTCGCCTGCATCTATGGCAAGCATCCTCAGAGGTAGTGAGGTCTGTTGGAAGTAGGAAAATTGGTTTATATCTCTGTGGAATGACCAGGGTGGGACAAAGGACTTTTGTCTGCAGGTGCCAGGTGTGAATGTTTCAACTGACCACCTTGATTAGCATTTAATGGCTTGGAAGTGCCTGGGGGAATGTTTTGTTGAGAGGTGATTTGATGTGCCTGATTGTTTACTCTCTGTTGTTTTGCTGTTGTAATTTTTGAGTTTTTTAATACTGGTAGGCAGATTTTGTTCATTTTTATGGTTTCTTCCTTTCTGTTGAAATTGTCCACATGCTTGTGGATTTCAGTGGCTTCTCTGTGTAGTCTGACATAGTGGTTGTGAGAGTGGTCCAGCACTTCTGTGTTCTCAAATGTGCTGTGTCCAGGTTGGTTCATCAGGTGTTCTGCTATGGCTGACTTCTCTGGTTGAAGTAGTCTGCAGTGCCTTTCATGTTCCTTGATTCGTGTTTGGGCAATGCTGCGTTTGGTGGTCCCTATGTAGACTTGTCCACAGCTACATGGTATACGGTAGACTCCTGCAGAGGTGAGAGGATCCCTCTTGTCCTTTGCTGAATGTAGCATTTGTTGGCTTTTCTTGGTGGGTCTGTAGATGGTTTGTATGTTGTGTTTCCTCATCAGCTTCTCAATGCGGTCAGTGGTTCCCTTGATGTATGGCAAGAACACTTTTCCTTTGGGTGGATCTTCATCTTTACTCTCGTGGCTTGTTCTTGGTCTTGCAGCTCTTCTGATGTCTGAGGTGGAGTATCCAAGCCATTAAATGCTAATCAAGGTGGTCAGTTGAAACATTCACACCTAGCTCCAGCAGACAAAAGTCCTTTGTCCCACCCTGGTCATTCCATAGAGATATAAACCCAATTTCCTACTTCCAACAGACCTCACTACTTCTGGATGCTTGCCATAGATGCAGGTGAAACATCAGGAGAAAGTGCCTGTAGAACATGGTCATATAGCCAGGAAAAACCTACAACAACCCAGTGATTCCGGCCATGAAAACCTTTGACAATACATTATCAGACTTCTCTCTGGGTAGTTTTGTGTTTGAATAGAATTCTCCCTAAAGGTTTGTTGGACTTCTCCTGATCTGCTATTAACCTTCTCTCATGTGTGGAATTATGTGGTGTGTTTTGACTTCATAAGAAGCAACGCAAACTTCAAAATATCAGAATTAATCACAACAATAATACTTTAATTAGATCTTGGCCAGGAAGGCAGCATGCAATGTTTTTTCTAGTATGCTGTCAATATATCACCAGGCATTCCAGCTAGTCAATGGACTTTTAAAGTATCTGAAGTCCAAAGGGCTTCTTCCCTCCCACTGTGTTTTAAAGATCACTTGCACCTGCATTAGTCATTGGATTTCTTGAGTAAACATGAGACAGAGTTCCAATTTCCTGTGGATAGTGAAGGTTATTATTTTATGAGTTAGTTATTATTAATATGTAGTAAGTTCACCAAGTTTAATTTCCTTGGTAAGTCAATGTCCGAGGGGACAAGGCAGGAGGTATTGAGTATCCCCAATACCTAATCTCACTATAGATTCAGTCTAATTTAAATTTAAGTTTAGATTTTATTAGGGCCTTAAAAACATGTTTATGTCACTTATATGAAAAAAATAAATTCTTTTTAAATAATGACCTTCTTAGTCTTACCTATATTTTAGTTTTAGTTTTAGTTTAATAGATTGTTCTTGGTTTTTATTTAATTTTGATACTTAACTCCTTTGTTGTAAGTTTTCTGTTGTTACTCTCCATTATTTTGTATTATTTTGATGTGTCTGTACCTATTTTGAGTCATTGAATGCTTGCCTTTTTATTTGTAAACCATCCTGAGCCCTTCTGGGGGGAGAAATAAAGTTTTATTGTTGTTATTATATTATCTTTTATAGTTGTTACCACAACAAAGTAGTTTAAATACACACAGGTGTAAGAAAGACTAAATGGATGTTTATTTTGGTGCATATCCTGCCTTTCAATTGGATAATCCCTAGCATTCCCGTATCTCCCTCCATGTACCAACCCAGGCCCTTCGATCTTCGGGGGAGGCCCTCCTTTCACCCCTACCACTCTCACAAGCTCGTCTTGTGGGCACAAGGGAGAGAGCCATCTCCTCTGTGGCCCCCCGACTCTGGAACTCATTACCTGGAGAGATCAGGAAAGCCCCTTCACTAGAACGTTAAAAAAGAACCTTAAAACCTGGCTCTTCCGCTGCGCCTTTGGCGAGTCGGTGCACAACATGATATTATTGCTCCCTTCAACACTTCTGCTACTGGAGTTCACGCCCCCCAAATGGGAAGTTTAGTTTCACAACTCTGTTTGTTTTGATGAGCCCCATCAAAATAACCCGCTCCTATTTTTATCTCATCAGAGTCTTTTAATTGTTTTATCCTGTACATGTGGCCCGCCCACTGTTATTGTGACTGTTTATTGGAATGGTTTTTTTCCCTTTTGTAATTTTGATGATGTTGTCTGTTGTTTATGTTTTTGGTTTTATTCTGCTGTAATATGTTGGCCCCATGTAAGCCGCTCCGAGTCCCCACTGGGGAGATGGTGGCAGGGTATAAATAAACTTATTATTATTATTATTATTATTATTATTATTATTATTATTATTATATAACAGATCATAACTATACAAAGCTGTGAATTGTCATTTCGTCGTGGCGTGTATAACAGAGATGCAGCTGCTGTTATCCTTATGGGTCCTGTGACCATTCCTGGTCCTGTAACCCCTTATGGGTCAGTTGACCAATCCTTTGCTCTCCATTAAAAAGATGTAAAATACCATATGTAGTGCACATCTTTACACAGATGCCATCAGAATGGCATGATGAGCCAGTCGTAGTGATGATGCCCTTTTCCTTCTGCCCTCTTTCTTTCCCAGGGTGTTGGGACACTTTGAGAAGCCCTTGTTCCTAGAGCTGTGCAAACACATGACCTTCCAACAGTGTCAGCAAGGCGAGTATGTCTTTCGCCCTGGTCAACCTGATACCAGCATCTATGTGGTTCAAGATGGAAAGCTGGAGCTCTACCTGTCTGAACAAGTGAGTATTGCTGGAGGAATAATTCAGTATAGCATCACCAGGCATTCAGAAAGAGGCTGTGTTTATCCCAGCTGCACACTCCATAGAGCAGGAGGTGCTATATAGCTTTCAGCAGTTCACCTCACTGTGAATTGCTGAAATGGACAGAACTTGATCAAATCACTGGATATAAATCTTAGAATTATAGAGTTGGAAGAGACCCCCCATTTTGTCAAACAGGAACACATAATCAAAGCACCCTCAAAAGATGGCTATCCAGCCTTTGCTTAAAAACCTCCAGAGAAGGAGACTCCACCACATTCCAAGGCAGCCTGTGCATCTATATCCCAAATTGGAGGCCATGATGATGCTCCTTGCTCAAATGCAGGGGAATGGAGGGAAACAGCCTTTTTTCTTAACCTTGTGGATTTTTTTGTGTCATCCGCAACCAGACCACTGTATTACATTTCTAACAGAACAAAACAAACAAACAGATAAAAAACACAAATTTTGCAAACTTGGTAGTTGATTAAATGTCCTTTGACCAGTATCTGGCCACTTGGAGTGCCTCTGGTGTTGCCGCAAGAAGGTCCTCCATTGTGCATGTAGCAGGGCTCAGGTTGCATTGCAGCAGGTGGTCTGTGGTTTGTTCTTCTCCACACTCGCATGTCGTGGATTCAACTTTGTAGCCCCATTTCTTAAGATTGGCTCTGTATCTCATGGTGCCAGAGCACAGTCTGTTCAGCGCCTTCCAAGTCGCCCAGTCTTCTGTGTGCCCAGGGGGGAGTCTCTCATTTGGTATCACCCACGGATTGAGGTGCTGGGTTTGAGCCTGCCACTTTTGAACTCTCGCTTGCTGAGGTGTTCCAGCGAGTGTCTCTGTAGATCTAAGAAAACTATTTCTTGATTTAAATCGTTGACGTGCTGGTTGATATCCAAACAGGGGATGAGCTGGAGATGTCACTGCCTTGGTCCTTTCACTATTTGCTGCTACTTCCCAGCGAATGTCAGGTGGTGCGATACCGGCTAAGCAGTGTAATTTCTCCAGTGGTGTAGGGCGCAGACACCCCGTGATAATGCGCCATGTGTCATTAAGAGCCACATCCACTGTTTTAGTGTGGTGAGATGTGTTCCACACTGGGCATGTGTACTCAGCAGCAGAGTAGCATAGCGCAAGGGCAGATGTCTTCACTGTGTTGGGTTGTGATCCCCAGGTTGTGCCAGTCAGCTTTCGTATGATATAGTTTCTGGCGCCCACTTTTTGCTTGATGTTCAGGCAGTGCTTCTTGTAGGTCAGAGCATGGTCCAGAGTGACTCCCAGGTATTTGGGTATGCTGCAATGCTCCAGTGGGATTCCTTCCCAGGTAATCCTCTGAGCTTGGGGTGCTTATCTGTTGTTAAGGTGAAAGGCACATGTCTGTGTTTTAGATGGGTTAGGGATCAGTTGGTTTTCCCTGTAATAGGCAGTAAGAGCACCTAGAGCTTCGGAGAGCTTCTGTTCAACCATCTCAAAGCTCCCTGCTTGAGCAGTAATGGCACAATCATCAGCACAGATGAAACTCTCTGTCCCTTCTGGCAGTGGCTGGTCATTTGTGTAAATGTTGAACATTGATGGAGCAAGCACGCTCCCCTGAGGCAGGGCGTTCTTCTGTTTCTGCCATCTGCTTCTCTGGCCCTGAACCCAACAAAAAAGCTCCTGCTTTGTAGCAGGTTTCCTATGAGGCGGGTGAGGTGGTAGTCCTTTGTGATATTATACAATTTTCTCAGGAGGAGGCGGTGGTTTACCTTGTGGATGATTCTCACTATTACATCTTCATGTGTGTGTGATTCAGGATGGGAAAGAGACTCTAGTGAAGGAGGTGTTTCCAGGGGACAGCGTGCACAGTCTCCTCAGCATCCTGGATGTCATTACGGTAAGGTCCTATTTCATACACAGGAGTGGTTATCTGCTCTTGCAACTAGACACGGATGAATCTTTGACCTTTTTCTGCATTTCCAGTGTTAAGATAGCTTAGTACAATTCCACATTGATTTATTTTTTTTAAAAAATGACCGTAAAATATTCTTTATTTTAATAAATACATTTGTATGGCTGTTTTTTTTTTCCTTATAGGCACACTTTTGAAATTTGTTCATCTTAATTTAATGGTAATGTCTGTAGACTTTTTTCCAACAAACACATTTTTAAAATTGCGGAGTTGTGTTGCAAAACCCGAATAAATGGGAATATTGGAGGAAAAATGCATTTCAGTTCTCATATGCTTTTGGAATGTGCACAAATCAGGAGGTTCACATTAAAATGTGGACCAAGCAAATTTATCCCTTGTCACATCCCTTTTTCTCGATCAGTTTTCTATATTCCTTGGCTGGATCTACGCTGCCCTATATCCCAGGATCTGATCCCAGATTATCTGCTTGAACTGAATTATATGTGTCTACACTGCCAGGTAATCTGGGATCAAATCCTGAGATATAACACAAAGTTGATTCTGCCCTAGTCATCCCAGATCTTAGTCAGAGCCTCCTTAAGCCAACGCAAACACAACTTCTTTTTATTTTTTGTTCCTTGTTCCTATTGAATGGACAAGGAATTTGGGAAGAGGATCCCAGTCTATGCCAAAACATCTCTAACTGGTAGAGCAAATGGAATTTGATGTTTTTTCACAATAAAATCTGTTTACCTCAGAAAATTGACTCTACGCAGTGAGTGTGGGTTTACATGCTTTTGAGGATGGGGCACCTTGTGTTTCACTCATACTGGCACAGAAGACATGGAGTTCTGTATACTGCTTAGATCTCTTGGATGTCTTTTTGACAGGGCCACCAAAGACCATATAGGACAGTGTCCGCACGGGTAGCTGAGGACTCCACAGTGTTACGTCTTCCTGTAGAAGCTTTCTCAGCTGTCTTTGAGAAATACCCTGAGAGCCTTGTCCGGGTAGTACAGGTAAGTCCCTTCTAACCCTAGCCAGAGCCTGCACTTTCATATTGTCCTCTGTCTGCCCCTTTACAACTATTATTTCTCTGTTTATGCATGAATAGTTTTATTTCTCTCTCACACACATGCACGACTCCAGCACTGTCCCAAATGTACTCCAAACATCTGCAGTGGCGGAACTTTCATTGGTGGGATGGTGATGAGAGCTCTAAGGAGGAACTTAATTCTTCCTGCGACTTGCAGGAAAATGGAAAACAAAATAATGGAAATGTCCTTGGTTTCCATACTTTACAAGGAGGGTAATCTGCATTTTCCCTGCAGTATTTGCAAAGTTCATTGCAAATATATTTTATACTGGGCTCATCCCATCAAAGATGTGGTGAAGAAAAAGCGAAGCCAGACCTTTAAAAGGCTATTTATGATGGGATTGTTGTGGAAATTGAAAAATTGTCATTGAGCAGTTTTCCTTCTAGTCTTTAATATTTTATTGGGCACCAATTGCACTCCCGTTGCCATACAAACCTCACCATGTTGATTCGATTCCTGCTGTTTTTCCTTTCCATTCAGATCATTATGGTGCGCCTGCAGAGAGTCACCTTCTTGGCCTTGCACAACTATCTTGGCCTGACGAATGAGCTTTTCAGCCATGTGAGTTATTAGCCAATAACGTGTTCTGTTCAATTCCACCCGTGAGAACTCCTTTTATTACTATATCCTACAGAACCCTATTCTCAATGCTAAGCATTTATTTGAAATATTGGAAGTAAAAATAAATTATCGTATATACTCGAGTATAAGCTGACCTGAATATAAACCGAGGCACCTAATTTTACCACAAAAAACTGGGAAAACTTATTGACTCGCGTATAAGCTGAGGGTGGGAAATGCAGCAGTTACTGGTGAATTTCAAAATAAAAATAGATATCAATAAAATTACATTAATTGTAATTTTAATATTTACATAAAACTGTAATTTAAGATAAGACTTAAATCATTATTCTAATCTTCAGTGTAAATGTGCTTATGTATCCTTCCAATAATAATAGAGTAAAATAATAATAATAATAATAATAATAATAATAATAATGAAATCCAGCATATATACCTCGTTTGCTGTGTCATACTGTGTTTTTGTGTCAGGATAATAATAATAATAATAATAATAATAATAATAATAATAATAATAATAATAGAGTAAAATAATGGAAACAGTAAAAGTAACAGTAAAATTATAAATGCAGTAACAATAAAAATAAGGTAAAATAATAAATGTAATAATAATAATAAAGAGTAAATAAATAATAATACTAATAATAAATATATTAAAATAATAAATGTAATAAAATAATAATATAGTAAAATACTGTAAATATAATAATAATAATAATAATAATAATAATAATAATAAATATATTAAAATAATTCATGTAATAAAATGATACTAATAACAAAGTAAAATAATAAGTAACCTTGACTCAAGTATAAGATGAGGGGAACTTTTTTCAGCCTAAAATTGAGCTGAAAAACTAGGCTTATGCTCGAGTATATACAGTATATTTCAGCCTGTACAGAACATTTACCCTTACTGTTCCTTAAGGATTAGGACTCTGGGTCTGAAGAAAATGGGATTTCCAAATACAAGAAGTCTGGGCAAGCTTACCACTTGTTTGTATGATAAATCTGGGTATCTTTCTTTTCCTCAGGAGATGCAGCCACTGAGGCTTTTTCCCCAGTCAAGCCACACCTCCCGCACCAGTCCTGTCCGGCACAGCAAGCGGGTAATTAGTGCCTCCTCCATTGAGGAAGCCAAAGATAGTGCTGGAAGGCAGCAGGACACTTCCCCCAAGGAGCAAGGTAAGGGGATCTATCCTGGGATTTTCCATGGGGAGTTAAGAGTGTTCAGTGATTCCCATGGATGCCTGTTGTGGGAGGCACACATTCATTTCTCATTTCTACAAGTCTCTTTCCCCTCTTCCGTCAAGGCCCACATAGACATCAGTGGGGCTAAGCGTTATTTGACTGCTAACTTCCTGCCTTACACAGTCTATTGGTTGCTACCTATCATCAGCTGACTGTAAGCTTATTTGAGATGTGGATGCAGCCATTTGTTTCTCTGGAATGACAGAAAGGCTGTGGTTTGAAGACACAACTAGGATTGTGAGAATAAGACTACTCTGTCACAGACATGGGTTTTAATATGGCCAAGATTGAGGCACGTAACTTGTGGGAAAATGAAAATGCATCTCTTGGATATTCCAATGCTTATGGTGGTAAGCATGTTTGACTGCCACCTCTGTGATGACCTTTAAGATATCGTTGGAGCTGGATAGTCAGAGATTACTTCTGTGAGTCATAGGCTCTCCCAGCATGTCTCTGTCAAAGGTGTCTAAAAATCTGGAACTCAGAACCCTGCCTTGTCTCAGCTGCCACCTGATTTTTCCCTCACCAAACTGCAGACCAGTAGTAAATATCTAAAAAAACTGTCCTGGTAATGATTTAGAAGCCCTTGCTATATGAAAATATTAGGGCTTTAAAACCCTCTTATTAGATACATCCTACCTTGTTCATGCCCAGCGTTTATTTTTTAATTTTTTAAACTACTACATTTGGTCCGGCCATAGGTTTTTAAATCTTTGTGTGTTAATGTTTATATGTGATTTATATTAATTGTATTGTTGTTGTTTTTGTTTATTGCTTTCTTGTTTACTGATGTATTGTTGGGCTTGGCCTCATGTAAGCTGCTCCGAGTTCCTTGGGGAGATGGAGGTGGGGTATAAATAAAGTTTTATTATTATTATTAATTATTATTATTATTATTATTGTGCCCCAAGTATGTGTAAGTCTGGCACCTCCATGTGTGTTGTTCTAATGAGTGATAGCCTTATAAATTCCCAGGTGACCCACTGAAGCCAGGCTTACTGGAGCCACCCGGGGCCCCACTGTTGAGTCGTTGCATCTCCATGCCAGTTGATATCTCAGGTAGGTGTCTTTCTTGCCACTTTCTCTCTTCCCATCACAATGACACATTTGTACCCTTGAGACCTTGGCCTTCATACCTCTGGTAACTAATGGACTCCTTTTTTTAAAAAATTCAGGAATCCAAAAGGGACCCCGTTCAGACTTTGACATGGCCTACGAGCGAGGCCGCATCTCAGTATCTCTTCAGGAGGACAGCTCAGTCTTTGCCCGGGTAAGTCTGTACTGATAGAAATGCCCTTCTTCCCCTGTGGGTTGAACTTGCTGGCTTGAACCAGGAGGCAGATCAGGATTTCCAGAGGAGTTCTGTCTGCTTGATGTTTGGTTGTAGGCCCCCAGTCAGACACCATCATGAGGGACAGGATTTGGAAATGAGGTAGTTTGGGTACTTCATATAGGTAGGCTTCTGTTCCTTCTGCATGCTCTTATTTTATCTTGTACCCATCCTTGGCAGTCAGTGTCTCATGAGTCTCGTGACCGCAAGTCTGTGACAGTGGAGGAGCAACCTTCTGGTATCTACCACTACAACTACTGTGAAGATGACTCAGCAACTGGAGACTGCCCTTTTGGACCCTACCAGGGCCGCCAGACGAGTGCCATTTTTGAAGCCGCCAAACGGGAGCTGGTCAAGCTCATGAAAATTGAGGTAGAGGCTGCTGTTAATGTTTATATCCACTTGCCCTATTTTCACTCTCAGTGGGAAGTACAGCAGAGAGGATCATTGTAAAGAGGTTTCTAATAGTCAGCAGTTGGGGAATGGGCTGTGAGATCTCCTTTGCACAAGTGGCTGTAGTTATAGGGCACGGGCCTAAAATCTAAGCAGGATCACTATTTCCCTCTTTCCACAGGATCCCTCCTTGCTGAATCATCGGGTGTTGCTGCATCATGCCAAGGCTGGGACAGTGATTGCTCGTCAAGGAGATCAGGTAGGTATTGTGAAAGGCAGGCGATCAATAAAGAAGGCCAGCGGAGTAGGATTTGTAGGCAGCCCCTTCTCTCTGGTAACTTGAAAACTCACATACGAGGGGCATTCATTTAAGATTTCCTCTGACCCACTTCCTGTGTACTGAGGGCAATGAAGCTTGATACAGTTATTAGTCCTTATCTACATAGGTGCCACCTAGGGACACACACTTCTCCAATCTTTTTGAGCAACTGTAAACACCTCACTTGTACAAATTGACAGTTTGCTTCAAAAGCCACATTGTGACTTTGGAAATCAGAGTCTCATCATCTGAAAAATGCTTGCCCTTCAAAAATAACTTAATTCTTGGAAAGAGGTGGAATTCCGATGGTGCGAGGTCGAGTGAATAAGGGAGATGTGGTAGAATTTCAAAGCCACAGGAGCATGCTTCCATTGGGCAACATATGAGTTGTGAACTGGTGTATTGTCTTGCTGAAGGCAGACACCTTTGGTGAACATGCCACGTCTCTTGCTTTTGATGGCCTCCCACAATTTCCGCAGCGGTGAAGCATAGTATGCTCCAGTGATCATGGTATCCTTTACTAGGAACTCTATCAGTACTGGGTTGTTGTAGGTTTTCCGGGCTATATGGCCATGTTCTAGAGGCATTTTCTCCTGACGTTTCGCCTGCATCTATGGCAAGCCTCAGAGGTAGTGAGGTCTGCTGGAAGTAGGAAAATGGGTTTATATATCTGTGGAAAGACCAGGGTGGGAGAAAGGACTTTTGTCTGCTGGAGCTAGGTGTGAATGTTTCAACTGACCACCTTGATTAGCATTTAATGGCTTGGAAGTGCCTTGGGGAATCTTTCTTTGAGAGGTGAAAATATGAACATGCTGTTCACCAAAAAATATGAAGTCGTCCAAAGGAAGAGGGAGTATGGTTGCTGAAACAGCTGTACCTTTAAATTTCTCTTTATTTTAAATGTTGAAATATATCCCACTGATTATACCAATATCAGGGGAGATTAAAGCAGAGAAGGTTAGAGACACTTAGTATTTTAAAAGGTAGGAACTGGGAAACACTAGAACTGAGAGACTTAAAAATGTTTCTTCAAATGAATTCCGCTGCCACCATTCCAGTATTAATCAGGTTGAGGTAATATTGTGAGTTTGTTCTGTAACACATACTGTGGCACTATAGTTTCTTAGTGGCTGCTGTGAATCTGACTTTTAGAAATACTTTGACCACAAAGGTACACACAGCGAGGCTGGTATAAGATAATAAAAGAACAAGAAGGTTTATTGAACAAGCTTGAAATAATTCAGGTACAAATGCTTAATGGTTTCAGAAAATACTGGCATGAAAAGCTTGTGGTTGCATTAGAGTAAAATCTTAAACTCTTCTGGTTTACAAGTCTTCAAAGTTCCACCACAGAAAATTATTTCAGGAAATTAATCTCTGAATGTAACTCCCAAAACTGCCACTTAGGAATCTAGCCAAAAATACCCTGAACTAGACTTCCCTAGGAATTGAACAGTCCACTAACTGGGCCCTGCTCCACAACAGTATTCTAGCTATGTGGTAATAGCTACTCTGAATACCTCACAAAAGACTAACCCAATCTTCTTCTCTAAACCCAAACTTGCTCTGACTAACACCAACTCTTCCAACTGCTCTCTAACAACTCCAACCGACAACTAACTAACTGACAACTAGGACTTCAAGCCTCTGTTTTGAAAGGACATTTTTTTCCTCTAAACCACTTAGGCTCTGTCCCATCTTTCTAGCCAATACTAGCCTCCTTATTTTCCCTCTAAGACTTGAACACACCCCCTCAAGGAAAACCTAACTAAAATGTCTTCCACCCAGCTCCCTTTTCTAAAATGAACACTGTGGCTTTGCCAGGCTCACTCCCTTAGGCTTCAGCCAGCCCGCTAAGGTAAGGGATTTATTACACCTACCCTTGAGTTTCCTGCATTCCCACACAACAGAGATACCAGTGTATTTTCAGAGTTTAAGAGGAAGGTGTTTAAAAATAAGCACACTAAATAACCATGGCTATTTCTCTCTTGAAACTGAGTTTGTATGCCATGGCAATAATACCACCTTATAACAGTTCTTAGCTCTCTGGTTTTATTATTGTTCTCTGCCCTTCCCAGCCTAGAACCTCTTCCCCATATACTTAAGTGCTGCTCTTCTCTTGGCAGGATGTCAGTCTGCACTTTGTGCTTTGGGGCTGTCTGCATGTTTATCAGAGGATGATAGACAAAGCCGAGGATGTGTGCCTCTTCCTGACTCAGCCGGGTGAGATGGTGGGCCAGCTGGCTGTCCTCACTGGAGAACCACTCATTTTCACTATCAAGGCCAACCGCGACTGTACTTTCCTCAAGATTTCCAAGTCTGACTTCTATGAGTGAGTGATGCATTATCAAGTACACATATACATACAATGGCTTTCTACACAATTCCTTATTTTTGTCCCAGGTGCACCACCATTTCCACTCAGTGATGCTTGGCACAGGTCCCCCACTACTTACTTTACTTAGAAACTTTCCATGTGATGCCCATGACTTCTCCCTCTTCCAGGATCATGCGGGAACAGCCAAGTGTGGTCCTGAGTGTCGCCCATACTGTAGCAGCCCGTATGTCTCCGTTTGTGCGCCAGATGGACTTTGCGATTGACTGGATGGCTGTGGAGGCCGGACGGGCCCTTTACAGGTATGGAAGACTAGCAACTGCTCCCTGTCGTGTTTGGAATTGCTCCTTTGTTTTGCAAAAGTGCCCCATCTTAGAACTGAACAGGCTCCAAGCTTCTCCTCCACACAAGGCAATGGTGCGTTCTTCATGTTCCTGCAGCTTGAATTCTGTCATTTCAGTCTCTCCAGTGTTGCACTCTAAAACTGAAAGGGGAGACAAAGCACTCACTTGCTCTGAAAGGAAGTAGACTGATGAGATGTGCATATATATGTATATATTATTATATATAATATTATTCTAACTTATATGCCTCCACTCCCCTGGGACTCGGAGCAGCTTACAAGAACGGGCTAAAATCTAACACAATTTAAAAACCATTTAAAACAATTTAAAAACAGCAATATCAAAGATCAAAGGCCTGTCAAAACAGATATGTCTTACATGCCCTGCGGAAAGCTGATAAGTCCCGCAAGGCACGGACTTCGGGTGGCAGAGTATTCCAGAGGGATGGTGCCACTGCTGTAAAGGCTCTGCGTCTGGTTGCTGTTAGACGCAAGGTCTTGACAGTGGGAATTTCCAACAAATCTTGGTCCTCACACAAATGCTGTGCAGATGAGAGTTCTATGGGTACCAGAAACCTTGGTAAGGTTTAACCAGTTTTCTCCTCCTCTTTCATGTTTTCCCCAGGCAGGGTGACAAGTCAGATTGCACCTACATTGTTCTGAATGGGCGTCTGCGCTCTGTGATCCAGAAGGGCAATGGCAAGAAGGAGTTGGTAGGAGAGTATGGCCGCGGAGACCTTATCGGAGTGGTGAGTGGTAGGATGGGAAACAGTTTGGCAGGAGCTCTCAAGAGTTGTAGGCTGGTTGTTGGATGACATATCACTCTATCTATCTGTCTATCTATCTATCTATATATATAAATGCTCTGTGCATAATGAGTACCTTAAAAACAAAATAACCAATGAACAAAATCACACCAAATTTGGCAACAAAATGTCTCACAACACAAGGAATGACCATCACTCAAAAAAATTATGATTTTGTCATTTGGGAGTTGTAGTTGCTGGGATTTATAGTTCACAAATCATCCGGCGTCCCCTGGGCAACATCCTTGCAGACCGCCAATTCTCTCACAACAGGATGCTCCTGACACGACAAAAAAAAAATCGTTCACCTACAATGAAAGAGCATTCTGAACTCCATCAACAATGGAATTGAACCAATCTTGGCACACAGAACTCCCATGACCAACGGAAAATACTGGAAGGGTTTGGTGGGCATTGACCTTGGGTTTGGGAGTTGTAGTTCACCTACATCCAGAGAGCACTGTGGACTCAAACAATGATGGATCTGGACCAAACTTGGCACGAATATTCCATATGGCCAAATATGAACACAGAAGGGGTTTGGGGGAAATAGACCTTGACATTTGGGAGTTGTAGACACTGGGATTCACAGTTCACCTACAATCAAAGAGCATTCTGAACCCCACCAATGACAGAATCGGGCCAACTTCCCACAAAGAACCCCCATGACCAACAGAAAATACTTAAGGCCATCCACTCCAACTCCTTTCACCAGGGCAAGAAAACATAATCAAAGTCCTCCTGACAAAGAGCCATCCAGCCAAAGATATAGAGAAATAGATATGATTCACACACAGAGAGATATAATATCATAGATTTGAAAGGGACCCTTAAAGAAGGACAATTATATGTTGCATGTTCCAAAGTAGGCAAACCAGACAATCTCTACATCAACACCGACAAAGAAACAACAAGAAACACTTTTAACCCACAAGCATTACATATATTAGAAACCAACTCTTTCTCATTACTTTATTTTCCAGATCACGAGACTGGGCCACAGCAACGCGTGGCAGGGGACCACTAGTATATATATAAAAATGCTCTGTGCATAATGAGTACCTTAAAAACGAAAGAACCAATGAACGAAATCACACCAAATTTGGCAACACAACGTCTCACAACACAAGGGGTGACCATCACTCAAAAATTATGACCATCCAGTCCAAGTCCCTTCATCAGGGCAAGAAAACGTAATCAAAGTCCTCCTGACAAAGAGCCATCCAGCCATAGATAGATAGATAGATAGATAGATAGATAGATAGATAGATAGATAGATAGATAGATAGATAGAGATATTATTCACACACAGAGAGATATAGTATCATAGATTTGAAAGGGACCCTTAAAGAAGGACAGTGTTCCAGGGTGGGCAAACCAGACACTCTCCACATCAACACTGACAAAGAAACAGTAAGAATATTGTTTACCCACAAGCATAAAGAAATTACATATATTAGAAACCAACACTTTCTCATTACTTTATTTTCAAGATCAACAGACTGGGCCACAGCAATGCGTGGCAGGGGACAGCTAGTAAAAGCTGGGCACTTTTAGCCCTTTCCTTCCCACACAACTTGTCTTAGCCACTAGTTGTGTGGCAAGCTGAAATCTCTTTCTGCACAGAAAATGGAGGTGTTTGGGAGTAATACAGTTGCTTGTATCCTTATAGAGCTGGGTTTATTTTCATACGTTTTAATGCATTTGAGAGGCTGAGGGACAGAGTATGAGACCCCTGCACTAAATGGATGCATGCACTCATTCAGTAGTAGTATGCTGTGGATTTATAGTAAAGCTGAGGGATCTCTCTGTGTACCCTCGTTTATTGGAGAATTTGAGCCTAAAATCCTTATTATAAACATAAGAAATCACAGACATACACATGTGCTTCTATTTGGACTTACGAGTGAACTTTCAGACATGTGATAGTCTATTAGACATGAACTTTAATGGGACATGTATGCGCTTAGGATTAAAAATTGAACTTACCTTACTTCAAGGTGGACCCATAAACTGGAAGAGCAGTTTGGTTCAGTTTTGAGCAAATGTGAACATTTCTGGTTTTGCTCAATCGTAATGCCTCTTAGTTTAGAGCAGTGTTTCTCAACCTGTGGGTCCCCAGGTGTTTTGGCCTACAACTCCCAGAAATCCCAGCCAGTTTACTAGCTGTTAGGATTTCTGGGAGTTGAAGGCCAAAACATCTGGGGACCCACAGGTTGAGAACCACTGGTTTAGAGCTTTCCAATCATTTATTTATTTATTTATTTACAGCATTTATCTTCCGCCCTTCTCACCCCGCAGGGGACTCAGGGTGGATTACAATGTACACATATATGGCAAACATTCAATGCCAACTAGACATACAAACATATACAGACATACACAGAGGCTATTTAACTTTTTCTGGCCACCAGGGGAGCTGTCGCTTTCATCGTCCATCTGTGACACTGATGAAGTACTTCCGCATTCCCCGCATGCTTTGCTGGAGTGCTTTTGATGGAGTCTTTTTTATGGCCTCATAAATTAATTAAATTAGCCTCCCCACACATAGGTGGTACCTAATTTTCCTACTTTAAAAAAATGTTTTATTGGTTTTTTCCCACTCCCACCCTCCTTCCTTGTACATGTAATTTATACATCAAACTACAGAATTTACATTTGAAATATCAGTCTCAGTCTTAATTTTTCTATTCCACATCTTAACATATTCTCTAAATAATTCCTAACTGGTTCCCACATCATCTTAGTTATTGTAACCTTTTCAGTTTTATCTATATTATTCCATTTGCAATTTGTTATTTCCACATTTAACATATTAACTATATAATTATACCAATTAATCAGTGTCCATTTTGTTTTGTCTTTCCAATCCCTCACTAAAACAATTTGTGCACACGCTATTAATTTGTCAACCAATTTTTCCTTTTGTATATTCTTCACTCCTGTTATCTGTGCATGTAGTACATTTCTATTAATTATTACTATTTGTAAATTTAACATTCTATTGCTTTCCCCTTCAATCATTTTCCAGTATTCTTGCACGTGATCACATTCCCATATCATATGATTAAGCACCCCTCTTTGTTCACAGCCATGCCAACACCTATCCTTTATCCCTGGTACAAAGCGTGAAAATTGTGCAGGAGTTCTGTACCAGTTTTGTAACATTTTCCTTCTTGTTTCCCTTAATACATTATACTTTTCTTTTGCTATATTACTTATTTTCCTTTGTATATCTTCCCTAATTTTCCTACTTGACAGATGCAACTGTCTTTCGGGTTGCAAAGGTCGACAACAAGCTACACAATTGGTCGGACACTTACTCTGACCCGGGCTGGCTTCGAACTCTTGACCTTTTGGTCAGAAGTGATCTTAATGCAGCTGACACTCAGCTAGCTGCGCCACAATCCCGGTGCGTTTCCATGTTAGTGAAACACTTTTTAGAAATGCATCATTTTGCAACATAGTAATTCAGTTTTATTAGCAAACTGGATTTTAAACAACCCCTTATAAGAAATATAGACACATCTGTAAATTGTAATAACTAAATGTATGGGGACACAACATATATATGAAAACTTGTATATTTTTTGAAATAAATAATTTTGTGGCCCTTTCACATAAATTCAGAGGTTTCCTGTTCCATTCATGCAACACACTGCAGCCGGCAAGCTAAAGTGTTGCCACATACAGTTTGGAAAGCACTGTCCTCGATTATTCTTTTTTCTGTGCTTGTCCCTTAATTAAATATCACCCAACTGTTCTGTTTTGCCTTGCCCTGAGCTCTGAGGAGCAACTCTCTTTCATTCTAGGCGAATTCTAAGGGTAATACTAACCAATTTGACCTAACTGTTGAACCTTCAGGTAGAAGCCCTGACCCGCCAAGTCCGAGCCACCACTGTCCATGCCGTGAGGGACACAGAACTGGCCAAGCTCCCAGAAGGGACCCTCAACAATATCAAACGGCGCTACCCTCAGGTGGGTCATCAGAAACTTGGCATTTGGGATATGTTCTGCATGTTGAGTGCACCGAATGAAGTCTCTGTGCTGTTGGTACACATATAATATGACTCGTTCTAATAATTTGTTTGGAATATAAACATGCTTAAGTAGAAAAGTCTTATAAATATATATAAATGCTATGTGTAAATATAAAAAGGATGCATGTTGCAGGTTTTCTCTATGTTGTAGGTTTTCCTTGGATTGCTTTGAAATTCTTTTTTTTTTCGTTAATAGAAAGCAGAGGCTGGAAAATTTAATCTTAGGACTGCAGATTTCAACATTCCCAGTTTGTGCTCACACTGGTTGCTATATCCCAGAAAATTAACTTTTTCACTTTGAATGATCTTCGCCAGGAACTGGACAGGGGGAGTGTGTCCCTGTTGGTTCTGCTGGACCTCTCATCGGCCTTCGATACCGTCGACCACGGTATCCTTCTGGGACGCCTCGCGGGAATGAGTCTTGGGGGTACTGCTTTGCAGTGGCTCCAGTCCTTCCTCGAGGGCTGCTCCCAGAAGGTGTTGCTAGGGGACTCCTGTTCGACCCCACGGCCATTGCACTGTGGAGTCCCGCAGGGCTCAATACTGTCCCCTATGTTGTTTAACATATACATGAAGCTGCTGGAAGAGATCATCCGGAGTTTTGGGGTTCGGTGTCATTTGTATGCAGATGATGTCCAACTCTGTTACTCCTTTCCACCTGCTTCTAAGGAGGCTGTTCAAGTCCTGAACTGGTGCTTGGCCACTGTAACGGACTGGATGAGGGCCAACAGATTGAAACTAAATCCAGACAAGACAGAGGTACTCCTGGTCAGTCAAAAGGCCGAACAGGGCATAGGGTTACAGCCTGTGCTGGACAGGGTTACACTCCCCCTGAAGGCTCAGGTTCGCAGTCTGGGAGTGATCCTGGACTCATTGCTGAGGGTGGAACCCCAGGTCTCGGTGGTGGTCAGGGGAACTTTTGCACAATTAAAACTTTTGCGCCAGCTGCGCCCGTACCTTGGGAAGTCTGACTTGGCCACGGTGGTCCACGCTCTGGTTACATCCCATATAGACTACTGCAACGCTCTCTATGTGGGGTTGCCTCTGAAGACTGCCCGGAAGCTGCAATTAGTCCAACGAGCGTCAGCCAGATTACTAAGAAGAGCGGGGTACAGGGAGCATACTACTCCTCTGTTGCGCCAGCTCCACTGGCTGCCAATTAGCTTCCAAGCACAATTCAAAGTGCTGGTGTTGACCTATAAATCTCTAAACGACTCTGGCCCAGTTTACCTGTCTGAATGGATTCGCCCCTATGAACCATCAAGGTTGTTAAGATCTTCTGGAGGGGCCCTGCTCTCGGTCCCACCACCCTCGCAATCGCGTCTGGTGGGGACAAGGGCCAGGGCCTTCTTGGTGGTGGCCCCTCGGCTCTGGAACTCTCTCCCATTGGAGATTAGAACTGCCCCTTCCCTCCTGACCTTTAGAAAGTTGGTGAAAACCTGGCTCTGGAATCTGGTGAATGAGTCAATAATTCTTGACCACACGGATGGATGTGGATGAATAGTGAATTTATTCTAACGATTTGGCCTTATGTAATTATATGATTGTATTTTAATGTGTTTTATATTAGTGTATTATTGGATGTGATGTTTTAAACTATTGTGTATGAATTCCTCTGTTTTAAACCGGCCTGAGTCCCTCGTCGGAGGTGAGAAGACCGGTATATAAAATAAATAAATAAATAGATAGATAGACAGAATCCTATAAAATGCCCATGTTCAAATGAGGGCATAGCTCGCATTGGAAAGCTTATGGGTACAGTTAAGGTACACCGAGGAAGTTTGAGATGGAATCAAGGAATTTGGAGTGTTTTACAAATCTTTCATTTGGAATAAAAAAGCTTTAAGAGGAGTGTTCGGTGGAGAGGTTCCCTGTGAGCTTCAAACCGTGAAATGGGCGAGTTACACTGCATTTTTGCTGAAGCGGTTCCCAACCTCAGGGTCCAATAAATTACTCTGTATGTAAGCAGTATTTGTATGTTGCTCAAGTGCTCATAGTAACCAAGCTAAGAAAGCAACAGGTTCTTTCCACTGCCTTTGTGGCCTCTTAATTCCCAATCTTCTTGCACAGGTTGTTACTCGCCTTATCCATCTCCTGAGTCAGAAGATCCTGGGGAACCTCCAGCAGTTGCGTGGCCCTTTCACAGGTTAGGAGGGGTGCATTTTAGGCAATACCCTGGCCTCCTGCTGCATGATGTAGGGGATGTCCCTTCTGTGCAGCATTGAAGGTTCAAAGACTATTCCTATGTGGGAAATAGAAATGGGTGCTGATGTGGTCCTCATTTTGAGACCAACCACTTCAGGACTTCACAGGGAAAGCTATGTCTACCATGTAGGTCCTGGTCTTGGTATGCCCTCCAGCTCAGAGTTGACCAATCCAGCTAGTAACCTCTCAACCGTGGCAGTTCTTCCTGTCTGTAATGACGTGCCTATGGCAGCCTTCACGTTGGAACTAAAGCATGCCCTGAATGCCATTGGTGAGTTTTGCCTTTGCTATCTCCTCATGCTTTACTTGACCTTGGTTTCTTCAGCCAAAACTAATTTTCCTCTGGCTTCCCAGGTCCAACACTGTTGCTCACCAGTGACATCATACGGGCTCGCCTTGGGGCCTCGGCATTGGACAGGTACTGTTGTGTTGATATATACATTTATGTACTTGGGGACTATAGACATTAAAATTGTAGTTGCTCTTACCCTGGGCATAGACAGAATATCTCTTCCCAGTATTGCCCAGGGCTCTGCCTGTTTCAGCCATTCCCCAGCATATCCTTACCATGGTGCAGCTTCCTTAGCAATTCCTTCCGTCTGCTCTGGAGATGCACTGTTGCTCATTTAACTTGTATTTAAACTCTGTGTTTTTACCTCTTGTTTTAATGATGATGTACCCTGCCTTGAGTTGTGGGTTGTTGTTGTTATGCAGTTTTGTGGTTTTCAAAATGTACAGTGGGTTGAGAAGTAGGCCCAAGTATTTACAGGACCACAATGGATTATTATTATTATTATTATTATTATTATTATTATTATTATTAAACACCACAAGATGAGTACACAGCAGACACTCTGCTGGCTGTTGTATTGGATCACACGTCGCACACTTCCCAATTATCTAGGACTGTGTGATATATCGGTGAATAATGCATGCAGATCCCAGTAAGGTGGCCTTTTGCAGCTGGCAGATGGTAATCTTGTCAGCGCCGATTGTGTTTAAGTGCAGGCCAAGGTCTTTAGGCACTGCACCCAATGTGCCAGTCACCACTGGGACCACCTTTATTGGCTTGTGCCAGAGTCTTTGCAGTTCAATCTTTAAATCCTCATATTGTGTCATCTTTTCCAGTTGTTTCTTTTCAATCCTGCTGTCACCTGGGATTGCAACATCGACAATCCATACTTTGTCTTTTAACACAATCGTGAGGTCAGGAGTATTGTGCTCCAAAACTCTGTCTGTCTGAATCCGGAAGTCCCAGAGTAGCTTGACGTGTTCATTTTCTGTAACTTTTTCTGGCTTGTGTTGCAGGCAGATGGTATTTGTGGCACAAGTTCCAATGAATCATCTGAGCAGCGGTGTTGTGCCTCTGCTTGTAGTCTGTCTGCACGAACTTCTTGCAGCAGCTGAGGATGTGATCTATTGTTTCATCAGCTTCCTTGCAGAGCCTACACTTGGGATCTGTCATCGACTTTTCAATTCTGTCTTTGATGGCATTGGTTCAAATGGCTTGTTCTTGGGCTGCCAGAATCAGGCCCTCCGTCTCCTTTTTCAAAGTTCCATTTGTGAGCCACAGCCATGTTTTTTCTTAATTTGGCTCTCAATTTTTCCCAGGGACTGTCCATGGAGAGCCTTCTTTCGTCAGTTATTATTATTATTATTATTATTATTATTATTATTATTATTTGAAACACGACAAGATGAGTCCACAGCAAATAAGATCAGTTTGTGGGCTGTTGTATTGGATCACACTATTATTTATTTATACCCTGTTTTTCTCCCTCATGGGACCCAAAGCAGCTTACAACATCTTAAAATCATGCAGACAGACCAAATACACCAATAATAAATATAAATATCATAAAATAAGATTGTTTTTTTAAAAAAAACTACAATATACAGTCACATTTGTGTAGCATATGTCAGGTTATATTTCACTCTGGTCCAGTAGTCAATTATGGCAGTTCTGTCGCTCAAAGATAAAAAGAGAGAGATGTTAGGTTGCTCTTCTGGACTGTCTCCACTCTGCTTTCTCCACAGTTAAGTACTCATGAGCAAGGCTATATGCCAAAATAACCAATGCCTTATCTCCTTCTTTCTCTCCAGCATCCATGAATACCGGCTGTCTGGTTGGCTGGCTCAGCAAGAGGACATCCATCGCATTGTGCTGTACCAGACCGATTACACCTTGACTCCCTGGACAGTGCGCTGCATTCGCCAAGCTGACTGCATTCTCATTGTGGGCCTAGGGGACCAAGAGCCCACGCTGGGTGAGGTAAAGGGTTGTCATAGGATGTCAAGACTTGGGTGGGCCTGGGAAACAAGACTTTCTCTGCTAGGATCAGAGGACGGGACTGTTCCACAGTGAGGGGCATGGAGATAGATGGCTTCAGTAGTTCCTGCCATGAAATGGCCAGAGCTGGTATAAGCTGTGTAAGTCTTTGACTTGGGTAGTATATGTAATTCATCAGTATTGGTTTTTATTTTCTTTCCTTCAGAGTCTGGAAAGGTTGCCTTTATTCACTCTAATTCTTAAAATCTTTCCATTTCATGCTAGAGTATTCTGGGAGCTGTTTTCCCCTAATGTATTTGTTTTTGTGTTAGGCTTTACTTGAAACCCTTTCTATCTGTGACTGATCCATTTACCCATATTGGACACAAGACTCCGGTCTCTAGAAATCCTGCCACTCACCCCCATTATTCCCTTCCTTGATTAGGCTACTGGGTCTTAGGGTGACCTTTTTTGTGGCTGGGTTATTAATGTGAGTTCATTAGTTTGGTATGTGACATATCTCCAATTCAGACTTGACAGGCAGAAAGAGACATGTTTAAAACAACAATACTAAACACAACAGAAAAGCATATTAAACTTTAGGCTCCCCAAAATCTTAAGTAGCTGTGTTGTTGAAGGCTTTCATGGCCGGAATCACTGATTTGCTGTGAGTTTTCTGGGCTGTATGGCGATGTTCCAGAAGCATTTTCTCCTGATGTTTCACCCACATCTATGGCAGGCATTCTCAGAGGTTGTGAGATCTGTTGGAAACTAGGCAAGTGAGGTTCATATATCTGTGGAATGTCCAGGGTGAGGGAAAGAACTTTTGTTTGCTTGAGGCAAGTGCGAATGTTGCAATTGGCCAATTTGATTAGCATTAATGGCCTTGAAGCTTGAAAGTATGGCTGGTTGCTGCCTGGGGATCCTTTGTTGGGAGGTGTTAGCTGGCCCTGATAGATTCTTATCTGGAATTGCCCTGTTTCATAAAGGTAGCTCTCTATCAAATTCAAAACCTCATATCAGCTCAAAATCTTGTCCATGGGTTTTTTTGGGGGGTTTTTTTGGTCGTGTCAGGAGCGACTTGAGAAACTGCAAGTCGCTTCTGGTGTGAGAGAATTGGCCGTCTGCAAGGACGTTGCCCAGGGAACACCCGGATCAATTGATGTTTTTATCATCCTTGTGGGAGGCTTCTCTCATGACCTCGCTTGGGGAGCTGGATCCGACAGAGGGAGCTCATCCGCCTCTCCCCGGATTCAAACCTGCGACCTTCAGTCTTGCCAGCACAGGGGTTTAACCCACTGCGCCACCGGGGGCTCCATTTGTCTGTGGGTGCATCTTTAGAATGAATGCAGTTTGAGTCATGTGAATTAATGCTATGGAATCCTTGGAGTTGTACTTTGGTGAAACACCAGCGTTCTTTGGCAGAGAAGTCAAAAGATATTATATAACTTCAATTCCATTGATTCCAGAGCATTGGGCCTTGGCAATTAAAGTGTCACAACTCAGGATAGATTCACCTTGCTCAAGACACCACCACACACCGAGGCTGTAGGTTTTGCAGTTTATTGAGAAAAAGCAAAATCAAAACAGAGAGATAAAGAAGTAAAGTTCAATAGGCAAAACAGAGCCTTAAATGCAAAGGCAAAGTTCCCAAGTTCCAAAGGCAAATAACATGAAGCATAGTCCTTTAGATTGGTTAAACAAGAGTCCATGGTAGCAATACAAGCAAAATCAGGATCAAAATCAAAGTCCCTAAGAGCCAGAAGCTTTCTGCAAAAGCCAAGGTATTTCCACAGAAGTTAACAGGGTAAAAGCAACATTGGACTGACAGAGAATGCCCTTCAATCAGATCATTAAATAGGTTTCCCCAACATGAAAGCATTACATTGACCTCTAGCTTCACTCTTGTTGGCAAGGCGTGCACTTCTCCGAACTCTTAATTGCAAACGGCCCTGTCTAATCAAATCTCCACTTTCTTCAAGGCCGGATAGCTCATTATCTTGGCTCTGCTGGGTCTGGTCACCTTGGGAACCAGGAGGCCCTGAGCTCCCTGAAGGAGCCTCCACCTGGAGCTGCAGAGTTTCACTATCTTTATCTAAAACCACATTCCTTTCTCTGGGAAACAGAAATGCCGTCTCTTCCTCAGAATCAACACTGTCTGCTTCAACTGCCTCATTAACCAGAACATGTACAGAAATCTGTAACCCATCATCCTCCTCGTCCTGAGGAAACTCAGGCTCAGACTGAACCACAACATAAAGTGGCTCCAACTGCATTACTTCTATAGTTGATGCACCCATAATCAGCTCAACACCCTGTCAGCTTCACCTTCAAACCCTGTCTGAATTCCCATGAAAGCAAGTTTCTGCCTTTTGATTATTCTTTGTAGCCCGCCCTTCACAGCCTTCCTGGGCCGTAATTGGCTGTTTTGAAACTAAGTCTGCCAAGCTTCCTCTTCACACTACCCATCTGAGAATGACATTCATTGTAATGGCCATAGCTTTTTACCTTTTCTCTTGGGTATGATGATTCCTGTTTGTGGTAGGAACTGCAAGAGAGGGTTAAGTGGGCAATGAAATAAAAGAAAGTAAGGAGCCCTTTGTGTGTTCTGATAGAAATCAAGACAGTGTAATCGACTTCTCCTTTGTCTTTCCCTCTCTCTCTCTCCTTTACCCAGCTAGAGCAGATGCTGGAGAACACTGCGGTGCGTGCTCTGAAGCAACTCATCCTCCTGCACCGCGAGGACGGCCCAACTCCTGCCCGCACTGTAGAGTGGCTCAACATGCGTAGCTGGTGTTCAGGACATTTACACATCAAGTGCCCGCGCAGAGTTTTTTCCCGACGCAGCCCCAACAAGCTGGTAGCCAACAACATTGCTGTTTTATTGATTTGTTTTCCTTCACAGATCTATCTCTATTTGTGCTCATAATTCTAGAAAACCACTTCCTTGATTACGCCATTCTGCTTTATGTGGCAAAATGTAATTTCTCATTATAAAGACATGCCTCTTTCTGCCATTGGCATTCTGCTTCAGCTGGGATACTACTGTATTTATTGAATTTTATTATTTATTTATTTTATTATTTACAGTATTTATATTCCACTCTTCTCACCCTGCAGGGGACTCAGGGGGAATTACAATGTACAATGTTCTCGGGAGGCCCTGCTCTCGGCTCCACCTCTGTCACAAGTGAGGTTGGTGGGGACAAGGAGCAGGGCCTTCTCGGTGGTGGCCCCTCACTTGTGGAATTCACTCCCCGGGGAAATTAAGTCATTGACATCCCTCCTCTCTTTTAGAAGGAAATTAAAAACATGGATTTGGGACCAGGCTTTCGGGGAATCTGGCAGATAGACAAAGGACAAACGACGACTAGAACTGATGGATTTGACAATGTGGAATTGAATTCACAGACTCTGAGCTAGCAAATGTTGAGCATTAGATTAATTTTTAGGGACTATGATGTATAAGGGATTGTTTTTAATTGTTTAATAACTGTTTATATGTTTTTTTTACCTTGCTGTTGTGCTGGCATAGAATTGTGCCTTTTGTAAGCCGCCCTGAGTCCCCCTCGGGGGTTGAGAAGGGCGGGGTAGAAGTGCGAGAAATAAATAAATAAAACAAATACATATACATGACAAACACTCAATGCCATACACACACAACATATATAGACAGTTTAACATTATATATAGAGGCAGTTTAACTTTCCAGCTTTTCTTGAGGGTATTCTGGCCACCAGGGGAGCTGTCGCTTCACTGACCATTTGTGACACTGATGAAGTACTTCCTCATGCTTTGCATGCTTGCTGGAGATTTTTATGGCCTCGTAAATTAGTTAAATTTGCCTCCCCGCATAAGCAGTAACTAAATTTCCTACTTGACAGATGGAACTTTCTTTCGGGGTGCAAAGGTTGACAGCAAGCTACACAAAATTTGTCGGAAGCTCACTCTGACCCGAGCTGGCTTTGAACTCATGACCTTTCAGTCAGTAGTGATCCTAATGCAGCTGACCCCAGTGTAGAGTTTGGTCCAGATCCATCAATGTTTGAGTCCACAGTGATCTTTGGATGTAGGCGAACTACAACTCCAAAACCAAAGGACACTGCCCACCAAACCCTTCCAGTGTTTTTTGTTGGCCATGGGAGAACTGTGTGCCAAGTTTGGTTCAATTCCATCGTTGATGGGGTTCAGAATGTTCTTTGATTGTAGGTGAACTACAGATCCCAACAACTACAACTCCCAAATGACAAAATCAATTTTTTTGAGTGGAGAACATACATTGGGTTGTTAGGTGTATCGTGTCCAAATTTGGTGCCAATTGCCCCAGTGGTTTTTGAGTACTGTGGATCCCACAAACGAACATTACATTTTTATTTATATAGGTAGACTTCCGCATCTTTCAGGATGGTTGAGTAATCTTGTGTGCTCTTTCTCTCTCTCTCTCTTTCTTCCTCTCTCCTCCATCCCTCCTGTTTCTCAACCATTCTTATTCCTTGGCACAGAGGGAGATGTACGAGAAAGTCTTTGAGAAGAATGCCGATCGCCACAGTGATTTCTCCCGGCTGGCACGAGTCCTTACAGGCAACACAATTGCCTTGGTTCTAGGTGGCGGTGGGGCCAGGTAGTTTGCTCCAAAGAAGTCAGGGAATGTTTGTAGGGTGGCATGAGGACCTGCATGCATTTTTCTGGAATCCTGGATAAAAATATCCAGAACTGAAGAGCCACCTCATACAGTCATAGACAAAGAGGTGCTTTGGTCTTTCCCTCTCGATCCAAAATGAGAAAAGCAGGCACTCTGTTCATAACCTAGAAAAATGGAAAATATTCCCCATTTCCTTTGTCTAGTGGGAGGGAGAGACTAAATGTATTCCCACTCCATTTTGAACAGATGAGGCAAGGTGGGCTAATGTTCTATACTGGTATTACAGGCTTGGCTCTTCCCTTCCTTGCAGGGGTTGTTCTCACATTGGTGTGATCAAGGCTATGGAGGAAGCTGGGCTCCCCATTGACCTAATCGGTGGCACTTCCATAGGATCCTTTATTGGTGCCCTGTATGCTGAGGAGAGGAGTGCTGTGCGAACAAAGCAACGAGCCAGGGAGTGGGCCAAAGTGAGTACTGTGTGGGGTGGTAATAGTGGGGACTGATGGAAAACAAGGAGATCAGATTGCGAGGGATGTTGCTGTTTTGTGAACTCTTTCTGGAGGTACCGTATATACTCAAGTATAAGCCGACCCAAATATAAGCCGCGGCACCTAATTTTACCACAAAAAACTGGGGAAATGGATTGACTCGAGTATAAGCCGAGGGGTGGGAAATGCAGCAGCTACTGGTCAGCTTCAAAATATATATAGATACCAATACAATTACATTGAGGCCCGTACCTTGGGAAGTCTGATCTGACCACGGTGGTCCACGCTGTGGTTACATCCCGTATAGACTATTGCAACGCTCTCTATGTGGGGTTGCCTTTGAAGACTGCCCAGAAGCTACAACTAGTCCAACGAGCGGCAGCCAGACTACTAACAGGAGTGGGGTACAGGGAGCATACTACTCCTCTGTTGCGTCAGCTCCACTGGCTGCCAATCAGCTTCCGAGCACAATTCAAGTGCTGGTGTTGACCTATAAAGCCCTAAACGACTTCGGCCCAATTTACCTGTCGGAACGGATTCTCCCCTATGAACCATCAAGGTTATTAAGATCTTCTGGAGGGGCCCTGCTCTCGGTCCCACCTCTTTCACAATCGCAATTGGTGGGAACAAGGGACAGGGCCTTCTCGGTGATGGCTCCTTGGCTCTGGAACTCCCTCCCAATGGAGAGTAGATCTGCCCCTTCCCTCCCGACTTTTAGAAAGCTGGTAAAAGCATGGCTTTGGAATACTGCATTCGCAGAATGATGATTGAGTCAATAACTGCTGACCACACGGGCGGATGGCGATGAATTTATGATTTATTCTGACGAACTGACCATTTGTAAGTTGTATAACTGTATTTTAATGTATTTTTGTACTATTGTATTATGATGTTTACTGTGGTTTATCTTATTGCATTTTAACCCTCTGCTGTTAGCCGGCATGAGTCCCTCTTCGGAGGTCGAGAAGACCGGGTTACAAAAGCTCAAAATAAATAAATAATAAATAAATAAATAAATCAAAAGGTTAAATGTTTTGGAATATTTACATAAAACTGTAATTTAAAAAAAGACTGTCCAACTCTGATTAAACCGTTATTCTAACCTTCTTCAAAGGAAATGTGCTTATGTCTCCTTCCAATAATAATAAAGAGAGTGAAATAATAAATGTAATAATAATAGTAATAACTGTAAAATAATAAATGTAATAATAACAATAATGAAATAAAATAATAAATGTAATAATAAGAGTAAAATAATAAATGTAATAATAATAAGAGTAAAATAATAAATGTAACAACAACAACAACAGAATTCAGTAATAAATAATCTTGACTCAAGTATAAGCCAAGAGGGACTTTTTCAGTTGTATGTTTTTTGTTAATATTAGTCATGTGTTATTTGTATAATTTATTTATTAGGCAAAAATAAAATACATATTTTTTTTAAAAAAAACACAGTAGAATTCCAGGTGATAAGTTGATAATTTGCAGTTTAAAATTCTAAAAATAAATATCCTTTTGTTTGGAGGAAAAAAAAATCATTAAAATATCCCAGTAAGAAGTTCCCCTGCTTACACATTAAAAGGATAGCGATGATCAGTCCATGACAATAGAATTATAGAAGTTTCTCTACTCCTCTTGACCTGAACAGAAAGCTTGCTTCAAAATGTGTCTTGCAGCATAGATGGCATTAGATATGACTTAGGACACTTCAGGTTGCCATGACAGATGTGAAGTCTTGAGCTGCTCCTAACAAAAGTAATTTCTACATGGATGATGACATCCCCAGTGAACACACAGAGTAACTTTTCCAGGCTCTATGAAACATTAGTTGCCTTTTAAAATTTTGAGCCTGCTTTTTTTTCCTCATGTATGTATTCAGCTACTCTCTTTCCCTCCTGTAGAGCATGAATTCAGTGTTTGCAACAGTGCTGGACCTCACCTATCCCATCACCTCCATGTTTTCTGGCTCTGCCTTCAATGCCAGCATTCACCAAGTTTTCCAGGACAAACAGATCGAGGTATGCCTCCATTGGTGTCACTATCAAGAGATCTATTTCCCAAAAGCAGTTGTGCTGCAGCCCCTATGGCTAAATCAAAAAGGTTCTGTGTGTCTGGCCTGAAGAATCCAAAATGAATTGTGTCCAAATTGACCAAAGCTGGGAAAGTTACTTATTTGGACTATAATTTCTAACTTCCGATTGCCAACCTGGCCAGTGGATTATGGACAGAAGCTGGCTCAGAAAATTTGACATCTGATAGTGTACAATCCCTCAATTTGCAGATCGTACAGTGGGGGGAAAAGTATTTAGTCAGATACCAATTGTACAAGTTCTCCCACTTAAAAAGATGAGAGAGGCCTGTAATTGACATCATAGGTAGACCTCAACTATGAGATAACATAAGAAAACACATCCAGAAAATCACATTGTCTGATTTTTAACAAATTTATTTGCAAATTATGGTGGAAAATAAGTATTTGGTCACCTACAAAAAAGCAAGATTTCTGTATCTCACGGACCCGTAACTTCTTTAAGAGGCTCCTCTGTCCTCCACTCATTACCTGTAGTAATGGCACCTATTTGAACTTGTTATCAGTATAAAATAATGTTATATGGTCAGATGAAACCAAAGTAGGACTGTTAGGCAGAAACACAGCTTGTCGTGTTTGGAGGAGAAAGAATGCCAGGGGGGTGTCAGAAGGGTCACCAAAGACCACCAGAAAACACAGTATTTTCTGTTAGTCATGAGGGTTCTGTATGGTATGTTTTGTCATGCGCTAGCATGAGAAGCATGCGGATTGACTCTAGCCCAGTTAACAATGTGTGATGAATTGGCTCATAAAAGAAAAAATACATGAGACGTTGACTTCAAGTAGAAAAGAAAATATTGTTGTATTGGCAGCATACAAAATAAAGTAGCAGGATTACTGTTTCCACAAAAGTAACATAAAACAATATCTTCTGAGAGATATCACCACTCAGCTGAGATAAGCAGGAATCCTTGTCCTCTTCTCAAGGCTGTGTCTTCACAGGACATCTGCAGCATAGTCCCCGACAGAACGGCACAGAGGCAAACACGCACAATGGCAAACACGCACAATGGCATTAAGGCACAATGGCAAAAACTAAACACACAGTAGCTATCTTTATACACATGAAAATAATACTCTCAATTAACTCTTCAATTAACTGAAACAGCTGTAGCACAAACAGCCTTGAACCTTACAGTAAGTTAAAGGTATAGCACAAACAACATTGATCCTTACAACAACTTAGATAAAGTACGTTGCAACCTCTTAGTAGCAACATGTTTGGCCCAATTCTATTGTTGGTGGGGTTCAGAATGCTTCCCAGGTTGTAGGTGAACTATAAATCCCAGTAACTACAACTCCCAAATGTCAAGGTCTATTTCCCTTAAACTCCATCTTTGTTCACATTTGGGCATATTGAGTATTCCTGTCAAGTTTGGTCCAGATCCATCATTGTTTGAGTCCACAGTACTCTCTGGATGTAGGTGAACTACAACTCCCAAACTCAAGGTCAATGCCCACCAAACCCTTCCAATATTTTCTGTTGGTCCTGGGAGTTCTGTGTGCCATGTTTGGTTCAATTCCGTCGTTGGTGGAGTTCAGAATGTTCTTTGATTATAGGTGAACTATAAATCCCAGCAACTACAACTCCCAAATGACAAAATCATTTTTTTTGAGTGGTGGTGGTCACTCCTTGTGTTGTGAAACGTTTTGTTGCGAAATTTGGTGTGATTTCGTTCATTTGTTCTTTTGTTTTTAAGGTACTCATTATGCACAGAGCATATATATATATGCTTTGAATATATATATATATTCAAATTGCAGAATGTTGATTGTTGATGTTGATTCTACCTTCTCTATCTTTTTCGTGCCCAGCATTATTTTTTAACTTTAATTACATTTGGCCCAGCCATAGATTTTAAATGTGTCTTGTGCTGTTGTTCAATGTTTATGCTATTTATGTATGAGTTTTATTTTTAATTGCTTTGTATTAGTATTTGTATTTTGCTTTGTATTGTGGTTGTTATTGCATGTATTGTGGGCTCGGCCTCATGTAAGCCGCACCGAGTCCCTTGAGAGATGATAGCGGTGTATAAATAAAGTATTATTATTATTATTATTATTATTATTATTATGTTATTATTGATTCGTAATATTTACAAAAGTGGGAGTTAGTGTAGTGTATACATGCATGTGTATGCTTGCAATTGTGCCATGTAGAAGCAGCACTTCTTGTGGATAAATTCCTGCACCTGATCTCTCTTCTATTCCACTCTGTCCACTCCAGGATCTGTGGCTCCCATATTTTAATGTGACAACAGACATCACAGCATCAGCCATGCGAGTCCATAAGGATGGTAAGTGAGCATTCGCTCCAGAATAGAGAATGTGAACTTAGGATTCAACACACATACATGCCAGCACTTTGCCCTTTAAAATCAGGATTGTGCTGGGCAGTCAAGACACTTTTGTCTGTGGTCACCTAACTGGTAGGTGATTGGACCCAAGGATTGAGAAGAGTTAAATAGAGAGAACCAGCATGAAGTAGTGGTTTGAGCATTGGATTATGGCTCTGGAGACCAGGGTTTGAATCATTGTCATAGATGATCTTAGACAAGTCATACTCTTAGCCTCAGAGGAAGGCAAAGGTGACCCCCCCCCCCCACTTTGATCAAATCCTACCAGGAAAAACATGATATATTAGCCTTAGGGTTCCCATAAGTTGGAAACACCTTGAAAGGAAAGAAATAGCCGCTTCAACGGATCCCTAGCTGCCTGTTCAAAGGGAATTGCTTACCCTGCCCTTTAGTTCCACTCTTTGATTTGGGTTTCACATTAGAGAAAGACAGGAGTTGCCACAGTCCATTGGGGGGGGGGGGGGGAGCGTATTTATAAAAGTAAAATAGTCCCCATTTCCAAAGTTGCTTTGAGTAAAATTTCTCAGTAACAGAAAATATTTCCCAGTTTTTAATTTGAGTATGGTGTAATTTTTAGTCCCAAACAGTATAAAAACAATTACAAGAATAGATAGAACATTAATTAAAACAGTAAAAACACAATATTAACAGCCATATCACCATTCTAGTCAAGTTCAAATCTACTAAACATAGCCTACAGCTCCTAATAGTCAGTGGTGATCTCCCATCCAGTTACTGACCAGGGCTGATCCTGACTTGGAAGTGCACAACACAACAGTCAGTTGCCATCACAGGAAGAGACAAGAGGCAATATTTCTCTCCAGGATGCCTCTGTCTCTGCTGCAACAAACTGATCCCGGTAGCTAGCTGAGTCACGGATGGAAGTAATTGCCACCCTGATTCCTTAATTAACTTCAGACAATATGTATCCTTAGCATGTTTATCTTAGCGCATTGGTGAAAAATTCCAGATTCCTAAATTGGAAGGCTCTGAAATACAGGCCACTTTTAAGATTTGCCAAGTATGGTGCACAAATGAAGGAGAGGGTGAACATTCCCACACAAACAGTTCACTGGAAGAGTCTGCACCATACCTTCATGCAAACAGCTCTTTCCCCGTTCTCCGCTCAAATGTAGATCCCCTTTGGCAGGATCATAGAATCAAAGAGTTGGAAGAGACCCCATGGACCATCCAGTCCAACCCCCTGCCAAGAAGCAGGAATATTGCATTCAAAGCACCCCTGACAGATGGCCATCCAGCCTCTGTTTAAAAGTTTCCAAAGAAGGAGCCTCCACCACACCCCGGGCCAGAGAGTTCCACTGCTGAACGGCTCTCACAGTCAGGAAGTTCTTCCTCATGTTCAGGTGGAATCTCCTTTCCTGTAATTTGAAGCCATTGTTCCTTGTCCTAATCTCCATGGAAGCAGTAATCTCCATGGAAGCTCCCTCCTCCCTGTGGCTTCCTCTCACATACTTATTTATTTTATTTATTTATTTACAGCTTTTATATTCCGCCCTTCTCACCCCGCAGAGGACTCAGGGCAGATTACAGTGTACACATATATGGCAAACATTCAATGCCAATTTTTGACATACAAACATATACAGACATACACAGAGGCTATTTAACTTTTTCTGGCCACCAGGGAAGCTGTCGCTTTGATCGTCCATCTGCGACGCTGATGAAGCACTTCCGCATTGCCCGCATGCTTCCCCGCTGGAATGCTTTGCTGGAGTCTTCTTTATGGCCTCATAAATCAGTTAATTTAGCCTCCCCACACTTTAAGGTGGTACCTAATTTTCCTACTTGACAGATGCAACTGTCTTTCGGGTTGCAAAGGTCGACAACAGGCTACACACAATTGCTTGGAAACCCACTCCAACCCGGGCTGGCTTCGAACTCATGACCTTTTGGTCAGAGTGATCTTAATGCAGCTGACACTCAGCCAGCTGTGCCACATATTTATACATGGCTATCATATCTCCTCTCAGCCTTTTCTTCAGGCTAAACATGCCCAGCTCCTTAAGCCGCTCCTCATAGAGCTTAAGCTGCTCCCCATAGGAGTCCTCAAACTTTTTTTAACAGAGGGCCAGGTCACAGTCCCTCAAACTGTTGGAGGGCTGTATTATAGTTTGAAAAAAAACATGAATGAATTCCAAAGCACACTGTACATATCTCATTTGTCATGCAAAAACACTTAAAAACAATATAATAAGTAAAATGAAGAACAATTTTAACAAATATAAACCTATTAGTATTTCAATGGGAAGTGTGGGCCTGCTTTTGGCTGATGAGATAGGATTGTTGTTGTTGTTGTGTGCTTTCAAGTCATTTCAGACTTAGGCTGACCCTGAGCGAGGGCCAGGTAAATGACCCTGGAGGACCGTATCTTAGTTTGAGGACCCCTGCCCTTTGGCTTCTTCCAGTATTCCAGATAGGTCCTTATTGAAATGAGTTTGTTCTTTGGTTCTCAATCTTTGTCTCTCCATGTGTTTCCGACTTTGGCTCCCACAGCCAGCATGGACAATAGTAAGGGTTTCTGAAGTTCAAAACATCCAGAAGACTAAGTTTTAAGAACCACTGCTTTATTCCAAGGGGTCTTGTGTTAACTCAAAGTCCAATTTCTCCTCCCATGCATAAACTCCATTCCATAAATAAAAGAGCGTAGGGATTCTCCTTAAGCCTGCTGAAAGACTAGGAATTGGATTGTTGTAGGTTTTTTCGGGCTATATGGCCATGGAGAAACACGTCAGGAGAAAATGCCTTTAGAACATGGCCATATAGCCCGAAAAAACCTACAACAACCCAGTGATTCTGGCCATGAAAGCCTTTGACAAGACTAGGAAGTGTTAGGCAGCCACCCAAAACTGATTTAAACCCTCCTGATTGCTTAGCCTGTTTTTATTTATTTATAGGACTTGGATGATGCTGCGCCTTAAGAAGGGCATTCACATCTCACCCCTGTCTCCAGAAACAAATAGGGTCTGAATAATTTTGTGTGGGGTCCCCATTTCCCTTGGAATGACCCAAATGATTGCAAGGCTTGGGGCCTTGGCATACAGTGGGTCTCCTCCTTTTAATCTCAGAAGCAAAGAGAGTGCTTTATAATCTAGGGCAGTGATTCTCAACCTGTGGGTCCCCAGATGTTTTGGCCTTCAACTCCCAGAAATTTGCTGGGATTTCTGGGAGCTGTAGGCAAAAACACTTGGGGGCCCACAGGTTGAGAACCACTGATCTAGGGGGAACCAACCCTGCTTATCATGTCTCTTTGGTAGCTTCTTTCAGCTAGCCCTGGATTTGCCTCTCTTTGATAACATTTCTGCTATTCACTAAACCCACTAACTGTACCTCACTTACTTTGTTTTCCCCATGTTTTTGGAGCAGCCAAGCTGCACAGCTGGGTTTTTCATCCCTGCCATTTCAGGCATGCTGTGGATGTTGCTAGATAACCCTCCTCCTGAGTGGCTTCTGTGCGGGTGGGCAAGCAGTCTTCTTTAATAAATGTATTGAATTCATGGATTTTGAAAGCAGCTTTGGAAGGGGAATGGGATGGATCGCACCTGGGGCAGAGAAGTGGGGAGAATGGGTTCTGCTATCCCCTTTGCCTGTTGCAAGCATCTGATCTTACCTGGGACATTGTCAGCGGCCATGCCCATCTGTGGGGCAAGGGCAGGGGCTGGGGAGACTGTAAATGCCTGGCTTTATTCATTTTCTGCCCACTTCCCTGTCTTTCCTAACACAGCTAACACCTTTCCCCTTCTCCCCCCTGCCTCCAGGTAGGCAAGCTTTAGGGCTGTGTGTGCGTGTTTCTAGCAAACAACCCAACTGCAGTGGAGGAGATTCTCTATTGTTTGCAAATAGAGACAGTAGAAGAAACCTTTCACATGTGTGTGTGTATCTATGTGAGAAGCTGTGTTCTGAATGCCAGTCTTTTTTGGTGTTTAGCATCCCAGGGCTATCTAAGTATCCCTGTTTTGCGGAGAGCATGTTTCTGACCCCCTTCTGTGGTAAAAAGCTGTGCTTTTTGTTCTGTCTGGGCATGGCAGGGTTGAGATGTCAGTCCAGGAAGGGTTCATTTGCAAAGCCTTGTGACCAGGCATGTAGCCGTGGGGGGGGGGGAGGGGCTTCAGCCCTCCGAAATTCTCATGGTGGTTCGCGAAAAGGCCTTACTGGTGCATTATTTAAACTGTTATGTTTATTCATATCATGATCTGATCACCATACTCAATATATCCCATATGCATGGGGGTATTGGGGTAATGATACAAAAGGTTTGCTAGGCTAGACCCTCTTTCACTCAGACTCAGCCCCCCCCAAAACTCAGCCCCCCCGAAACCCCCCCTGAAAAAAATTCAGCCCCCCCCCCCAATCGAAATCCTGGCTACAGGCCTGCTTGTGGCTGGTGGTTTGTCTGAAGCACATCTGGTGCCAAAACAACAACGAATGTACTGTATATACTCAAGTATAAACCTAGTTTTTCAGCTGTTTTTATAGGCTGAAAAAGTTCCTCTCGGCTTATACTCGGGTCAACATTATTTAATATTTTACAATGTAATTGTTATTTTTATTACATGTATTATTTTACTCTTTTTATTGTTATTGCATTTATTATTTTACTTTATTATATTTATTATTTTACTCTATTATTACTGTTATTATTACATTTCCATTATTTTACTCTATTATTATTATTACATTATGTTACTCTCTTTATTCTTATTGGAAGGATACATAAGCACATTTATATTGAAGAAGGTTAGAATCAGAATGGGGCAGCCTTATCTTAAATTACAGTGTTATGTATTTGGTCGTATCAGGAGCGACTTGAGAAACTGCAAGTCGCTTCTGGTGTGAGAGAATTGGCTGTCTGCAAGGACGTTGCCAAGGGGACGCCCGGATGATTTATCATCCTTGTGGGAGGCTTCTCTCATGTCCCCGCATGAGGAGCTGGAGCTGGTAGAGGGAGCTCATCCGCCTCTCCCCGGATTCGAACCTGCTGCCTGTCGGTCTTCAGTCCTGTCGGCACAGGGGTTTAACCCATTGCGCCACCGGGGGCTCCATGCCACAAGGATGATAAAACATCAAAACATCCGAGCGTCCCTTGGGCAACTAATGTAATTTTATTGGTATCTGTTTTTATTTTGAAACTGACCAGTAGCTGCTGTATTTCCCACCCTCGGCTTATACTCGAGTCAATACATTTTCCGAGTTTTTCTGGTAAAATTAGATACCTCGGTTTATATTCAGGTCGGCTTATACTCGAGTATATACGGTAATCGTGGTCTATCTCCTTCCTTTTGGAAAGCAAACAATCCTCTGGCGGCTCCTTCAGTGGAAATCCCAAAAAATGAATGGTCTATCTTGTGCACACTCACATCCCATTCCTTTCAGAGAGGATCTGTGGCAGAGGTTCTTAGTCACCTTTTCCCATTCCTGCTCTGTCCACATTTCCCTGTTTCGCAGGCAGGGCTTGGCCTCTCTTTGGAACTGGCCTCCTTATTCTTCCCTTCTGGTTTGCTTGGTTATAATGACTCATAGATGGCCCCATCTCAAACAGCAACAACAATATGCCAGCTGAGTATGTTTCATTTGGCACAGGACTCTCTGATTCCCTATAAGCTGAGCCCTCCCCCCTGGTAAGTGAGGCCATAGCCTTTCAGGAAAACAGTTGGATAGGATGTGGTGAGGAGAGAGAAGACCTCTTGTGAGAGGTTTCCGCTCTTCTGTGTCACTAGGCCTTGTCACCGAAAGGGCTGAAAATATGTAGCTTGGTGATATATGTCAGAGATGGGCAATAGTATGGGGGCCATTACTCATGGGTTATCCCCACTGTCCAAATATCTCTATTTTCTTCCACAGGCTCCTAAAAATGTTGACAGGAAGTTCCTATCACCATTTTCAGAGGGATTGCAGAGGAAGGTGGAGATATTACAAAGTAATATGGGGCTCTGGAGTGCCTGTGCATGTAGGTTGAGATATTTTAGAATGTTTGCATGTATTTGGTGAATTTTCTGTGTGGTGTCAGGGCAGCAATTGCCTGGAAATCATTAAAAAAACAAACAAATGGGTTTGTGTGGGATATGGTTACAAATTTCAGGGGCCAGAAAAGCATGTGGCCCACAGACTGCAATTTGCCCACTACTGATGTATGAAGAGGCAACCACAGCGACCTGTGGACCCCAGCAAAATCATCAAGGCATTTGGAAGTCAGACAGGTCCTACTGTAAAAGTCTGCAATGGCCGAAAGAACGGGGGTGAAGCTGAGTTATTTTAGGAGTGGGGGATTCAGTGTTAGGTGGGAAGGCTACACTGCTGCCTGGACTGACTCTGCTGCCTCACAGGCAGCCAAAGATAGAGCTACACCCAGGACTTCCTCCACTGAAGAAAGGCTTCCCACAATTCTCCTCTGTCCCATGTGCACTGTGTATTTCTGAAGCTTCTGTCATGATGTCATTTCCTGTCCTATGCTCCTTTCTCCTACTCTTTCCCTCCCCTTCTTCCCCCTCCCCCTCTTGATCCCTGCAACTCCCTTTGATTGAATCTCCATCTTCATCCGGCAGGCAGCGTGTGGCGCTACGTCCGGGCCAGTGCATCTTACACCCCCTATTTGCCTCCTATCTGCGACCCCAAGGACAGTCACTTGCTTGTGGATGGCTGCTATGTTAACAATGTCCCAGGTCAGCATCACGTTCGCCTCACTATCTTGGCTGGTGGACATTGGGGACGCACATGGCTCAGTGGGACGGAGACCAGCATCTGTTGACTTGGGATGCAGCTTCATCCCTCCCTCTGAACCACTGTCATCCTCCTTCTGCTAGAACTGGGCATGGCAGGCTTGAGGATGCAAGCCTGGCTCCTGCCCATAGGCCACGCTTTGCTCAAGATGGTAATTCTGCACGGCTGATGAAGAAGGTCCTTCATAGAGTACATGCAAAGCTTTATTTGGCTAATCAGGTAGAATTTGGAAGCTGGGGAAGTGGTGCAAAAAAAAAATACAGTCAGGGCCTAGGGGGCAAACTAAGCATGGTTGCTGGGCTGCTCCATACAAGTCCTGTGCAAAATTTCCCGGCTTGAGCAGGTGACAGGTGGGTTGGAGCCATGCTTTACTTCTTGCCACTCCTTTCTGAAGGGCTCATTGCTGCTCTGGGTTTCTCTGCTCTTCTGATTGCATTTGTTCCCACATGGTTAGGCTCGCTGTGGCGGTACGTGCGAGCTAGCATGACCCTTTCCGGGTACCTACCGCCACTCTGCGACCCCAAGGACGGCAATTTACTGATGGATGGCGGCTACATCAACAACCTCCCAGGTAAGTATGGGTCTGTCTTGAAGACAGCAGGGTGGCCACCTGCAGCTGGAAGAGGAGGCCGCTAGGACCATTTCTACCCTCCCAGTGGTCCATTACTTTCTCTCTAAACTTATCAAATCCTTGGCTGTAAACACCCCTTTGCCTATGGGAGAGACTTGGTGAAATCAGCAGCAGCAGCTCAGAAATATGGTTCATTTGATATACGAGGAGTATTTTTTAAGTAAGGTTCGTTTGAACATAAGTACACAATGAAAGTTTTATTTCAAAAAAGTAAATTTATTTTCAGAAAGTACATACTTCACTCTATTTTTCAACATAGTTGCCAAGTTTGTATCATACCTCTGAACCAATTTTAAAATACCCTCTTCATAAAAATTTGCCGCCTGCTCCGATAACCAAGAGTTCACTGTAATCAAAGAAGGGCGACCGGAGCGGTCCTCATCATGGACGTTGTCACGGCCATTTTTGAATTGTCGTACCCACTTACTCACTTTGCTTTCACTCATAACAGTATCACAGTACACTTCACAAATCTGTCAATGAATTTCGGCAGCAGGCAGGTTCCTTGCTGACAAAAACCGTATCACTGAGCGAACCTCACACGCGGCGGGTGAGTTGATAGTCTTAAACATTTTTAAAGCACAGAACAGAACCGTACAGGTTAGCTACAGAGTGGAAACTGAGCACAATTGTTCCTGAGGCATGCCGGTACACGACGCACGCGCTCGTTGCGGTATGCGCGTGAACTACTAGTGTCTACAACAAAACGGACCTTACTTAAAAAATACCCCTCATAGCTACCAGTTTTAATCAGTATCTTAGGCCTGATGTGGTTAGATTTGGAATTCTCTCTCCTGGCAAGGATCCTGTTTTTTTACTGTTATTAGAGAAAGGGGAGAGGTGGTAATAATAATAATAATAATAATAATAATAATAATAATAATACTTTATTTATTCCCCGCCACCTCGGAGCAGGTTACATGAGGCCAAGCCCAGCAGTACATCAATAAACAAAAGCAATAAACAAAAACTATAAATACAATACAATTAATATATGTCACATATAAACAATAACCAATAAACAGTCACACACAAGAATTTAAAAACCTATGGTCGGGCCAAATGTAATAGTTTAAAAATTAAAAAATAAACGCTGGGCATGAGCAAGGTAGGATATATCTGGTATAGGGTTTTAAAAGAGAGATGAGGGAGCGCAATCAATCCTAAACCAGTAGTAAAGTGCATTCTCAGGACATTGCTGGGAATTTTCCTTATTCTGGGAAGGCAAGAGGTGGCTAGAAAACCCAAAATCAAGCCCTATATGATGTAGCCATCAAAAGAAGGCAAGGAGTCCAAAGGAATATCTTGTTACTTTCAATAGCTGTGCTTACCTGGTCTTTCTCTGCCTTCCGCTTGTCCTAGTGCAAGTACAGTGGCAGCAGACGCAAACTGTTCACTGTGTTCGTTTGCTTTGGTATAAAATGAAAAAACAATGTGGTATGGCAATGGTTTTATGACTTTTTAGTCAAGATTTATTTTAGCAGGAGCTTTTGTGGATTTCAGCTCCTTAAAGAATCTGAAGAAGTGAACTGAAACCCACCAAATTTCATACTAAAATCATCTCTCTTTTTTGAGTTTTTGTTGTGTATTTGTGTTTATATTGTGTTTTACTGTTATTGATGGGTGTGGCCTTATGTAAGCCGTCTCGAGTCCCCTGGGGAGAGATGGAGGCAGGGTATAAACGAAGTATTATTATTATGTATTGTCGAAGGCTTTCATGGCCAGAATCACTGGGTTGTTGTAGGTTTTTTCGGGCAGTATGGCCATGGTCTAGAGCAGGGTCCTCAAACTTTTTAAATAGAGGGCCAGGTCACAGTCCCTCAAACTGTTGGAGGGCCGGATTATAATTTGAAAAAAAATATGAATGAATTTCTATGCACACTGCACATATCTTATTTGTAGTGCAAAAAACACACTTTAAAACAATACAATAATCAAAATGAAGAATAATTTTTACAAATATAAACTTATTAGTACTTCAATGGGAAGTGTGGGCCTGCTTTAGGCTGATGAGATAGAATTATTGTTGTTGTTGTAGCTGTGTGCTTTCAAGTTGTTTCAGACTTAGGTTGTCCTGAGCAAGGGCTGGGTAAATGACCTTGGAGGGCCGTATCTGGCCTCCGGGCCTTAGTTTGAGGACCCCTGGTCTAGAGGCATTCTCTCTTGACGTTTTTTGAATACTGGTAGCCAGATTTTGTTCATTTTCATGGTTTCCTCCTTTCTGTTGAAATTGTCCACATGCTTGTGTATTTCAATGGCTTCTCTGTGTAGTCTGACAACTCTAAAATTGCAACAGCACAACAACAGAGAGGAAGCAGGCAGGGACATCTAATTACCTCTCAACAAAAGTTTGCTCCAGGTACAGTCAGCCCATTGTATGCTAATCAAGGTGGTCAGTTGAAACATTCACACCTAGCTCCAGCAGACAAGAGTCCTTTGTCCCACCCTGGTCATTCCACAGATATATAAACCCTTTTTCCTAGTTCCAACAGACCTCACTTCCTCTGAGGATGCTTGCCATATATGCAGGGAAAACATCAGGAGAGAATGCCTCTAGACCATGGCCATACAGCCTGAAAAAAACCTCAACAACCCATTATTATTATTATTATTATTATTATTATTATTATTATTATCTTGCCTTTAAAGTACCAATAGATTCCTTCACTGTACCTGTCCTCCAATTCATTCATTTCCTCTTGGACTATAGCTCCCCAAACTCTGAGGGATTCTGGGAGATTCTAGAAAATGTACACTTCCAACTTCTGTTTTTCAAAAGAGACGTGGGCATAATTTGGCTGAAACCTGGGCTGAATCTAAGAACACTCCTGTCTTGCCTTCTGTTGTCCTGTAAAGTGGTGGTTTCGTATAAGAAAGATGCAAGGCACAATATAAGTTATGTAAGTTGTGCACAGGGTTTGAATTGGGGGAAGTGCTGCACACATACCGATTCCACAGCTAGAGTTGAAATCAGCGTCAGTGTGGCCACTTTTTGTAGAATGATCCTGGAATTTCTAGTCCTGCGTGATCACTAAATTTGGCCCTGACTATTGGCCACATTCTAATTCTGAAGTTTTCTGTCAAAAGTAAAGTTAGTTCAAGTTTGCATTGCAGAAGATCTTACCCTGGGGTTATTTTCATTTTACCCAGCCTCTGCACTGCAAGATGCAAGTATGTAAAATGACAAAATCCTCCAGGCTTATGTTTAGAACTACCCTGGATGGGCCACAGAACAAACCATCTGAGTAGCAGTGGGCATCTGTGGAAGGCTAAGGGGCTGCATTGACCCTCAGGAGACCTTAAAGGGCTGCACCCCATCCACTTATGAAAAAATTAGCACCAAATAACTAGCTACCTGCATCATTGTAAACACAGGAAAGGCATTTTTCTAAACATGAAGTGAGTGAATAGGCTAAATGGACAGGCACAAAACATGAGGAAATGCTCCTGCATCTCCTAGAGCAGTGTTTCTCAACCTGGGGGTCAGGACCCCTGGGGGGGTCGCGAGGGGGTGTCAGAAGGGTCAACAAAGACCATCAGAAAACACAGTGTTTTCTGTTGGTCATGTGGGTTCTCTATGGGAAGTTTGGCCCAATTCTATCATTGGTGGGGTTCAGTATGCTCTTTGATTATAGGTGAACTACAAATCCCAGCAAGTATAACTCCCAAATGTCAAGGTCTATTTTCCCGAAACTTTATTAGTGTTCATATATGGGCATATTAAGTATCCATGCCAAGATCCATCATTGTTTGAGTCCACAGTGCTCATTGTTTGAGTCCACAGTGCTAGTTGAACTACATCTCCAAAACTCAAGATGAATGCACACCAAACTCTTCCAGTATTTTCTGTTTATTTATTAATTATTTAATTACTTTATTTATATACCGCTTTTCTCAGCCCTCAGGCGACTCAAAGCGGTGAACAACAGCAATACAAAACATCACGAGACTAGTAGAGGGCAATTAAAAACAATTGTAACATAAGTCATTAAACATCCGTATAACAATCATTAGTGCCTCAACAGCAAAATCAGAATCCAGTCTCGTCATCCATTATTCCGTATTCCTATGTTCAATTACACTGTTTAATCAAATTCTTGTTCGAACAGCCAGGTCTTCACTTTCCTCCAAAATGCCAGCAGGGAGGGGGCCGATCTGATATCTGCAGGCAGGGCGTTCCACAGCCGAGGGGCCACCACTGAGAAGGCCCTGTCTCTCGTCCCCGTCAAGCGCGCCTGTGATGCAGGCGGGACAGAGAGCAGGGCCTCCCCAGATGATCTTAATGTCCTAGTCGATTCATAGAAGGAGATGCGTTCAGAGAGGTAAGTAGGGCCAGAACTGTTTAGGGCTTTATAGGCTAACGCTAGCACTTTGAATTGTGCCCGGTAGCAAACTGGCAGCCAGTGGAGCTGGCGCATCAGAGAAGTAGTATGCTCCCTGAATGCCGCTCCTGTTAGCAACCTGGCTGCCGAACGCTGGACCATTTGAAGCTTCCGAGTAGTCTTCAAAGGCAACCCCACGTAGAGAGCGTTGCAGTAGTCTATATGGGATGTACCCAGAGCATGGACATCCGTGGCCAAGTCAGACTTCCCAAGGTACGGGCGCAGCTGGCGCACAAGTTTTAACTGTGCGAACGCTCCCCTGGTCACCACTGAAACCGCTGTTGGTGAATTACAACTCCCAAATGATAAAATCAATCCCCCCAACCCCACCAGTATTCAAATTCGGGTGTGTCGGGTATTGGTGCCAAATTTGGTCCAGTGATTGGAAATACATCCTGGATATCAGATATTTACATTACGATTCATAACAGTAGCAGAATTACAGTTGTGAAATAGCAATGAATATAATGTTATGGTTGGGGGTCACCATAACATGAGGAACTGTATTAAGGGGTCACGGCATTAGGAAAGTTGAGAAACACTGTCCTAGAGGGAGGTATTTTAGAGCTTTTGGGGGCATACAGTGGCCCTTGGGGCTGTGTGTTGCCCATAGGCCACCATTTGCCCATTTGTGTTTCCAGAGTCTCTTTATAAGGCAGCCTTCTTAAAAGCTACTGCATGTTGCATACCATCTGTTTATATATTCACTCTGTAGCTAACTTGTTCTTTTCTTCATGTTTAACCGAAGTTGGATTTCTTTACATTGATGCATGGTTTTTTCCCCCTCTCTTTAGTGGAGCTAATGAATACGTGTCCATTCTCTTTTTCCTTTGTTATGACAGTAAAGACTGTCAACATGTTTGAGCCTTTTTAAAACCTTGCTTCCTCTGAACAAAACCAATTTGGCTCCTCCAGGCTTTCTCACATGACTTGCTTTCTTGGTTTTCTTTTATCTGTGTAAACTTCCTCTGGGACCATTCTTCCTGATTTCTCAGCATCCTTCCTGAGTTGCAGTATCCAAACGCCAGCCTTCCGGATGAGGTGTCCTTGGTGCTGAGCAGAGAGGAACAGTTAACTTCCACAGTTGCCTTGGTTTTGTCCAATGCTTTTGTTATTGCAGTTTTGTTCTTTTCGGCTGCTGATCCCGCATTTGTCTTGTTTTTCATTGCAATCACAACTTACTGTATGACTTTGTGCCATAGAAAGCCAGATTCTGTGACATCCGATGCTCCTCTTAATTGTACATAAGGTAGAAAGAGCACAGAATCCTCTCAAAGATACCACAAGTGCTACGTGATTTTGAGGTTATCTTCCCATATCCATAGATCTTGAAACTTTTTACAATGTCAACTCTTCATAGTTCTATAAGCACAGCATACACACACCTTTGAGTTGAAAGAAGTAGAGCAGAGGGAATCAATCTACTTCTCCTAAGCACTGGTGATAACTAGCTCTCTGATTCGGTTGGGACCTCTGCTGTCCCACAGCCCTTTCTTCAGAAATGCAAATTGCCCCTGGCCTTTTCCCTACATCTCTCTCTCTCTCTCTTTCTCCAAAACTAGCTGATATTGCTCGCAACATGGGGGCCAAAACAGTCATTGCCATTGATGTGGGTAGCCAAGATGAAACCGATCTATGCAACTATGGGGACAGTCTCTCAGGCTGGTGGTTGCTCTGGAAACGCCTCAACCCCTGGGCTGAGAAGGTCAAGGTAGGTACCTACCTGTCAGCCTTTCTCCTCCTTTTCTGTACACTGATGGAACTTTCTGCCTTGCTGTCTAGCATTCTTGTTACTGACACATTCTATTGAATAAGCCTCCCTAAATTATGCCCACTGCCTTTTGCTACTGATAATCCAGTTGTTGCCTGTAATTTATTTATTTATTTATTTGACTTGTATACCGCTACTCCCAATTCAGCTCGGAGCGGTTTACAGTAGTAGATTAAAACAATACAATTAACTTTAAAATACAATAAGAACAAGAACAGACATAGTCTGTTATTCACCCATCGAAAGCTTGTCGGAAGAGAAAAGTTTTACAGGCTTTCCGAAAAGCAAGTAGGTCTCGGATGGATCAGATTTCAATTGGCAAGGCATTCCATAAACAAGGGGCTACAATCGAGAAGGCTCTCTGCCTAGTAGAGGACAGATGATAAGTCCGGATGTTGGGGACTTCAAGCAAATTTTGGTCTTGGGACCAAAGTAATCTCTGGGGTTGGTAGGGGGATAAGCAGGCCCTCAGGTACGCTTATCCCCCTACCAAGGTAATGAATCCCTTACCTTGGCAAGCTAGCTTAGGCCTAAGAAGTGGGCCTGGCGAAGCCACGGCATCCATTTTAGAGAAGGGAGACAAGGAGGTGCCATCTTAGGTTAGGTTTGCCTTAAGGGGGCATGTTCTAGTCTTGGAGGGAAAATCAGAAGGCTAGGATTGGTTAGAAAGATGGGGGCAGAGCCTAAGTGGTCTGAAGGGGGGAAAAAGTGACTTAAACTGAGGCTGGAATTCCCAGTTTGCCAGTTGAGGGTTGGAGCTTGGAAAGAGTAGAGCGTTAGTGAGTGGGTGTTAGTGAGAGGAGTTTGGGGTTTTGAAGAAGAACTTTGGGTCAGTCTTTTGTTTAGTGTTCAGGGTAGCTATAGAGAAGTATAGCTAGAATACTGTGTGGAACAGAACCCCGTTAGTGGTCTGTTCTTTTCCTAAGGAAGACTAGTTCAGGTTTTGGCTAGATTCCTAAGGGGGATTTTTGTGGGGGTTACTTTCAGAGATTCATTTCCTGAAGTAATTTTCGGTGTTGAAATTTTAAGACTTGTAATCTAGAAGTTTTTAAGATCTTTACTCAAACGAAACCACAAGCTTTGTATGCCAGAACTTTACTGAAACCAATAAGCATTTGTACCTGAATTATTCAAGCCTGTTCAATAAAAGTTCTTGTTATTTTCATCAGCTTATACCAGCCTCAGTGTGAATACCTTTGTGGTCAAAGTGTTATTCAAGTCAGCTTTTAACAGCCTCAAAGAAACTATAGTGACACAGAGTGGGTCACAGAACAACTTCTCAATAATACCTCAGCCGGTTTATTAGTAATATGGCGGCAGCGGATATCATTTTAAGTCTCTCAGCTCCAGTGGTTCCCAGTACCTAACTTTTACATATTCAGTTGGTTCAACAACTATTGTCACTCATATTTTGGTGAGCTAGACTTTAGTGGTGGTGTCATCGTTATATTGCCCCAAGTTATAATAGAGGAAAATCAAGGAATGCCTTGACTAAGCAGGAAGCATGTACTCATCCTTATTTTCTTTCCATCTGATGTACACATAGACCATAGCTTTTATAGCAGACATAGCTAACCTGATGCCTTCCTGGGTGATTGGAACACATTTTATTTTATTTATTTAATTATGTCATTTATATGCCTCCCTTCTCACCCCGAAGGGGACTCAGAGTGGCTTACAAGATATATATATATACACATACAATATATTAAATTATTAACATAGTACAATATCAGTATTATATATTACTATATTGTACTACACCACTATATTGTAATATTATTAGTAATATTATATGTAATATAAAATATATAATTATAATATTGTATTAGTAGTAGTATTATATTGTATCACATTATAATATTATAATATATGTATATACAATATATTATTTTATATTATATTATTATATTATATTATTTTACATTATTAGTAAAGCACAGGAGACAAGATGGAACTGTTTTCAACTATAGCCCCCTCTCTCTTCACTCTGACCCATTTTCTATTGGTCCTGGCATTTACTATGCAAATGGTGGGGCGTTTGTTGGGATTAGGAAAGAAACCCTCTTCTCTCTGTGGCCACCAAGCAACTTTGCCTTCCATTTCAAGGTGCCTGATATGGCGGAGATCCAGTCCCGGCTGGCCTATGTCTCCTGTGTGCGGCAGCTGGAGGTGGTGAAGACCAGTTCGTACTGTGAGTACATTCGGCCACCCATCGATCGCTTCAAAACCATGGACTTTGGCAAGTTCGACGAAATCTATGTAAGTCCTGAGGATCCAGCTTGGGTCAGTTCATAGCTGGGATGTCATGAAAATTGGAGAGCTGCAGTGGACCAAGAAGCTAACCTCATCTTGCTGTCCCTAAGACTAGGGGAGATGAGCTTAGCATCTACTAAATTGGACAGCAACCTGTCAGCCTCCTTTTAAAGCCCTCTCTCTTCATGCATCTTCCAAGAATGACTTGCTCTCATTATTGGGGAATTACTTAATGTAAATCTGGTGCTTGTGGCTGGCAAGGTTGGGTGTTTGCCAAGACTTGGCCCAGTTATGCACATGAACATGAGGGCTCTGACATGTTATTGTGCTTAACTTTCGTGGGTGGGAGAAAGATACCAAGCCTCCTTTCATTCTGGAAACAGTGCTTGTAATTCTCTACAAATCTATTCTCCATGTTCAGTAATGTTTATTTACCAATAGTGTAGGGTATAAAATAAGTACAGTGATGCCTTGAGATAAGAGTGTAATTCTTTCTGTGATCAAGCTCTTAACTCAAATCACTTATATAGCAGAGTGAATTTTCCCATTGAAATGCTATTAATTTGTTCTGCAGTCCTGAAGCCCCCCCCCCCCCATTTTTTGTTACGTGTTTTTAAATAAGAAAGTGTACTTCATAAATAACAAATAATGTATAAATGCACATTCACACAGAACAAAGAAAGAAAGAAAGATCAACTTTAAAATAGTAGAAACACAAAGTTGTGGTGAGAAAGCACAAAGTGATGAGGCAGAAGCATCATTTTCTTCTTATTGTACTCATTCCAGCCTCCCTCCCACTCTTGCTCTCTCCCTTTGTCTCTCTTCATGAGGCCAAACATACCAGGAATAAAAACAACACAAAATCAACTAAACCAAAGTTCCTCAAAATTTATTTATATTTGTCGTGTCAGGCCAACCAGTCAATTGTATTACATTTCTAACAGAACAAACAAACAAACAAACAGACAAAATACAAAATTTGCGAGTTTAGTAGTTGATTAAATGTCCTTTGACCAGTAGCTGGCCACTTGGAGTGCTTCTGGTGTTGCTGCAAGAAGGTCCTCCATTGTGCATGTGGCAGGGCTCAGGGTGTATTGCAGCAGGTGGTCTGTGGTTTGCTCTTCTCCACACTCACATGTAGTGGATTTCACTTTGTGGCTCCATTTCTTGAGGTTGGCTCTGCATCTCGTGGTGCCAGCGCACAGTTTGTTCAGCGCCTTCCAAGTCACCCAGTCTTCTGTGTGCCCAGGGGGGAGTCTCTCATTTGGTATCAGCCATTGGTTGAGCTTCTGGGTTTGAGCCTGCCACTTTTGGACTCTCGCTTGCTGAGGTGTTCCAGCGAGTGTCTCTGTAGATCTTAGAAAACTATTTCTAGATTTAAGTTGTTGACGTGCTGGCTGATACCCAGACAAGGGATGAGCTGGAGATGTCTCTGCCTTGGTCTATTGGCTCAAAATGAACAAGACCACTATTGGCTCAAAATGAACAAGACCAAAGTGGGCAACAATCTCCTAAAGTGGACAAGAGTACGAGGCATGGAGGATGCTCCCTTGAAGCCTTATAACTCTGTAAACTTGTGCTAGCACTCCCTCTGGCTCTAGCTCTTAACTTAAAATGCTTCTCATATGTCAAAGTGAAACCAGGGTGAAGTGACAGCTCTTAACTCAAAATGCTCTTAAGTTAGGGTGCTCATACATTAAGGTTCCACTGTACTCTGTTTTATGAGCTCTTTGAACTGTTGTTACTTCATAGGCTTCATGATTTAATCCTTACACTGAAAATAGTATATTCCTACACAATCCAGCCAATTCAGGGTCAGTATGCTTTGCCTCCTCCAGCATGGCCCGGCCCTTCACATTATCTTTGACTGTCCTAGCCCCAGAAGTCAAGATATCAGGTTTCCTATCCACAGACAAAGGCCTTCTTTGTAGCATCTCCCATAAGGGTGCAGGGCATAAAAACTGACATTTTGCTTCTCTGAAATTTCTTAACAGTGTTGCTCAAGAGTATATATTTGCTTGGAATTATGTTTGCTGAAATTCTGGTGACAACTTCAGTCTCCAGCACAGGGCTGCTGCTGCTGCAAACTGTTAGAGGGGTTTGCCTCTTCAAATATACCTGTAACCCCCACAATACTCTCAGGTGATTTGTCTTTGCCTGTTTCCCATAGGATGTAGGATATCAGCATGGAAAAGTGGTATTTGGTGGTTGGTGCCGTGGAGACATTATTGAAAAAATGGTTAAGGACCGGCATTCGGCAGACTTCTATGAGAGCAAGCGCATGGATGTAAGCATGAAAATTGGTAATGAGAGGAAGTGGCCCTCCCATGGCAATGGGAAGAGTCCTGTTGTTAGTTTTCTTAATTTGAGGGGGGTATTGGGAAAAGAGAAGACAATTATGCTGGGGGAAGTGGAAGGAAAAAGGAAGAGGGGCCGACCAAGGGCAAGATGGATGGATGGCATCCTTGAAATGACTGGACTGACCTTGAAGGAGCTGGGGGTGGTGACAGCCGACAGGGAGCTCTGGCGTGGGCTGGTCCATGAGGTCACGAAGAGTCGGAGACGACTGAACGAATGAACAACAATTGGGAAAAGCTAAATCCGTGGCTCTCCGTTCCATGGAGTGTAGATTCTTGGAGCGTAGATTTGCTGACTCCCTACTAAACTTCTATAGTGTGCCATAAGCAGAGACTATGTGAAATGAGGACTGCGTAACAGTAGTTAGTAGATCACACCCAAATCTTCTCTTCCAAATAAGCTCATTTTAGAGCATGTGTTTTGCCATAGGGAAAAGGTCACATTCTATTTCTCATATCAGAAAGTATCATGTCTGAAATCCTGGATAGCTGTTGCCAGCTGTACGTAGGTACAGGATGAGGCAGCATAACTTCCTTTTTTCAAAACTTAATAAAACCCATTGTATGAATCAGATTTTTATATATATATAATGTAGGCACATACCTAAAGTTTTGTTTTATGTAGTTTTGAAGATCAAATTAGGTAGGTGATGTCCCCCATTCTCCATACACCGAATAAACCGATTTCTGGCGTTTGTCATGACTCTTGCCAGCATAGCAGGCGTTATGTTGGCAATTTCTTCCTGGATGTTTGTCTTCAAATCTTGTAGGGTCCTTGGACGGTTCACATAAACACGGGATTTCAAAAAACCCCTTAGAAAAAAATCGCAAGGGGCCAAATCTGGAGAGCGGGCCGGCCACTCCAAGTCCGCTTGAAAAGTAGGCCTCAACGGCCAAAGCATGCTCCTCACTGTTCCAACGCATGATGGCGACTGAACTGTGTCAGGACAAAACTTTATACTCCCGCCTCTCGAACGAGACCACTAGCGCTCCGCTACGTCTTCAACCAACTGAATGGCACACATTTTTAAAAAGGAAGTTATGCTGCCTCACCCTGTAGTTTTGAATTAGATGTGGCAGCAGTTTGACTCTTTTTTCTGTTATATGTTGCTGTGGATTCTGCTTTAAAACACCAGTACTGGTTATTATATGGTACTTTCCCAACTTGTAGAAAAGGAATTCCTGTTAAGTATTCTTTATGGAGCCCCCGGTGGCACGGTGGGTTAAAGCGCTGAGCTGCTGAGCTTGTTGACCGAAAGGTCACAGGTTCGATTCCGGGGAACGGCGTGAGCTTCCGCTGTCAGCCCTAGCTTCTGCCAACCTAGCAGTTCGAAAACATGCAAATGTGAGTAGATCAAACAGGAAGGTAACGATGCTCCATGCAGTCATGCCGCCCACATGACCTTGGAGGTGTCTATGGACAACGCTGGTTCTTCGGCTTAGAAATGGAGATGAGCACCACACCCCAGAGTCAGACATGACTGGACTTAATGTCAGGGACAACCTTTACCTTTTATTCTTTATGTACAGTAAGTACGGATAGGATAGAGTAGAGTAGAGTATAGAGTAGAGTAGAGTAGAGTAGAGTAGGAATACAAAGAAGTAATTTACAGAAGCAAATGGAATGATTTCTTTCAAAGGCCAAAGGTTGTAGGTATGAAAAATAACCCTGATATTGCTGCTACTCATTGCTGGCATCCCTTCCCTAGGTGCTGATGTGTCCTAGTGCGGGTTTCACAGACCTGGCAGAGATTGTGTCTCGCATTGAGCCTGCCAAGAGCTACCTCTCAGACAGCTATGGAGATGGTGAGTAGCAGTGCTTCACCCAGTAGCCTGTCCCTTCCTAATGGTTTTAAGTTACAGGAGCATCAGTTTCAAGTGAACATTAGGAGGAATGGGTTGTTGTAGGTTTTTCCGGGCTATATGGCCATGTTCTGGAGGCAGTTTTTCTCCTGACGTTTCGCCTGCATCTATGGCAAGCATCCTCAGAGGTAGTGAGGTCACTACCTCACTATCTCTGAGGATGCTTGCCATAGATGCAGGCGAAACATCAGGAGAAAAACTGCCTCCAGAACATGGCCATATAGCCCGGAAAAACCTACAACAACCCAGTGATTCCTGCCATGAAAGCCTTCGACAATACATTAGGAGGAATGTCTTTACAGTGAGAATGGTACCAATTGCCTAGAGAGGTAATGGGATCTCCTTCTATGGACATTTTCAAAAGGAAGCTGGACAGCTCCCTGTTGGGAATGCTTTACCTGCAGACATTATATTGAACTCAATTGCCCATAAGACCCTTTCCAAATCCAGGATTCTGTTAGTTTTGTAGCAGGATTAACATGGGTGGTGGACCTCAGGAAATGCTCTGCTATGGATGAAGATGTAAATACTACCCAGGAATGATGAAACTTTTGTTTACTTACAAACCAGGAGAAGAATCGGATTACCTAACTGAGTACGAGGAAGAAGGGATGGATGCTGTGCGAGAAGAAGAAGGGCAGGAACTGGTGTTTTCTCCAGCAGAGCACAATGGTGTCTTTGAAACAGTACGTTTTCCCAATGAGCTCAAGAGTTGCCTTCCTGGGAGTGGGTTTAGTTTGTGCAGGGTGAACCCAAGTCTAGCCTAGAAACCTTATCCCTTTTCTTTGGCCTGCCAAGGTTTGTTATTACTAAAATGTAAAGGCTAAAATGTATAGTTGTTTCTCCCCTTGGTGTTTCAGAACCTAACATATATGCCACAATTACAAAAAAAAGTGACGTATATTCTGGCGTATAAGACTACTTTTTATACGTGGGAATCGTCTTATATGCAGGAGTAGTCTTATGCATGGGAGTGGTCTTATGCATGGGAGTCATCTTATATGCGGGAGTAGTCTTATATGCCGAGAGTCGTCTTATAAAGTGGGTGCTGAAACTTCCAATCCGGATTGGAGAATCTGTGATTGCTGCATATTGTGGGGAGAGCTCAAAAATGGCAGTAGTCGTGTCCCTGCCGTATGCAGCGACTGTATGAAAGCATTAAGGGCGATGCTGTACAAGTACGGTAGAAGAAAATCCATTCATCAGGATTTGTGGACTTAATGCGGTCCCAATGGTGAGGTGAAGGGGCTCACCCCGCAGGGGACTCAGGGCGGATTACAGTGTACATATATATGGCAAAAATTCAATGCCAATTTTTGACATACAAACATATACAGACATACACAGAGGCTATTTAACTTTTTCTGGCCGCCAGGGGAGCTGTCGCTTTCATCGTCCATCTGCGATGCTGATGAAGCACTTCCGCATTCCCCGCATGCTTCCCCGCTGGAATGCTTTGCTGGAGTCTTCTTTATGGCCTCATAAATCAGTTAATTTAGCCTCCCCACACTTTAAGGTGGTACCTAATTTTCCTACTTGACAGATGCAACTGTCTTTCGGGTTGCAAAGGTTGACAACAGGCTACACAAATTGGTTGGAAACCCACTCCAACCCGGGCTGGCTTCGAACTCATGACCTTTTGGTCAGAGTGATCTTAATGCAGCTGACACTCAGCCAGTTGTGCCACAATCCCGGTGCTTGTCTAGCTGGCTTAGTGTCAGCTGCATTAAGATCACTCTGACCAAAAGGTCATGAGTTCGAAGCCAGCCCGGGCTGGAGTGGGTGTCCAGCTTGTGTAGCCCGTTGTCGACCTTTGCAACCCGAAAGACAGTTGCATCTGTCAAGTAGGAAAATAAGACCACCTTGTGTGGGAGGCTAAATTTAACTAATTTATGAGGCCATAAAGAAAGAAGACTCCGGGGAATGTGGAATGCGGAAGAACTTCATCGGTGTCGTTGATGGACGATGAAAAGCAGCAGCTCCCCTGGCGGCCAGAAAAAAAAGTTATATAGCCTTTGTCTGTTAAATGTTGTTTGTCAAACTGGCATTGAATGTTTGCCATATATGTGTTTACTGTAATCCGCCCTGAGCCCCCTGCGGGGTGAGAAGGGTGGAATATAAGAACTGTAAATAAATAAAGTAAATAAATAAATAAGCATACCTCTCTCCTGTGTTATGCACATTCCTCCCATAAAGCAGATCTCTTCTGCCAGGGATGGAGCATTATGACTTCTGCTGTCGGGGAAAGAGACTCCAGTGAATCCCAAGTTTGTCAGCAAATGGATTTCTGATATAGAATAGTGCTCGGACTTTCATATACGGACTAGAACCGGACAGCTACATTTCTGGTAGTAGCAGTATTCTGTTAGATATAGTTATCTGACTCCCAGCAACATTGTTTTTTGTTTTTTTTTTCTTCTTTTAGGATGAAGAGAAGAGTCTGCGACACCGTCGAGGGACCCCAGGGCCATCTCCTGCCCCTGTCACTACTCCCACACCTTGAGAAGACTTGCTGCTGAGCCTCTGTGACCAAATATATAAGAGTAGGCAAAAGGAGTGCCCCCCCCCCAAAAAAAATAACACGGTTTAACCTTTTGCTGCCTGGCAGGCAGAGTTGTAAACCTCCAGGACCCCCAATGCACACTACTGCAATGTCAGAAGGCAACCTGGTCCGGCTGTACACTTCCTAGCATGAAGCAGAGTGCTGCAAAATGAACATGATCCATAATCTTGGGCAAAGATGGACAAGGCCCGAGTGCTGCTATATAGGGACGGGGCTGGCCACTTTACGGTTTGAACCCTTTCAGGACTGGAACTGTTAACAACTGGTTTGTTTGCTAAGGCGGAAGTGAGAGGTGGCTCTTGGACCTTGTTAGTCACTTTTCTCCAGCTTCCTGCTACTTGACCTGTTTGAGGTGTGTATTGATAGGGTGAGGGAACAGCACTTTACATAGACTACACTCCATTTTATAAAGGAAGAGGAGGCAGATCGTAGATCAGCTGGTTGGTTTGGAGTTCTGTTATCTCCTGTTCTCCTCCTAAACCCGGCTGGCTAAGAGAGGGTGCCAGGATGAAAACCCTGCGGAGGGACCCTCAGCAACCTCCCTGCTCCTGTGCGAGCTCTTTCACAACAGGCATGGTACAGAAGAGCATTTTTTGTTTGTTGGCTAATTTATTCCTGCTTTAAACTGAGCTCCAGCACCTTTCGGCTTGTACATTCCGAGGCCAGAGGTTTTAAGCTGTGGGCCACACTGACTGTTCTCTGTTTTCTATTTTAAAAAGAGAAACAAATGAAAAAAAAAGTTGTTGTCTTGTGTCATATAGGACGTAGAGTTGCTGCTGCTTTGGTACTGGCAGATGTGTAAACACCTGGAAGGCACTATCTTGCCTATTCTTGAGAGAGGACAGATTAGTCAGGTCAATATTTTTTGTCTTTCTTGAGGCAGAAGCTGATAAACCTTTAGGTGCCTAAGATTGATTCATGCCCTGTGAGTTGATTGTTGTTGTTTATTCGTTTAGTCGCTTCTGACTTTTTGTGACCTCATGGACCAGCCATCGCCAGAGCTCCCTGTTGGCCGTTGCCACCTCCAAACTCCTTCTTGTTCAAGCCAGTCACTCCAAGGATACCATCCATCCATCTTGCCCTTGGTCGGCCCCTCTTCCTTTTTCCTTCCTTTTTCCCCAACATCATTGTCTTCTCCAAGCTTTCCTGTCTTCTCATTATGTGGCCAAAGTACGTACTTCATCTTTGCCTCTAATATCCCATCTTCCTCTAATATCCTTCCCGTGTGAGCTGCTGTGCATTATTTTCTGGAATATGGACTGGTTTGATCTTCTTATGGTCGAGGCACTCTTAGAATTTTCCTCCAACACTGTTGCAACCCAGAGCAGGAAACTGGACCCTCAGACAACAATCCACCACACTTGACTTCAGGAAAAACAATCCCTTTTAATTGAAGAAAGATGAGTACAAAAATAGAGGAAATATGCAAGGTAAAAAGCCACAGTAAAAATCAGCAACAAGAAATGTCTATGAACAAGATCAATAACCCACAGTAACACTGCTAAATCCTGGAACCTGTTAGCAATCCACTAACCGTACTTGAAGCAACTAGGAAGCCTCTTAGGAATAAGGCCACTGGAATCAGGGGACCTGCCAAGGATGATGCTTGAATCTGGAACGATGCCTGGTCTGAAGATGCATCCAGGCAAGAGGTACTTAAAGTCGAGAAATCTATTACGTGACACACCTGCCGGCTTTGTTTGCATTTCTCTCAGTCTAGCTGACCTTCGTAAACTTTGAGATTCTCCCCTGCTCTGCCAAATCTGCCCTCTCCTATCCTCATTAGAGAGACCAGGTGTCAGATTCTCTGGAGAGCTAAGACTGTGAGGAAAAGGGAGTGAAAGTTCATTGCTTGGCTCTGAAATATTCTCATGGGAATTTGGACTTTCACTTTCCAAGGCTGCAGGAGTTTCACTACACAAACCGTCATCTTCTACATTGCCCTCAGAATCAACATCTTTGTTAGCATCAGGAAATACAATCAGAGAATCAGGTTGAGGTTCACACACAGGCTGAACCTCAACAAACACCACAGTTCAAAAGCATGTATCTTCCTCTGCTCAGCCTTATGGTCCAGCTCTCACATCCATAGGTTAGGAGGAGGTGGTATTTAATCATGCCAGTCTGTCAAAAAACATCACAAGCTTTCAGAGGAACTGCAAAAAAAAAATTGGGATTCTCCTACGACACCAAAGTCATTCAGTCTGTGGCATAACGCACAGGCAGCTCCTAAAATATGAACATGCTGTTCACCAAAAATATGAAGTCGTCCAAAGAAAGAGGGAGTATGGTGGCTGAAACAGCTGTATATTTAAATTTCTCTTTATTTTAAATGTTGAAATATATCCCACTGATTATACCAATATCAGAGGAGATTAAAGCAGAGAAGGTTAGAGACATTTAGTATTTTAAAAGGTAGGAGCTGGGAAACGCTAGAACTGAGAGACTTAAAAATGCTTCCTCAAATGAATTCCGCTGCCACCATTCCAGTATTAATCAGGCTGAGGTAATATTGTGAGTTTGTTCTGTAACAAACACTGTGCCACTATAGTTTCTTAGTGGCTGCTGTGAAGCTGACTTTTAGAAATACTTTGACCACAAAGGCACACACACTGAGGCTGGTATAAGATAATAAAGGAACAATAATGTTTATTGAACAAGCTTGAAATAATTCAGGTACAAATGCTTAATGGTTTCAGAAAATACTGGCATGAAAAGCTTGTGGTTGTGGTAGAGTAAAATCTTAAACTCTTCTGGGTTACAAGTCTTCAAAGTTCCACCACAGAAAATTACTTCAGGAAATTCATCTCTGAATGTAACTCCCAAAACCGCCCCTTAAGAATCTAGCCAAAAATACCCTGAACTAGACTTCCCTAGGAATTGAACAGTCCACTAACTGGGCACTGCTCCACAACAGTATTCTAGCTACTCTGAATACCTCACAAAAGACTAACCCAATCTTCTTCTGCTGCCCTAGAACTTGTTTTGTGCTGCCCTAGAGATTAGGACACAGAGGCATGGCTTCAAACTACAAGAAAGAAGATTCCATCTGAACATTAGGAAGAACTTCCTAACTGTGAGAGATGTTCAGCAGTGGAACTCTCTGCCCTGGAGTGTGGTGGAGGCTCCTTCTTTCAAAGCTGTTAAACAGAGGCTGGATGGTCATCTGTCGGGGGTGCTTTGAATGCAATTTTCCTGCTTCTTGGCAGGTGGTTGGACTGGATGGCCCATGAGGTCTCTTCCAACTATGATTGTATGATTCTAATATTTATCCATGATGTGAAAGCCATTTGCTAGGTGGCAGAGGCCCAACTCATGAAAAGATATAATCTAGCAGTTCCCACAAAATGGTAAAAAAGACACACATGTACAGTCAGCACTTCACATTCACCAGGTTAAGGAACGAAGAACCCCTGTGAAAGTAGGAAAATACAAAACTTTTTTTTACCTGATTGACTACTTCTCAAGAATGTGTTGTCTCTAGAAATCTCTAGGTCCTCCAGTGTGGTGCTATAGTTAACGTTTTTAGGAAGTTAACCACAGAATTTCACTGGAAGACATAGGGATTCCTAGAGATAACATTTCAATCGAATCCACAAATTGTCAAATCCACAAGTTTTTGGATTTTTTTGTTGTGTCAGGAGCGACTTGAGAAACTGCAAGTCGCTTCTGGTGTGAGAGAATTGGCCGTCTGCAAGGACGTTGCCCAGGGGACACCAGGATGATTTGATGTTTTTGTCATCCTTGTGGGAGGCTTCTCTCATGTCCCCACATGAGGAGCTGGATCTGATAGAGGGAGCTCATCCGCCTCTCCCCGGATTCGAACCTGCGACCTGTCGATCTTCAATCCTGCCGGCACAGGAGTTTAACCCACTGCACCACCGGGGGCTCCAAATCCACAAGTCAAACCTGCAGATGTGAAGGGCTGGTTGTACACACTGCTGTTACCCGTATACAACTGTTTCGTTTGCTACTTGTTTTCTATGCATTTCCTTTGCCTGAGAATGTCCAATAACAACATCTGACATCTTGGCACAGTCACAAAAAAGATACCGGGTCAATCCAAACAATACTCTGGGTGTTGATGCTGTACTAAACTCTTGGCAGATGCATCTTTTAGAAAGCGCACATAGATCGTGAAATTAATGTTGTGTAAAAATGTCTCATCTCTATCCTGTTTCTTCCTAAATACATAGGAGGCACAATTTAGCTTGTATTAAGGAAAACGTAAGCAATTGAAAAAGAGAAAGGAAGAATGGGGTGGGTTATTCACTAGCAAGACTACTTCTCCAAATAGCTGGAAGATCAGAGATAAGTTTCTACAAAAAGCAGGCTGCGACATTTCTTAGCAGGCTGAGCTAAAAATAGTCCATCAAGTGTGCAGAGAGATAAAACTTGCTGTGGAATCTGGGTTTGGAGGGCCTGTGTGTAAATGTCAGCACACCATCGACTCATGGAAGAGAGAACAGGACACAGGGATGATAAGAGGCAGGGCCTGGAGTAAGCTGGCTGCACCCGTCACTTCATTTTGGGAGCTGGCGATCAGCAATGGGCAAGATGTGAGCAACACATAATGCTGGTGCAGAACAGACTGTACATTATGAGAAACAAACTTTTTAAACTTATTTATTACTAGCTGTCCCCTGCCACGCGTTGCTGTGGCCCACATGGGGGTTCTGTGTGGGAGGTTTGGCCCAATTCCATCGTTGGTGGGTTTCAGAATGTTCTTTGATTGTAGGTGAACTATAAATCCCAGCAACTACAACTCCCAAATGACAAAATCGTTGTTTTTTTTTTTTTGAGTGAAGGACATACATTGGGTTGTTAGGTGTCTTGTGTCCAAATTTGGTGTCAAATTGTCCAGTGGTTTTTGAGTTCTGTTAATCCCAGAAACGAACATTACATTTTTATGTATATTGTCTAGCCGTCCCCTGCCACGTGTTGCTGTGGCCCACATGGGGGTTCTGTGTGGGAGGTTCTATTGTTGGTGGGGTTCAGAATGCTCTGTGAGTGTAGGTGAACTATAAATCCCAGCAATTACAACTCCAAAATGCAACTCTCAAATGTCAAGATCCATTTCCCCCAAACTCCACCATTGTTCAAATTTGGACATATTGAGTATTCATGCCAAGTTTGGTCCAGATCCATAGTCATTTGGGTTCACGGTGCTTTCCAGATGTAGGTGAACTACATCTCCCATAAATCATTGTCAATTCCTCCCAACTTCCTCCAGTATTTTCTGTTGGTCATGGGAGTTCTGTGTTTCAAGTTTGGTCCAGTTCTGTAATTCGTGGGGGATCTCAGTGGTCTGTGGAAGTCAGAGCTAAATTGGTTGAAGGTACCACAAATCCCATCATCAGTTGTCCATACTCTCCCAAACATATTGTTTTTGTGATTAATCACTACGCTTTAATTAGGTTCAATTTGTAACAATGAAAATACATCCCACATATTAGATATTTACATTAGAATTCATAAGAGTAGCAAAATTATTTATGAAGTAGCAACGAAAATATTGTTGGTGGTCACCACAACATGAGGAACTTTATTTAGGGGTCACAGCATTAGAAAGATTGAGAACCACTGATATAAAGTATACATATATCCATAAGTCCCATACAGAGTGTAATCATGTGTATTCCATAAGACATATTGCCCCAACCCCTAGGCACAGACCAAAATTTCTTTGTCATCTATTGAATTGAAGACAACTCTCAATAAACAGAAAAATGGCAAAGCAACTGGCCTGGATAATCTACAAATGGAACAACTTTAGAACTTTGCCCCAAAAGCAAGATACTGGCTACTGAAGCTGGTGAACATTGCATCCTGTCAGATCCCTAAAACCTGGAGGAAAGCAAGACACATAGTCATTTTGAAACCAGGCAAAGATTGCAATGATCCCAAAACCTATAGACCAATCTCCTTGTTGTGCCATCTCTACAAAGTTCTGGAGAGACTTATTTTGCACAGAATTATGGAAAAAATAGATCCATGTATGATTCCAGAGCAAAGTAATGTTAGCTGCTTTGAGTTCCCTTTGGGAAAGAAAAAGTGGGGTGTCGTTGCTAATACTAATACTACTACTAATAATGATAATACTGTCCAACACACATTTTGGTGCCTCAAGTTTTAGCCTTGTTTAGGGTATATTTGACCTGCTGATTTCAATAACTTGCACCAGTTTTCCTCTATCAGCTCTAGTTTTTTAGATACAGAATATATGTCATCCACCAGTCACTATCTGGTAACCAATAGAAAACCGTGGTAACCATATTTAGGATACTAGAGCAGATGTGGTCTATCCAATGCAATTCTCTAAGGCGTAAAACCCAAGACACCAAGATTTTTTGGGCTGTGCAATATTTAGCAAACATATTTATTTATTTATTTATTTATTTATTTATTTATTTACAGTATTTGTATACCGCTTTTCTCACCCCGAGGGGGACTCAAAGCGGTTTACACATAAGTAATGGCAAAAATGCAATACCAGTACAAACAGTTACAATTATACACTACAATTAGACATAAATCAAATTAAAATATATATACGCTAACACTTAAAAAAATAACTATTTCCTAGAGCCTGGGAAATAGACCATTTGAACAACTTCTTACTAACCATGTTGTCTGGGGGGAGATTTTGATCATTCTTATGAAAACTTCTCATACTTGTTACTAAAAGAGCAGCATTTCCTGGCTCCATGTGGTCACCGGAGCTGAAGTTTTGGCCACCAGGCTCTTGTGGGGAGCTTCCATAATCTACTCCAGGACACATGGCAGCAGTGTGGGAAGAGTTTCCGTCAGTGGACTCTACAATAACTAGGAGCTTTGGGCAGCTCTTCCTTCATTTCCATCACACAGAAATCAGCCGTGGCCTTTTGTAGAATTCTTCTGCATCTTGTTCGCTGCCTACTCATCAGCTGGCAAATATATTCTTCAACTTCAGAACTCTTCAAAGGAGTATGTCTACATGAAGATGGCGTCGTGGAAGGGACTCTATGTCAATGTGGAGGCACATGAACATGGGCTAGAGGAGCCAAGGAACCATGAGCCAAAAAGCCAGCCAGGTATGTCCATCACATGATAGTAAATGGGACAGAAATTGATCTCCGGCAGATGGAAGACAAATTGTGGCTCAAAGAACAAGCCTTTTTTGAACTCTTGGTGCTATTCCTTTCTTTTCTTTTTTAACCATTTGCTAGTGAAATTTGGCTATTAACCACTAAGTGAATCATAGTCAATGAAGAAAGCAATGACATTAACTATGATACTATAATCAGTGTGGATAATAAAGAGCATAGACAATATCAATCATCACAGTAAATATTATATTAAAGTTGATTTTACATTTAAGAAAAAAATACTTATTTATTTATTTGACTTGTATACCGCTACTCCCAATTTGGCTCGGAGCGGTTTACAGCAGTAGATTAAAACAATACAATTAACTTTAAAATACGATAAAAACAAGAACAGACATAGTCCCGAGTTATTCACCCATCGAAAGCTTGTCAGAAGAGAAAGGTTTTACAGGATTTCCGAAAAGCAAGTAGGTCTCGGATAGTTCGGGTTTCAACTGGCAAGGCATTCCATAAATAAGGGGCCACAATCGAGAAGGCTCTCTGCCTAGTAGAGGACAGATGATAAGTCCGGATGTTGGGGACTTCAAGCAAATTTTGGTCTTCGGACCGAAGTAATCGCTGGGGTTGGTAGGGGGATAAGCGGGCCCTCAGGTACGCCGGCCCCAGACCATATAAGGCCTTCAAGGTTAATACCAGCACCTTGAAAGTAATCCGGTACTCAATCGGTAGCCAGTGCAGCTGTTGTAGAATTGGGGTGATACGACACCTCGCCGGCACCCCGGTGAGAAGGCTTGGTCTCTGAGAGGTCCCCTATATCTTGTGGTGTTCCTCAGGGGACCATTCTCTCCCCTCTGTTATTTAACATCTATATGCGACCACTTGTTCAGCTGGTTCGAGGTTTTGGGCTTGAGTGTTATCAGTACGCCAATGACACTCAGCTGGTGCTGAAGATGGAAGGCCGACCGGACTCTGTACCCGATTGTTTCCATCAGTGCCTCAAGGCCGTTACTGGATGGCTGCGTGCCAGCAGGTTGAGGGTGAATCCAGCAATGGAGATCCTATGGCTGGGTCGACCGGGCAGTGGGGATATCCAGCTGCCTACTCTGGATGGTGAGGCACTACACCCATCATCATTGGTAAAGAGTCTGGGAGTCCTTTTGGGTCACCACTGGTAAAGAGTCTGGGAGTCCTTTTGGACCCTCTGCTGACGATGGAGGCCCAGGTCTCCGCCATCAGCAGAACCGCCTTTTTTCATCTGCAGCAGGCTAGACGGCTGGCCCCCTCCCTGTCCAGGGACAACCTAGCTACGGTGATCCAGGCCACGGTCATCTCAAGACTGGACTACTGTAACACCCTCTACATTGGTCTTCCTCTGTCGGTGATCCGGAAGCTCAAGTTGGTACAAAATGCAGCTGCTCGGCTTCTTGCGGGAATTCCGATGAGATGCCACATAACACCAATCTTACTGCAGCTGCATTGGTTACCAATTGAGCACCGGATCACTTTCAAAGTGATTGTACTCACCTTTAAGGCCTTGCATGGTCTGGGGCCGATGTACCTGAGGGACCGCCTCACCCCCTACCAACCCCAGAGATCCCTCCGTTCTGAGGACCAAGATCTATTGGAAATTCCCAGTGTCAAGACCTTGCGTCTAACAGCAACCAGACGCAGAGCCTTCACAGCAGTGGCACCATCACTCTGGAATACTCTGCCACCTGAAGTCGTGCCTTGCGGGACTTACCAGCTTTCCGCAGGGCATGTAAGACATACCTGTTTCGACAGGCTTTTAATGTTTGATATTGTTGTTTTTAAATTGTTTTTAAATTGCTTTTAAATTTTGTTAGATTTTAGCTATTCTTGTAAGCCGCTCCGAGCCCCAGGGGAGTGGCGGCATATAAGTTTAAATAATAAATAATAATAATAATAATAATAATAATATTGCACCAGCTTCAGTTTCCGGATCACTGACAAATGAAGGCCAATGTAGAGGGCGTTACAGTAGTCAAGCCTCGAGATGACCGTCACCTGGATCACCGTAGCCAGGTCGTTCCTAGATAGGAAAGGAGCCAGTCACCTAGCCTGACGTAGGTAGAAAAACGCAGATCTGCTCACAGCAGAGACCTGGGCCTCCATTGTGAGCAAAGGGTCCAATAAGACACCAAGACTTTTAACAGAAGGTGACGGACGTAGTGTCTCGCCATCCAGGGTAGACAGCTGGATCTCCCTCCCACCCGGACAGCTCAGCCAAAGGATCTCCGTCTTCGCTGGGTTCACCCTCAACCTGCTGGCATGCAACCATCCAGTAACGGCCTCAAGGCACTGATGGAAATTTTCATCCTCAGAATGAGCTGAGCGTACTGGTGGCGCTCAAACCCAAAGCTCCGCAGCAGTCAGGCAAGCAGTCGCATATAGATGTTAAATAATAGATGCTAAATAATAGAGGAGAGAGAATAGCTCTCTGCGGGATCCCGCAAGTTAGCGGAGATCTCTCGGAAAGCCACCCCGAGTCCCTTTGGAGAGATGGAGGCAAGGAAGAAAAATAAAGTTTTTCTTCTTCTCTTCTTCTCTTCTTCTTCTTCTTCTTCTTCTTCTTCTTCTTCTTCTTCTTCTTCTTCTTCTTCTTCTTAGATAAACATATTACTGCAAGCTAAGTAGAAATCGATCCATATCTGTATCAAGCGACAAAACTGTCATTCCTCAAATGCTATTATCATTAGGATCATCATCATCGTAATCAGCATCATCATTAATCCTATTATCCTTTTCAAAAATGCTGCCTAAATATCAATCTGTTAATTTGTTCACTTTTGTATTGTCGAAGGCTATCATGGCCGAAATCACTGGGTTGTTGTAGGCTTTTTTGGGTTACATGGTCATGTTCTAGAGCAGGGATCCCCAAACTTTTTAAACAGATGGCCAGGTCACAGTCCTTCAAACTGTTGGAGGCTGAATTATAATTTGAAAAAAAAAGATGAATGAATTCCTATGCACATTTCACATATCTTATTTGTAGTGCAAAAAAAACTTAAAAACAATACAATAATTAAAATGAAGAACTATTTTAACAAATATAAACTTATTAGTATTTCAATGGGAAGTGTGGGCCTGCTTTTGGCTGATGAGGCAGGATTGCTGTTGTTGTTGTTGTTGTTGTTGTTGTTGTTGTTGTTGTTGTGTGCTTTCAAGTAGTTTCAGACTTAGGTTGACCCTGAGCGAGGGCTGGGTAAATGACCTTGGAGGGCCGTATCCGGTCCCCGGGACTTAGTTTGAGGACCCCTGTTCTAGAGACATTCTCTCCTGACGTTTTGCCTGCATCTATGGCAAGCATTTTTGCTACGGAGCCCCCGGTGGCGCAGTGGGTTAAACCCCTGTGCCAACAGGTCGCAGGTTCAAATCCGGGGAGAGGCGGATGAGCTCCTTCTATCAGCTCCAGCTCCTCATGCGGGGACATGAGAGAAGCCTCCCACAAGGCTGATAAAACATCAAATCATCTGGGCGTCCCCTGGGCAACGTCCTTGCAGACAGCCAATTCTCTCATACCAGAAGCGACTTGCAGTTTCTCAGGTCACTCCTGACATGACAAAAAAAATGCTACTTCCAATACTTTTATAAACCAATCTTCATTTGAAAGGCTAGCAACACGTTTCCAATATTTTGCCTAAAGTATTAATGCTACGGTCACCATATGCCACATTCACCTTCTTTTTGTAAAGCAGAATCTTCCTCTAGAATTCCAAAGTAAAAAAGATTTCTGGTTTTAAATCCATATCAGCATTAAAACTTTTTGTAACTCATCATCATCCATTTTGGGGTTGCCTTTGAAGACAGCCCGGAAGCTTCAAATGGTCCAGCGTGCAGCAGCCAGGTTGCTAACAGGAGCGGTGCTTAGGGAGCACACAACTCCTCTGCTGCGTCAGCTCCACTGGCTGCCAGTTTGCTACCGGGCTCAATTCAAAGTGCTGGCTTTAGCCTATAAAGCCCTAAACGGTTCTGGCCCAGCCTACCTATCCGAACGCATCTCTTCCTACGAACCCTCCAGGAAGTTAAGATCATCTGAGGAGGCCCTGCTCTCTGTCCCGCCTGCATCACAGGCGCGCTTGGCGGGGACGAGAGACAGGGCCTTCTCTGTGGTGGCCCCTCGGCTGTGGAACTCCCTGCCTAGGGATATTAGATCAGCCCCCTCCCTCCTGACCTTTCGTAAGAGAGTGAAAACCTGGGTCTTCGAGCAGGCATTCGGAACCCCGGAATAGTCAAGCTTGAGATGGAGAATGACCCAGGAACAGCCAAGACGACGAAATGGATGAGGATTGTAATGAGAGGATATAGCTCTTTTTAAATTGTCTTTTTTGTCTAAATGCACTTAATTGTTTTTGCTTTTGTATTGTATTGATGGCATCGAATTGTGACGATATGTAGACCGCCCTGAGTCACCTGCGGGGTGATATGGGCGGGATATAAGTGATGTAAATAAATAAATTTTATTTATTTACTTATTTACTTATTTATTTTCACTTTCCTGCATATCCACCACATATGAAAGAAAGAACCCGCTCTTTTCCTCGCCTCCCCCCTCACATTACCAACAATTATTATCTACCTGCTTGTACATTCTCACCCAAAACCACTGGTGCATCATTTTCAAAAAGTTTTCTTTCAAAATCCTGCTTCTGCCATCCAATGTACCTTTGAGCGACCCAAGAAAGTGGACAGACAGGAATGAAATAGCAGGGGTTTTTTTGGTGGGTGGGGGTTGCTCCCAGAGGCCATGACATCCCTTGCAAAAATGTGGAGCCTTTTGTTCTACAACGGCATGCAAAGGCAGTGCTGGCTTGGGGTCAGGGGCCCAGAGGCAAGTGCAGATTAAGAACCTGCTCCCTTTGTCCTTCTTGTGCCTTTTCCCCTCTTACTTTGTCTCTCTTTGTCCCCTCCTCTCTTTCACTGCCTCAGTTTCTCATTCTCCTTTTTCATCAGCTTTCTAGCTTCTCACATTTGGCCAGGCATTGTCAGCTAAGAAAGGAGACCATGAAACACACAAGGGCTGCATCTACACTGTACAGTGAATGCAGTTGACACCACTTTAACTACTGTTAATGAGAGTTGTGGGTGTTGTAGTTTTTACAAGGCCCATAGCAGGATCATCAAGTTTGCAGACGACACCAAATTGGGAGGGATAGCCAATACTCCAGAGGACAGGAGCAGGATGCAAAACGATCTTGACAGATTAGAGAGATGGGCCAAAACTAACAAAATGAAGTTCAACAGTGACAAATGCAAGATACTCCACTTTGGCAGGAAAAACGAAATGCAAAGATATAGAATGGGGGACAATGCCTGGCTCGAGAGCAGTACGTGTGAAAAAGATCTTGGAGTCCTCGTGGACAACAAGTTAAACATGAGCCAACAATGTGATGTGGCAGCAAAAAAGCCAATGGGATTTTGGCCTGCATCAATAGGAGCATAGTGTCTAGATCTAGGGAAGTCAATTCTGCTTTGGTTAGACCACACCTGGAATAGTGTGTCCAGTTCTGAGCACCACAATTCAAGAGAGATATTGACAAGCTGGAATGTGTCCAGAGGAGGGCGACTAAAATGATCAAGGGTCTGGAGAACAAGCCCTATGAGGAGCGGCTTAAGAGCTGGGCATGTTTAGCCTGAAGAAGAGAAGGCTGAGAGGAGACACGATAGTCATGTATAAATATGTGAGAGGAAGTCACAGGGAGGAGGGAGCAAGCTTGTTTTCTGCTTCCCTGGAGACTAGGACGCGGAACAATGGCTTCAAACTACAAGAGAGGAGATTCCATCTGAACATTAGGAAGAACTTCCTGACTGTGAGAGCCGTTCAGCAGTGGAACTCTCTGCCCCGGAGTGCGGTGGAGGCTCCTTCTTTGGAAGCTTTTAAACAGAGGCTGGATGGCCATCTGTCAGGGGTGATTTGAATGCAATATTCCTGCTTCTTGGCAGGGGGTTGGACTGGATGGCCCATGAGGTCTCTTCCAACTCTTTGATTCTATGATTCTATGATTCTGCCAGAGTGCTGGCGCTTCCCCAAACTACAACTTCCAGGATTCCATGGCACTGAGCCAGGGCAATTACATCCTAGAGCAGGGGTCCACAAACTTTTTCAACAGAGGGCCAGGTCACCGTCCCTTAAACTGTTGGAGGGCCGGATTACAATTTGAAAAAAAAATGAACGAATTCCTCTGCACACTGCACATATTTTATTTGTAGTGCAAAAAAAAAAACACTTAAAAACAATACAATAATTAAAATGAACAATTTTAACAAATATAGACTTATTAGTATTTCAATGGAAAGTGTGGGCCTGCTTTTGGCTGATGAGATAGGATTGTTGTTGTTGTTGTTGTTGTGTGCTTTCAAGTCACTTCAGATTTAGGCTGACCCTGAGCGAGGGCCAGGTAAATGACCTTGGAGGACCATATCCGGCCCTTAGTTTGAAGACCCCTGACCTAGAGAGATCAGGATGGTCAGGCAAGGAGGGAAGATACTTTGGGCCAGTCAAACCATCTAACAATTCTAAGTAGCAAGTAGGTGCACACATCCACAAGTTGTTATGAGGCTTCTCTTCTTCATGGCAGGTATCAAGGAGCAACCTGAGGAAGACAGTTTGTATGAGGCTGTTGACCCTGCAACCAGATTAGAAGTGAAGCAAAGAGAACCGGTGTCTGCCACATCATCTCCAGGTATGTGGGAACCAACCCCTTAAAGAGCCACAGTTGATTTGTCATTCTTATACACACTTACACAAAGTTTCCTACCATGGTTTTAGGCAGTTGACTGTCAACAAGAGGCTTTAGAAAGAAGTCATGGGTGAATTAGTTCCATAGCAGCTGAAATATAACACTTCACACAGTATCTACATTTTTATTACATTCTGAAGAAGGCGGCAAAGGAAGTTTGGATAGCTTTCCCAATTATTTTAGTGTTCTCTTCTCAGTATTGAAAAAGGATCTGAAGGGTGAAGTGGATGGTCAACAATGCCTTCGAAAACATATACTAAGGAAGTTTAACAAACAATGGCACAAAATCATTTGGAGATGATTAAGCATTTTTGAAAGAAGTCAGTGCTTTCTGGATAAGGGTGAACTACAACTCCCAACATCAAGGTCCATTCCCCCAAACAGTATGTTCAGTTGGTAATGGGGATTCTCTGTGCCAAGTTTTGTCCCGGTCCATTGTCAGTGGAGGTCACGGTTTCTTTGGATGCAGGTGAAGTTTGGCCCAATTCTCTCATTGGTGGGGTTCAGAATGCTCTTTGATTATAGGTGAACTATAAATCCCAGCAACTACAACTCCCAAATATCAAGGCTATTTTCCCCAAACTCCACCAGTGTTCACATTTGGGCGTATTGAGTAATCATGCCAAGTTTGGTCCAGATCCATCCTTGTTTGAGTTCACAGTACTCTCCAGATGTAGGTGAACTATAACTCCAAAACTCAAGGCCAATGCTCACCAAACCCTTCCATTATTTTCTGTTCATCTTGGGAGCTCTGTGTGCCAAGTTTGGTTCAATTCCATTGTTGGTGGAGTTCAGAATGCTTTTTGATTGTAGGTTAACTATAAATCCCAGCAACTACAACTCCCAAATGACAAAATAACGCCCCGCCCCACCAGTATTCAAATTTGGGCGTATCGGGTATTTGTGCTAAATTTGGTCCAGTGAATGAAAAATATCCTGCATATCAGATATTTACACGATGATTCATAACAGTAGCAAAACGACAGTTATGAAGTAACAACAAAAATAATTTTATGGTTGGGGGTCACCACAACATGAGAAACTATATTAAGAGGTTGCGGCATTAGGAAGGTTGAGAAACACTGGTGTAACACTGGTCTCCGCTGCATACACACATTTTTGCTTTTTATTATGTGGATGGATGGATGGATAAATGGATGGATAAATGGATGGATAAATGGATAGATAGAACGATGGATGGATGGATGGATGGATGGATGGATGGATGGATGGATGGATGGATGGATGGGTGGGTGGGTGGATGGTTGGATGGATGGATGGATGGATGGATAAATGGATATTTGGATAGATGAATGGATGGATGGATGGATGGATGGATGGATGGATGGATGGATGGATGGATGGATGGATGGATGGATAGATAGATAGATAGATAGATAGATAGATAGATAGATAGATAGATAGATAGATAGACAGATAGACGGACAGACGGATGGATGGATAGATGGATAGCCTTCTGGTAGGGATAGGGAAAGTAACCTTTGTCTTTCTCCTCCCTATAGATAGGTTGTATTTAGAAAATGAAATCCAGTGTTTATGACTACAGTAGTTCTCTCTATAGAAGTTTTCATTTGTGTGCATTTTTTTTCTTTTCCCTGTTACAAAAATATTTATTAAAAGAAAAAGCAACATACTTGTGTATGATGCCAGTGGGGCTGGAAAGGCTGTTACTCAGGCAGATTGACTTCCTCTCTTCTTCCCAGCCAGGACACCAACGTGTTCACGCAAGGTGATTTTACTCACTGGTGCTGCTCTACTGGCCGTATCCATGTTCCTGAATGTGTTGCTGCTCACAATGGGAACTGTGCATTGTAAGTGATCTGCTGGCTTTCCAAATGCTGGCTGGGATTCATCAACTGGTCAGAAAACAAATCTTGCTAATAATGCCCTCACTGCCTTGGAGTATGGTGGAGGCTCCTTCTTTGGAAGCTTTTCAATAGAATGGCCACTGTTGAGGATGCTTTGATTGGGTTGTTGTAGGTTTTTCGGGCTGTTATGGCCATGTTCTAAACGCATGACATTTCGCCTGCATCTATGGCAAGCATCCTCAGAGGTTGTGAGGTCTGTTGGAAACTAGGAAAATTGGGTTTATATATCTGTGGAAGGTCCAAGGTGGGAGAAAGAACTCTTGTACTTTGATTGTGCTTTTCTCGCATGGCAGAATGGTATTGGACTGGGTGGCCCCGTTTTTATGATTTTTTTTTTACGTGTCAAGAACGACTTGAGAAACTGCAAGTCACTTCTGGTGTGAGAGAATTGGCTGTCTGCAAGGATGTTGCCCAGGGGATGCCCAGATGATTTAATGTTTTTATCATCCTTCTGGGAGGCTTCTCTCATGTCCCCGCATGAGGAGCTGGAGCTGATAGAGGGATCTCATCCGCCTCTCCCCGGACTTGAACCTGTGACCTGTCAGTCTTAAGTCCTGCCAGCACAGTGGTTTAAACCACTGCGCCACCGGGGGCTCCGGTGATAGGATTTTATGATAGGACTAGCCGTCCCCTGCCATGCGTTGCTGTGGCCCACATGGGGGTTCTGTGTGGGAGGTTTGGCCCAATTCTATCATTGGTGGGGTTCAGAATGCTCTTTGTCTTTAGGTGAACTATAAATTCCAGCAACTAGAGCTCCCAAATGTCAAGATTCTATTTTCCCCAAACTCCACAAGTATTCACATTTTGGCATATTGAGTATTCGTGTAGAGTTTGGTCCAGATCCATCATTGTTTGAGTCCACAGTGATCTTTGGATGTAGGTGAACTACAACTCCAAAACCAAAGGACACTGCCCACCAAACCCTTCCAGTATTTTCTTTTGGTCATGGGAGATCAGTGTGCCAAGTTTGGTTCAATTCCATCGTTGGTGGGGTTCAGAATGTTCTTTGATTGTAGGTGAACTATAAATCCCAGCAACTACAACTCCCAAATGACAAAATCAATTTTTTGAGTGAAGGACATACATTGGGTTGTTAGGTGTCTTGTGTCCAAATTTGGTGTCAATTCGTCCAGTGGTTTTTGAATTCTGTTAATCCCACAAACGAACATTATATTTTTCTTTATATAGATTGCCTTAGGGTTGCCATATGTCTGAAATGGCTGGAAGGCCCACCACAATAACAACCGCAATCTAAAACTATGGATCACCAAAAAAAAAAAAATCAAGCAAGGGGATATTAAATATGTAGGATAGTTTTGGCTGGCATTTTATCTGCCCGCCGTGCCTGTCGTTTGGTTTCTGTATTGATGGGCTTGGCCTCATGTAAGCTGCCCCGAGTCCCCTCTGGGGAGATGGTGGCTGTTCTGGTACAGCTGTACCAGGAGCTCCAATTTTGTATGCTTTACATTAAATGCAGTCCTAGGTTTCAGGGACTCTGCAGATAGGTGGCTTCTTTTGGTTGCAGTAATAGGGCAAACCACCTGTCCATCATCATTAAGTTTTGGTCCTGCCCCTTGCTCGGGGCAATTGGGAAGGGAAAGGAGCCATTTTTAGTTAGTCTCAGCTAGGTTAGCCAATGTACAGGACGTGTGTAAATGTCCCCTGTACAAAGCTTCAGCCTTTAAGAATTTCCAGGGAAGCATCCCCACAGCTTTGAGAATTTCCAGGGTTACAGAAATTCCAACAGAAACAGAAGGAAAAGAGTCTCCAAAGACTTTCCAGGGAAACAGCCCTAAAGATCAAAGAACTCCAGCTGAAGAGACTACAGGCCTTGCTGGTAGGTCCACTCGATGCTTTGAGACGCAGTTCAACCAGGTAGTGGTGCCCACATCAGTTAGGTTTAAGTTTACAGTCAGCCTGGGAGAAGTTAAAAAGGGGGTTTTCCTTTAAAGAAGAAGTTATTGAAGATAGTTGCCTGTCCTTCGTGGGCAAGATTAGGAATTCACCAGTTACCTAAAAGCTTGGAATTATTTGCTTAACTTTACTGACGACATGAAAAGTTTCTGTTTGATTGTTCATTAATAAAAGACTTTGTTGTACTTCTCAAGCCATCTAAAGACTGTTTGTGGTGGAAACCTCTGAGAACTTCTCTTTAGGCCTCCTGGCTTCCCATTGGGCAAAAGTTGCACGTCCTGTTTTATTTACAGGCCCAGCACACGACAGAACAGTGGCAGGGTATAAATGATGATGATGATGATGATGATGATGATGATGATGATGATTATTATTATTATTTAATTTATGTCTGTCTGTATCTCCCTATACAGATTCTAAAATGGGTAATACTTTGGAGCAAGTCCAGAAAGAGAACAAGCGGCTTCAGGAGACAGGTGAGTGTCTATGGAGTGGCCACTAAAGTTATTCAAGCTCTGGCCCTATGGATTTAATCTTTAGGGTTGGTCTACGAAATGTTGTTGCTTGTTAAACATCCACAAATGGTGCCCCCCTTCCTTCAGTATCCCTAAGGCCCTTTCCACACTGCCCCTATTTCCCAGGATCTCAACCCAGGCCCCTTCTACACTGCCATATAAAATCCACATTGTCTGCTTTGAACTGGTGACATACTTGTCACTGAAATGTTAATTGTAGAAATTGAACAAAATCTGGCTACCAGTATTAAAAAACTCTAAAATTAGAACAGCACAACAACAAAGAGGAAACAAACAAGGACATCTAATCACCTCTCAACAAAAGATTGCTCCAGGCACTGCCAGGCAATCAAATGCTAATCAAGGTGGTCAGTTGAAACATTCACACCTAGCTCCAGCAGACAAGAGTCCTTTGTCTCACCCTGGTCATTCCACAGATATATAAACCCTTTTTCCTAGTTCCAACAGACCTCACTACCTCTGAGGATGCTTCCCATAGATGCAGGCGAAACGTCAGGAAAGAATGCCTGTAGACCATGGCCATATAGCCTGAAAAAACCTACAACGACCCATTGTAGAAATATTTCCTCTAATAACAAACTCAGATAGGCAAGTGTTGGAAGGACTGGGCCTCTTAAGAAACATGTGAAGGGGGTATCAGCTTTGTCAGAGCAATCCCAAGGCCTGCAGTACTGGAAACATCTTAAATAAATGTATTTGTTTATTTATTTAAAACGTTTATATCCCGATCTTCTCAACTCCGTAGAGGGACTCCAAAAGTGGGTGAAAGAAACATGCAAACAGCATGATAAGGGCATGCTTTGTTACTAGTGTGTTATGTTACCCCACAAACTATTTTGCTTGCTTCCCAGCAGTTGCTGACACATACAACGATCTGTGCCATCACTAAAAACATGCCACTGACATTTGGCAACACCACAAAAAATTAAAACAACCCTCCTCCTTATTTGCTTTTTATCTAGAAAGAAAGAAGAATCAGAGAGGTTTGTTTGTGTGGCATTGGAAGAAAAGAAGGCAGCCTGACTAGCAGTGTCAAATAGTGTTGGCTTCTGAAAATAGAAAACTCGACCACTTTTGGATTGTTAACTAGATACTACCTGAATATTGCACTTTCAATACAATATGGACTACTTGGCTCCCATGTTTGACTCCAATCTTATATAAATAAAAATGTAATGTTCGTTTGTGTGATTAACAAAACTCAAAAATCACTGGGGGAATTGACACCAAATTTGAACAGCATACACCTAACAACCCAATGTATGTCCTTCACTCAAAAAAATTGAGTTTGTCATTTGGGAGTTGTAGTTGCTGGGATTTGTAGTTCCTCTACAATCAAAGAGCATTTTGAATTCCACCGATGATGGAACTTAACCAATCTTGGCAGATAGGACTCCCATGACTAACAGAAAACACGAGAAGGGTTTGGTGGGCATTGACCTTGAGTTTGGGAGTTGTAGTTCATCTACATCCAGAGAGCACTGTGGTCTCAAACAATGATGAATCTGGACCAAACTTGGCATAAATACTCAATATGCTCAAATGTGAACACAGATGGAGTTTGGGGGGAAACAGACCTTGCCATTTGGGAGTCGTAGTTACTGGGATTAATAGTTTATTTATTTAAAAGTTTTCTCACCTCTCTTGAGGGACTCAGACCAGTTTCTAACCATAATATCACATACAATCAATAAAACATCATAATACATATTACAGTAAAACATTAAAACAGCAATTACAATCAATAACTATAATGGTCAGTCGTCACACTAAAATCGTTGCTCATCATCCTCCATCCATATCTCAGGGTGCTGGCTCACTCGTCGAATGCCTGTCTCCATAACCAGGTCTTCACCTGTTTCCTAAATGTCAGGATAGACGGGGCGGTTCTGATCTCCAGTGGGAGAGAGTTCCAGAGTCGAGGGGCCACCATTGAAAAGGCCCTGTCCCTCGTCCCCACCAGACTCGCTTGCGAGGCTGGTGGGACCGAGAGCAGGGCCTCTCCAGACGATCTTAATAATCTTGATGGTTCATAGGGGAGAATACATTCGGAGAGGTAAACAGGGCCGGAGTCGTTTAGAGCTTTATAGGTTAACACCAACACTTTGAATTGTGCTCGGAAGCTAATTGGCAGCCAGTGGAGCTGGTGTAACAGCGGAGTGGTGTGCTCCCTGTACCCAGCACCCGTTAGTAGTCTGGCTGCCGAGCGTTGGACTAGCTGCAGCTTCCGGGCAGTCTTCAGAGGCAACGTACAATAAAAGTTCACCTACAATAAAAGAGCATGCCACAAACAATAGAATTGGGGCAAATGTTCCACACCGAACCACCATAACCAACAGAAAATACTTAAGGCCATCCAGTCCAACTCTCTTCACCAGGGCAAGAAAATGGAATCAGAGCCCTCCTCACAAAGAGCCATCCATCCATAGATATAGATAGATAGATATGATTCACACACAGAGAGATATAGTATCATAGATCTGAAAGGGACCCCTAAAGAAGGACAATGATATGCTGCATGTTCCAGAGACAAACCAGACAATCTCCACATCAACACTGACAAAGAAACAGCAAGGAATACTGTTTATCTATAAGCATAAAGTAATTTCTAATAACTTTATTTTCCAGCTCACGAGACTGGGCCACAGCAACACATGGCAGGGGATAGCTAGTCTATATAAATAAAAATGTAATGTTCATTTGTGGGATTAGCATTCCCCCCCCCCCCAGTCTTTCTCCTCAGACATCATTTTCTCACATCTTAATTCAAAAAAAAAAAAAAACCAAGAAAGCCTTGGTTTATTCCAAATTAATTTGGTTTTACCAGAGGTGTCATTTGGATGCCTCCAAAAAACTGAGAGAGGTCCTGCAATTTGGGCTTGTCTGGATGGGCCCTAAGTCTGAGGAAGACATGTTTCAAACTCAGAAGACGAAAAGTCGTCATGGGAATTCATAGTTTAAAAGGTTAATTTGAAACAAGTATAAGAGTTTGATTAATTCAGAACATTGCTCCAAGTCACCTCTGGACAGAGGGGTGGTATATAAATCTATATAAATAAAAAATGTAATGTTTTTTTGTGGGATTAACATAACTCAAAAACCATTGGGTGAATTGACACCAAATTTGGACACAATACACCTATCAGGCCAACAAGTGACCATCACTTATAAAAACACTGAAAAACACCGCAGAAGGTTGAAGATGACTTTCTTTTTGTGAGAAGACCGAGGCAAAGAAGGCATTAAGTAGTTCTGCCTTTTCCCCGAGGCCCTCTTTGCCTCGGTCTTCTCACAAAAAGAAAGTCATCTTCAACCTCAGCAAGATGGAGTGGGTGAGGGATTAGAGGACATCCAACCCCAAATTGGGAAACAAGTCGTCCAGGAATACCTGGCCGCTTTAAATGAGTTCAAGTCCCCAGGGCCAGATCAACTACACCCCAGAGTATTGAAGGAACTAGCGGAAGTCATTTTGGAACCATTGGCAACCATCTTTGAGAGTTCTTGGAGAACGGGAGAAGTTCCAGCAGATTGGAGGAGGGCCAATGTGGTCCCAATCTTCAAGAAGGGAAAAAAGAATGACCCAAACAACTACCGTCCGGTCAGCCTCATGTCGATACCAGGCAAGATTCTGGAAAATATTATTAAGGAAGTGGTCTGCAAACACTTAGAAACAAATGCAGTCATCGCTAATAGTCAACACGGATTTATCAAAAACAAGTCATGCCAGACTAATCTGATCTCTTTTTTCGATAGAGTTACAAGCTGGGTAGATGCGGGGAATGCCGTGGATGTAGCGTACCTGGATTTCAGTAAGGCCTTCGACAAGGGCCCCCATGACCTTCTGGCAAGGAAACTAGTCCAATGTGGGCTAGGCAAAACTACGGTGAGGTGGATCTGTAATTGGTTAAATGGACGAACCCAGAGAGTGCTCACCAATGCTTCCTCTTCATCCTGGAAAGAAGTGATGACGAGTGGAGTGCCGCAGGGTTCCGTCCTGGGCCCGGTCCTGTTCAACATCTTTATTAATGACTTAGATGAAGGGCTAGAAGGCATGATCCTCAAGTTTGCAGACGACACCAAATTGGGAGGGATAGCCAATACTCCAGAGGACAGGAGCAGGATTCAAAACGATCTTGACAGATTAGAGAGATGGGCCAAAACTAACAAAATGAAGTTCAACAGTGACAAATGCAAGATACTCCACTTTGGCAGGAAAAACGAAATGCAAAGCTATAGAATGGGGGACGCCTGGCTCGAGAGCAGTACGTGTGAAAAAGATCTTGGAGTCCTCGTGGACAACAAGTTAAACATGAGCCAACAATGTGATGTGGCGGCAAAAAAAGCCAATGGGATTTTGGCCTGCATCAATAGGAGCATAGTGTCTAGATCTAGGGAAGTAATGCTACCCCTCTATTCCGCTTTGGTTAGACCACACCTGGAATATTGTGTCCAATTCTGGGCACCACAATTCAAGAGAGATATTGACAAGCTGGAATGTGTCCAGAGGAGGGCGACTAAAATGATCAAGGGTCTGGAGAACAAGCCCTATGAGGAGCGGCTTAAGGAGCTGGGCATGTTTAGCCTGAAGAAGAGAAGGCTGAGAGGAGATATGATAGCCATGTATAAATATGAGGGAGGAAGCCACAGGGAGGAGGGAGCAAGCTTGTTTTCTGCTTCCTTGGAGACTAGGACGCGGAACAATGGCTTCAAACTACAAGAGAGGAGATTCCATCTGAACATGAGGAAGAACTTCCTGACTGTGAGAGCCGTTCAGCAGTGGAACTCTCTGCCCCGGAGAGACTCCTTCTTTGGAAGCTTTTAAATAAAGGCTGGATGGCCATCTGTCAGGGGTGATTTGAATGCAATATTCCTGCTTCTTGGCAGGGGGTTGGACTGGATGGCCCATGAGGTCTCTTCCCACTCTTTGATTCTATGATTCTATGAAAAAGCCAAAAAATAAAAAATACATTACAATGCATATATACATATATACACAAATATAGACACACACATATACACACATATACACAAATATATACACACATATATGCCACATAACACCAATCTTACTACAGCTGCATTGGTTACCAACTGAGTACTGGATCACTTTCAAAGTGATGGTACTCACCTTTAAGGCCTTGCATGGTCCTGGGCCGATGTACCTGAGGGACCACCTCACCCCCTACCAACCCCAGAGATCCCTCCATTCTGAAGACCAAGATTTGTTGGAAATTCCCAGTGTCAAGACCTTGTGTCTAACAGCAACCAGACGCAGAGCCTTTACAGCAGTGGCACCATCACTCTGGAATACTCTGCCACAAGTCCGTGCCTTGCGGGACTTATCAGCTTTCCGCAGGGCATGTAAGACATACCTGTTTCGACAGGGCTTTGATTTTTGATATTGCTGTTTTTAAATTGTTTTTAAATTGTGTTAGATTTTAGTCATTCTTGTAAGCCGCTCCGAGCCCCAGGGGAGTGGCGGCATATAAGTCCGAATAATAGATAGATAGATAGATAGATAGATAGATAGATAGATAGATAGATAGATGATAGATGCCTTACAGACTTCTTGGTGCTGTGTTGTTGAGCAGAAGCTTAAGTTTGTTCTCTCATCCTCTCTCTTTCTCTTTCTGTCTCCTCCTTTCTTCCCCCTATTCTTTCCATTCATGCCGTTGCCTATGCCTCCTGTCGCCTCTCATGCTAACTCTGTTCTCATCCCAGTCTCCAGCGCTTTCTTGCTTTACAACGAGGATAAAAATGTTTGTGCAACAAACGGGAAAGAAAGCTATCTCACAGCAGTTTCCTGTAGCTCTGATGTCCGGGCTCAGCATTTTGAGCTGCTCTTTGGTGGCCTCCTCCGTCATGTGGCCTCAGGACTTTGTGTGGCAGCCCAAGGGAGAAGCAGCAGAAAGGCACTCCTTCTGAAGCCCTGCAAACCACAGAGCTCCCTCCAGCACTGGACATGCCGCGACCATGACCTCCTGGCCCTCAAGGGCTCTGATCTGTATTTTAACTATGGAAACAGTGTCAGTCAGCGGGTGATACTCTTTGATGGCAGTGGGCCTTGGAGTCGCTGGCTCATCTATGGGACCCACAGCAGCATCTGCAACTGTGAGTCCAAGCCACATACATTTGGACTTCTTTGGCTTTGACAAGGGAGGAGAATTTATTTATTTATTTATTTATTTATTTATTTATTTATTTATTTATTTATTTCGTGCATTTCTACCCCACCCTTCTCAACCCCCGAGGGGGGACTCAGGGCAGCTTACAAAAGGCACAATTCGATGCCAACACAAACAGTAAGATAAAACATATATAAACAGCAATTAGAAACAATTAAAGCAATCAATTATACATCACAATCAATAAAACCAATCTCATGCTCAACTTTCGCCAGCTCAGAGTCCGTAAATTCATTCCACATTGTCAAATCCTATCACTTCTAGTCATCATTGTCCTTTGTCTATCTGCCAGATTACCCAAAAGCCTGGTCCCATATCCATGTTTTTAATTTCCTTCTAAAAGAGAGGAGGGATGTCGATGACCTAATTTCCCCGGGGAGTGAATTCCACAGGTGAGGGGCCACCACCGAGAAGGCCCTGCTCCTCGTCCCCACCAACCTCACTTGTGATAGAGGTGGGGCCGAGAGCAGGGCCTTCCAAGAAGATCTTAAATTCCGAGGTGGGACATAGAGGGAGATGCGTTCGGACAGATACGCTGGGCCGGAGCCGTATAGGGTTTTGTAGGTCAGAACCAGCACTTTGAATTGTGCTCGGAACTGGATCGGCAGCCAGTGGAGCTGACATAACAGAGGGGTAGTATGCTCCCTGTATGACACTCCGGTGAGTAATCTGGCCGCCCCCCGCTGGACTAATTGAAGCTTTCGAACAGTCTTCAAAGGCAACCCCACGTAGAGTGCGTTGCAGTAATCTATTCAGGATGTAACAAGAGCGTGGACCACTGTAGCCAGATCTGACTTGGCCATATAGCCCGAACATAGCCATATAGCCCGAAAAACCTACAACAACCCAGTGATTCCGGCCATGAAAGCCTTTGACAATACATAGGACCTAGAAAGGTTGCCCTTTTTGTGTTAACAAACTGGAATATGCATCCAGTGTGAGGATTAGTCACACTGACTGGGAGATTCTGGGAGCTATAGTCCAACTAATCATTAACATATTATAAAACAAACACATTGTGGTTCGCTGCTAATAAGTACTTTACCACATATCTTTTTCATTGCAGCTTGCACCCCCTTGGGCAGGGACTGGAACGCCTTTCAGGAGAGCTACTATTTCTTCTCACGCACTCCAGGGACCTGGGACGTAGCCAATCAGTCATGCTCTTCCATGGGATCCCATCTGGTGACCATCAAGAATGCAGAGGAGAAGGTCAGTGAAGCTAGAAGAACTGGACAAAGGTGCAGTGGTGGGAGATGTGTAGCCATTAGGCAACTGCCTCTTGGATCTGGTGTGAATGTTCCCAAAGTATATCTGTACCCAATAGGAAATCAAAAGGCAAAAGGTCCCTAAGACCAAGAGTGAAACAATTATGTATATTATGTCTTGGCTTAATTGCTACAACATTCAACGTATAGGAATCTAGTACAAGTTATACAGCATATAGTTCTCTAAACCAAAAATTATTTATCTAGTGTAGTATAAACAGCAAATTCTTACAGCAAGATACACAGCTGTTTTAAAGTTCTTTTGAAAATACATTTGTCAATAACAATACACAGTTTGTGAACCTTTTTACAAGTCTCTTAATTCATTTATATCTATGGCTGGATGGCTCTTTGTCAGGATGACTTTGATTATGTTTCTTGCCCTGATGAAGGGAGTTGGACTGGATGGCCTTAAGTATTTTCTGTTGGTCATGGGGGTTCAGTGTGGGAAGTTTGCCTCGATTCTGTCATTCATGGGGTTCAGAATGCTCTTTGATTGTAGGTGAACTGTGAATCCCAGGGACTACAACTCCCAAATGTCAAGGTCTATTTCCCCCAAACTCCATCTATGTTCATATTTGGGCGTATTGAGTGCTTGTGCCAAGTTTGGTCCAGATCCATCATTGTTTGAGTCCACAGTGCTCTCTGGATGAAGGTGAACTACAACTCCCAAACCCAAGGTCAATGCCCACCAAAACCCTTCCAGTATTTTCTGTTGGTCAAGGGAGTTTGTGTGCCAAGTTTGGTTCAATTCCATCATTGGTGGAGTTCAGAATGCTCTGTGATTGTAGGGGACATCCGGGCGTCCCCTGGGCAACGTCTTCGTAGATGGCTGATTCTCTCGATCCAGAAGCTACCAGAGACGACTTGCAGCATGCAAACAAGCAAGCAAAATAACCAACTAACGGTTCAATTCCATCGTTGATGGAGTTCAGAATGCTCTTTGATTATAGGTGAACTATAAATCCCAGCAACTACAATTCCCAAATGACAAAATCATAATTTTTTGAGTGATGGTCACTCCTTGTGTTGTGAGACGTTATGTTGCCAAATTTGGTGTGATTTCGTTCATTGGTTCTTTTGTTTTTAAGGTGTTCATTATGCACAGAGCATTTATAGATAGATAGATAGATAGATAGATAGATAGATAGATAGATAGGTAGGTAGGTAGGTAGGTAGGTAGGTAGGTAGGTAGATAGATAGATAGATAGATAGATAGATAGATAGATAGATAGATAGATAGACAGACAGACATAATCACATACAGGCAGTCCCTACATTATAAACATGATAGTTTATGTAAATTGTTCTTAAGTTGAATTTGCTTGTAAGTCAGAACAGGTACATTTTTAAGTGCAACTCCAGCCCAATCTTCTGTCCCTGTACAGAAGGTTTCACCTCGCTTTCTGTCTCTGTGATAATTGGATTTTGAAAAATGTGGCTTGTTGTGGAAACAAGGATTGGTGAGAAAGCTTCAGTGAAGATACCTCTATATCAGCGGTTCTCAACCTGGGGGTCGCGACCCCTCGGGGGGTTGTTTGGCCATTTTCTGGGGGTTGCGAAGCCGCATTGGCTGGCCATGCCCCCTCCAAAATGGCGGCCGACGTCCTGCGCCACTGGCATTCCCGCACGCGAAGCCATCCGCCTGTCCCTCATCTCCTTCTGATGGCAGAAGGAGGTGAGGGATGGGCAAGTGGCTCCTTGGACACCCCTCGCCTGCTCCGCTCTCCCGCCGGCCGGCAGGGGTGCGGAGCAGGCGAGGGCTCTTCGTTGCAGTTGAACTATAAATCCCAGCAACTGCATATCCCAAATGTCAAGGTCTATTTTCCCCAAACTGCACCAGTGTTCACATTGGGGCATATTGAGTATCTGTGCCAAGTGTGGTCCAGACCCATCATTGTGTGAGTCTGCAATGCTGTCTGGATGCAGGTGAACTACAACTCCCAAACTCAAGGTCAGTGCTCACCAGACCCTTCCAGTATTTTTCGTTGGTTGTGGGAGTTCTGTGTGCCAAGTTTGGTCCAATTCCATCATTGGTGGAGTTCAAAATGCTCTTTAATTGTAGGTGAACTATAAATCCCAGCAAATACAACTCCCAAATGACATAATCAATTTTCCCTCCAACCCCACCAGTATTCAAATTTGGGCATATTGGATAACGTAAGGTAAAAGTTTTCCCCTGACATTAAGTCCAGTCGTGTCCAACTCTGGGAGATCGTGCTCAATTTCTAGGCCAAAGAGCCAGTGTTGTTCATAGACACCTCCAAGGTCATGTTGCTGATATGACGGCATGGAGTGGTGTTGTTGGGTATTTGTGCCAAATTTGGTCCAATTAATGAAAATACATCCTGCATTTCAGATTTTTACATTATGATTCATAACAGTAACACAATTATAATTAGGAAGTAGCAATAATAATAATTTTATGGTTGGGGGTCACCACAACGTGAGGCATTGTATTAAGGGGTCGCGGCATTATGAAGGTTGAGAACCACTGCTCTATATCTTTGAACTCAATCACATCAGCTGATTTGTAGGAATGGGTTTTTGCAGAGGTGTTTCCAAAGTGTTGAAAGTTATTGGTTTAACACAGCATGTGATTTTCTTCCCCTCCATATCCTATATTGAGTGATTGGTCACTGGAAGACAAACACAAAATCAATTTTACAAGTCTGGTTGTGGTGACACCTATTTTTGAGGAAATCCCATTTTGGGAAGGAAAATGAGTTCATGTTTAAAATGTACATGCCTTTTAATACCTAGCTTGACCCTAAAATAGATGTGTTCTGGACTTTCTTCTCTCTGTATCAGGATTATGTTGCAAACATCATGAAATTTACTTCCTACTGGATTGGACTCACCGATCAAGAACTCGAAGGTGACTGGAAATGGGTTGATGGAACAAAAGCAGAACGTGGAAAGAGGTATGCCATCATTATATATATAAAATCCTGGTTGTTGATATTTTGGATGCATCCATATTATAGAATGAATGCAGTTTGACAGCCCTTTAACTGCCACGGCTTAAAATTCTGGGGGCTGTAGTTTGGTGAGTGACTAACACTCCTTGGCAGACACCCCGGTTAAGGGGTACTCCTAACCTTGGAAAGTTACATAATGCTGCTGTATCGGTTCTTTGAGTATGAGTATTGTTGAGGTCCAAGTCTTCAGAAGGGAAGCTGTCATTGTGCCAAGCAGTTCAGTCCTAATTTTAGAAAGTGAGGAAGGAAAGCCCAGATGTTCACAACATTGGCAGGAAGCTCATAGAGGTTGAGCGAAAGATCTTCCATAGTTCAGCTCTAAAATCAATTCTATATTCTTCCTACAAGTACTAAGTAGTAGAAACCGCCTTTTACGGACCCTGCAGACAAAGCCTGGAAACGTTACACCTTGCAGCTACAGATTGGAGCAGATGCAGTCCAAAAAAGTACTTTCCTTTTTTTTAAAAAAAAAAAAGAGTTTTTATTATTATTGTACTAGCTGTCCCCTGCCACGTGTTGCTGTGGCCCAGTCTGATAATCTGGAAAATAAAGTAATGGTTTCTGATATATGTAATTCCTTTATGCTTGTGGGTAAACTGCATTCCTTGTTGTTTCTATGTCAGTGTTGATGTGGAGGTTGTCTGTCTATCTATATCTATGGCTGGATGGCTCTTTGTCAGGAAGGCTTTGATTACATTTTCTTGCCCTGGTGAAGGGAGTTGGACTGGATGGCCTTAAGTATGGTTGTTCTGTGTGGAAAGTTTGCCCCAATTCTGTCGTTGGTGGTGTTCAGCATGCTCTTTGATTGTAGGTGAACTATAAATCCCAGAAACTACAACTCCCAAATGTCAGGATCTATTTCCCCCAAACTCCACCAGTATTCACATTTGGGAAAATTGAGGATTCGTGCCAAGTTTGGTCCAGATCCATCATTGTTTGAGTCCAAAGTGTTCTCTGGATGTAGGTAAACTACAACTCCCAGACTCAAGGTCAATGCTTACCAAACCCTTCTAGTATTTTCTGTTGGTCATGGGAGTTCTGTGTCCCAAGACTGGTTCAATTCCATCATTGGCGGAGTTCAGAATGCTCTTTGATTGTAGGTGAACTATAAATCCCAGCAACTACAACTCCCAAATGACAAAATCAATTTTTTTAGTGAAGGGCATACATTGGCCTGATAGGTGTAAAAAAGGTAAAGGTAAAGGTAGTCCCCTGACATTAAGTCCAGTCATGTCTGACTCTGGGGTGTGGTGCTCATCTCCATTTCTAAGCCGAAGAGCCAGCGTTGTCCGTAGACACCTCCAAGGTCATGTGTATTGTGTCCAAATTTGGTGTCAATTCGTCCAGTGGTTTTTGAGTTCTGTTAATCCCACAAACGAACATTACATTTTTATTTATATAGATAATACATAGAAACATACAATCTTTGAAATTAACATTCAAAATACCATTATTTTCCCCAATCCCACCACCACCACCACCCCCCAGTGAAGAACTTTTGCTGTATTTATTACAATTGTTCAATTACGAGGATAGTCTTATTTAACACTGTATATTTGTCTTTCCCCTTTATTCTGTATACGAGACCCTTCGATTCTGCTTCCCATGTCCTTCTGCTTTGACCCATCATATAGTAACTTTTCCTTTTGCTAATATAAGCTTGGAGAAGGTAATCGGCTAGATATTTATACCAAGTTTTTATATCCCACTAGCTGTCCCATGCCACGCGTTGCTGTGGCCCACATGGGGGTTCTATGTGGGAGGTTTGGCCCAATTCTATCGTCGGTGGAGTTCAGAATGCTCTTTGATTGTAGATGAACTATAAATCCCAGCAAATGCAATTTTCCAGATCAACAGACTGGGCCACAGCAACGCGTGGCAGGGGACGGCTAGTTTCTCTATAAAAAAAATACTTTCCTAATCTCTGCATTGTACAGTATATTTTCCTGAACTGTGCTGCTGAGTGTTTTCAAAGGCATGGTGGCTGTGGTAAAGATAGCAATTTACATCATGGGTTTTGTCCTTTGGTTTTCTAGCTATTGGCATTCTACGGAGCCCGGCGGTGGAAAAAGTGAGAATTGTGCCATGGTGAGCCGTTCTCTGTGGTATGATTACCCCTGCAAAGAGAAATATCACTGGATCTGCAAGAGGAGGCTTCGTCCAATGGTGTGAAGTGTTGTTGTCCTCCACTGATCATTCAGGCACCTGAGAAGCACAACATCTGTAGAAGTAGAGCTCATGGAGGTTCCAGCTGACCTGTATGACTGCTCGGTGTGTAACTTCTCCTGATCATATGCTAAGAAAACTGAGTGTGTTGCCAAAGAAGCCCTACAGTGATCAGGAAATCAAAGATTCACTCATTTCATAGAAAGACATGTAATATGCACACAGGGGCGGCTCAAGCCATTACACAAAGTAAGCCTTTGCAGTATAGTTGATTTTGCCCAGGGGCGCTTTTGAGGCGCTCTTGAGGGAAAATAGACCTTGACATATGCGAGATGTAGTTACGGGGATGTATAGTTCACCTACAATCAAAGAGCACTCTGAACTCCACCAATGATTGAATTGAACCAAATATGGCACGCAGAACTCCCACGATGAACAGAAAATATATATATCAGTGATTGGTTTTTTTTTTGGGGGGGGGGGCAAAATACTGTTTGTTTATTGTTGAAAATTACCTAGGGCTGCCTCTACACACAGGCACCAACGTTTGCGAATGACTGCTGCCCCCTTTTGCAAATTCTTATATACCCTCAGGTAAACAAGAATATTTTTTGATGGAAAGTACTTTGACCTTTACTCTTCCTGTCCCATTAATCTCTTGATGGAAAGTACCTTCTTGCACCTGCAAACTTTGCGCTTAACCACAAACCAACTTCCTATGCAAGCTCGCTAATATAACGACTTTTCAAAAAGCCAAAACCTTGAACCTTAGAGTTGGAAGAGATCCATCCAGTCCAACTGTATTCTGCCATGCAGGAAAACACAATCAAAGTACTCCTGATAGATGGCTATCTAGCCTCTGCTTTAAAATCCTCAGAGAAAGAGGCAACATATTCCACTCCCGTCAACATATTTCATTCCAGAACAGCTCTTACAGTCAGGAGGTTCTTCCTACTGTTTAAGTGGAACCTCTTTTGCTGCAGTTTGAATCTCTTGCTCCTTGTCCTAGCCTTCTTTTCTCCAAGCTAAACAAACCCAACCATTACTCATAGGGCTTGGCCTGAAAACTTTTTATCATTTTTCTTGCCCTTTTTTTGGACACATTCTAGCTTGCCAATATCCTTCCTGAACTGTGGCTCCCAGAACTAGATACAATATTCTAGGTGAACTCTGACCAAAGCAGAAAGAGAAGTGATACTTCGCTGCAATCTAGGCACTATACCTAAAAATAAAATAAAATAAAATAAAAAAGATACTTCCCATCTTAACCATGATGGATTATCTTTTTTAAAAATAGAGCATTTAGAATCATAGAATCAAAGAGTTGGAAGAGACCTCATGGGCCATCCAGTCCAATCCCCTGCCAAGAAGCAGGAATATTGCATTCAAATCACCCGACAGATGACCATCCAGCCTCTGTTTAAAAGCTTCCAAATAAGGAGCCTCCACCGCACTCCAGGGCAGAGAGTTCCACTGCTCAACGGCTCTCACAGTCAGGAAGTTCTTCCTCATGTTCAGATGGAATCTCCTCTGTTGTAGTTTGAAGCCATTGTTCCGCGTCCTAGTTTCCAGGGAAGCAAAAAACAAGCTTGCTCCCTCCTCCCTGTGACTTCCTCTCACGTATTTATACATGGCTATCACATCTCCTCTCAGCCTTCTCTTCTTCAGGCTAAACATGCCCAGCTCTTTAAGCCGCTCTTCAGAGGGCTTGTTCTCTAGACCCTTGATCATTTTAGTCGCTCTCCTCTGGACACATTCCAGCATGAATCTGTTGTGCAGTGTTTGCAGCAGACTCCACAGAAGGTACTTCAGCTGTACTTCATAAAAAGAGAAATCGGTCTGTTAAACAAGTCTTGCAAATGTTGAATTTTTAATAAGTAAATATTTGGGTTTACCTACTGTATATACCTGGCATCATGTAAAGTTTTCACGGGACAAAAGGGTTCCAAGTGGAAAAGTTTAAAAAGCTCTGGTCTAGCCCACATTTTACTAGTTAATTTGCAAGAATAACTCAAGTTTAGTTGGTGATTGTCCTTCTTAAAATATACTGTTCTGGATTGAGCACTGGATTCTAGATCTGGATTCTAGCTCTGGATTCTAGATCTGGAGAATAATTGTTATTGCTTTGCTTTTAATTGTATTAATTGTATTCTGCCTTGGGATTGGCTCCATGTAAGCCGCCCCAAGTCCTTTTGGGGAGATGGAGGCGGGGTAGAAAAATAAACTTCTACTTCTACTTCTTCTTTTGCTTCTTCCTCTTCTTCTTCTTCCTCTTCCTCCTCCTCTTCTTCTTCTTCCTCCTCCTCCTCCTCCTCTTCTTCTTCCTCCTCCTCCTCCTCTTCTTCTTCTTCTTCCTCCCCCTCCTCCTCCTCTTCTTCTTCTTCCTCTTCTTCCTCTTCCTCCTCCTCCTCCTCTTCCTCCTCCTCCTCCTCGTCTTCTTCTTCTTCCTCTTCCTCCTCCTCCTCCTCTTCTTCTTCTTCCTCTTCCTCCTCCTTCTCCTCTTCCTCCTCCTCCTCCTCCTCTTCTTCTTCTTCCTCTTCCTCCTCCTCCTCCTCCTCCTCTTCTTCTTCTTCCTCTTCTTCCTCTTCCTCCTCCTCCTCTTCTTCTTCTTCCTCTTCCTCCTCCTCCTCCTCCTCCTCCTCCTCTTCTTCTTCTTCTCCTTCTCCTTCTCCTTCTTGTCCTGTTTGTCAAATCAGCTATGATATAAATTTGCAATACTAACCGAACCATGGAACCTTGTGACAAAATATATGAGAAGCTAATTGTATGATTCTTAAATGTAAGGACTTGCTCCTCTTCAAACCAGAATCTTTGTTTCCATGTATTTCTTGATGGCAATGTTTTGAAATGCTCTCCTGTAAATATGCATTTTATATGATTTTTCTAACTGATACAATCTTAAAGTTTCTTTTAAGCTTGAGAAGGCTATGATATGAATTTTGAGTTCTTTTGCTCCAATATAGGCACAGGCGGCTATTTTATTACCTTTGAATAGGTTCTCCTCGTCGATTGTAATCCGGTTCGGTGTATAGGTCCTTCCTGGAGGATCATTCCCAGATGGTAAAGCTGGGAGACGCCTGCTCGGACCCCTGGCCTTTGACCTGTGGGGTCCTGCAAGGTTCCATTCTGTCTCCCATATTATTTAACATCTACATGAAACCGCTGGGAGAGGTCATCTGGAGTTTTGGAGTATGGTGCCATCTCTATGCAGATGACACGCAACTCTACTACTCTTTTCCACCTAACTCCAAGGAAGCCCCTCAGGTGCTGGATGAGTGTCTGGCCGCTGTGGCTATCTGGATGAGGATCAATCCCAACAAGGCAGAGGTCTTCCTGGTAGATCGTAAACCAGATCGGGGTATAGGGTGGCAGCCTGTGTTGGATGGGGTTGCACTCCCCCTGAAGTCATAGGTCCGCAGTTTGGGTGTCCTCCTGGACTCATCACTTACGCTTGAAGCTCAGGCGTCGACGGTGGCTGGGAGGGCCTTTGCACAATTAAGACTCGTGCGCCAACTGCGACCATATCTCATGAAGGCGGATCTGGCCAGGGTGGTCCATGCCTTATTCACCTCCAGATTGGACTACTGTAATGCACTCTACGTGTGGCTGCACTTGAAGACAGCTCGGAAATTTCAATTGGTACAACAGGCAGCAGCCAAGTTACTAACTGAAGCGACCTACAGGGAGTGGTCAACCCCCCTGTTTAAGGAGCTCCATTGGCTGCCGTTCATCTTCCGGTCCCAATTCAAGATGCAGGTTCTTACCTACAAAGCCCTGAATGGTTTGGGCCCCGCCTACCTGCGTGACCACATTTCTGTGTATGAACCCACGCCATCTCTTCGATTATCTGGAGGGGACCTGCTCTCACTCCTGCCCCCTTCGCAGGCACGATTGGTGGGGACGAGGGAAAAGGCCTTCTCTGTGGTGGCCCCCTGACTCTGGAACTCACTCCCCAAGGATATCAGACAAGCCTCCACATTGGCAGTTTTTAGGAGGAGCCTGAAAAAGTGGCTGTTCCAGTGTGCCTTCCCTGAATAAGGAAACAATACCCTGCTCTGATTAATTCTCTGCAATTGTCCTCAGAAGCACTTTACTACCCGTTGGGTTGGTCTCCCTACATTATCTATTAAAACCCTCCTGCTTAGATACATCGTATCTCTTGTTTATATGTAAGTTATATTAATTCTGTGGCAGCCATTAGGAGAAAATAAAATAATAATAAAGGGAAATCATAATAATTTAGAATAAAATAGAAGATTTAAGTTCTTACCTGATCCTTTGAAAGGGAAAGAGTATTTCTCTGTAAGTGAATTTGCAAGCATGAGAAATCTATAGGTGTTATTGATCATCACTGGACCTTGGTCAGTTAGAAGTGTTTGCTATAGCCGATGTTTACTTAGATATGAAGTCAACAAGAGAAGTTTGGCAGGACAAAGAGATCAATAGTATCGATCCAAGACTTGGAACATCTAAGGTCATATGGTGAGAGAGCGCCATCCTCTGACCACTTAATGTAAATAGCAGGCAATTTCAGAAAAGCTTTATCTTAAGTAATTTCCTTCATGATCCTCATATTAAGAAATAATGAAGTTATTAAGGCTGAATTAACTAAAGGAGATTGCCTTGATCAAATCTTATGTTATAAGCATACAAAAGTTATAATTCAATTAGAGATTTAAGGAATTGAACTTAAACATGTCATCTTAGGGTAACGGGTGAAGGTTGGGATAAGTTACATAATCAAGCAGATGCTTGGGTTCACAACGTGGCTGCCAAGACCTGATAAAGATGTTTTTGGGAACTATATATGGAAACACCTGTTAATGATTGTATTGTGTAAATGTCAGACTCTTTCTGCGCATGTGTGGAAACGTTGATATTATGCTATAAATACTGAAGCTATTTAGACCTTCGGTGTGACAGTTCTTTGCTCTGTTCACCCTATCTTGCAAGATAGAAATAAAGACTTGGAAATCGGACCAGCTGTCTCTCCATCTTCTTCCTTCTCCAAAAGCACTCTAATGAATCTCTGGTAATGTATATTCTGCAACACTACAAGGCACTGATGCTTTAAGGCAGTCTTTCTCTACCTTCCTAATGCCACGGCACCTTAATACAATTCCTTATGTTGTGGTGACCTCCAACCATAACATTATTTTCGTTGCTACTTCATAACTGTAGTTTTGCTACTGAATCGGATTGAACCAAATTTGGCACATATAACTCCCATGACCAACAGAAAATACTGGAAGGATTTGGTGGGCATTGGCCTTGAGAATTGGAGTTGTAGTTCACGTGCATCTGGAGGGCACTGTGGACTCAAACAATGATGGATCTGGACCAAACTTGACACGTATCCTCAATACGCCCAAACATGAACACTGGTGGAGTTTGAGGAA